CTCTTGAAGGGCTTCGTCATTCTTCTTCCTTTGCATCTCTCCTTTCTTCTTTGTTTCCTTTATATCCGCATCTTCGAGAGTACGGATTCATTCTTCCAGTTCACCTATTCTGTTTTCATGGCTTTTCCCAGAATTTTTAGCTCCTCCGTTCATCTTTTAACATCCTGTGTTTCCTTTAATTCCTCTTTCAAAGATTCGGTCTCGTTCTTCTGTTTGTTGATTCTATTTCTCAAATCACTTTTTTCCTTCTCTGCGGTTTCTCTTAGCTCTTCGGGTGTTTTCATTGTGGCGATTCTGAATTCTCTCTCTGTCAGGCGGGGAAATTCTCCTGTGCCGGTGTGGTTGGGTCCGGAGGCTGAGTCTCGCTGTGGTGCATTGTTTGCAGGAGGCTTGCTTGACCATTTGCTTTCTTCTTTCTTCCCACTGTTTGCTTCCCGATTTGTTCTCTGCTTTGGCGGCTGTGCCTCTGGTGCTGCCAGGCGTGACACTGGGCATTCCTGTGGGGCTTGGCCATCTCTGCCTCGGGCCTGGGCTGCTGTGGTTGGGCACGTGACTGGTGCCAATGGGCGGGTCCGGGTGCGCCTGATGGATGCTGGAGTCCCCCTATGGGCAGGGCTTGGGCACGGGGTTTCCCGCCTCTCCCGCCTGGGCGCCCTTGCAGGATGGCTGGTGTGGGAGGGCGGGGTCGCAGGTGCTCCTGACAGACCTCGTTGGAGAGAGTTTAGATTTAAAATGAAAGTCAGCTGCAGGGCCAGGTCTTGGTGGCACACCCTCTGCGCACCCCATCAGCTGCGCTGCTTTCTGAGGCCACCTCACCTGCTGCTCCAGGGGTGGCAGGAGCCCCATGTCCTGGCCCCGCACTCGTGGGTGGGGAGTTTCAGTGCAGCCTGTGATGGCTGGAGGGCTCTCCAGAGCCTGCTGTGCAGTCAAGAGACAGCAAGGCCCGGATGCACTTAGCCGAGCGAATCCTGACGCCCTTGCGCCAGCTTCAGTGGCCTCCTGAGCCCCTGGGCAGCTGTCCCTGTGGTGACACGGCCACCGGGGGGCCTGCTGGGAAGTCTCGCTGCAGATAGCAGTGTGCTGGGCCTGGCTGTGCCTCCGGCTTAGCGACGTGTAACTTCTCTGACACAGCTTCTTGAAAACAGAAGTCACAGCTGCCTCGGGCTCTGACCTTGAGCCAGCTACGAGGAGTGTCTTTCTGGCCTAATGCAGGATCCAGAGGCTCTCAGTGACTTTTTATTTACAATTACCCATCTCACCAGTGGCAAAGCTCCCCCACAGTGGTCTCTGCGGAGAGCTGAGGAGCCCGGCTGCGCTCTGCCTGCCCTAGAGTCCTTTCTGCAAAGACACGTCACCCCGGTTGGGGGGTGGGCAGCAAACCCTCTTTGGGGCCATTTATAAATGGATACGTGGGCGCGGCCCTTGCAGGGCCTGCTGGCTGTGTGGGCGGGAGAAAGCCGGCAGTCCTCAGGGGACACGGTGCCAAGGATGGACTCCGGGCTGGTGGGCGTGGGCCTGGCGGGCTTTGGGGTCCTTGTCGCCAGGGGCCCGGGGCGTCAGTTTGCGTTTTCCTGCCCTGCTTGGCCACGTAACTAGCTTGTGTATATTCATAGCGTGCTCAGTCATGTTATCCAAGCAAGTTTGCTGCTTTTAAGGCAAACGACTGTGGCTTGTACCCTTTGTGTTCTTTTCTTATGCTAAAATGCCACTTGCTGTGGAGGATTGGAAAACACAGGGACGTAGAAGACCCTAAAGAACACCTTATTCTGCCCCTAACAGGAGCCGCCTCTGCTGGTGTTTGTCTCACCTGCTCTCAGTAGTCTCATCAGCAGGCACTGTTGGTTATTTTTGCAGCATTTGGATCAAAATTCTGTGATTTTATGACGTGTTCCTCACACATAACCTCCCACACAAACTGCAGAGACGAAGTTGGTGAGCGGAAGGAGGCATTTCTCCAGTCATGGAGCTCAGTGACGCTGGACATTTATTTTTATTCTGAAATGAGTGAAGGACACGAAGCGCAGACTCCGACCTGTGCGGGCGGCAAGCAGGAGGCGCCCCTCCCCTCCCAGAGGCCTCCCGCAGCCCCTGGGGCATGTATCACCCCCCTGAATAACATTCGCATTCAGCCTGTCTGCATGTGGCCCGAGTGTGTGGGAGTCCCCGGAGGTGGACACGAAGCCACAGATGCGTGGAGGCCGCACGCGCCCGGGACTCCGCCGCCTCCGACTCGGCACCTGCTCTTGGCGTGCGAGGCTTCCGGTGCGGAGGCAGCAAGACCTGTCCCCCAACACGTTTCTATACATTTCCTTACCCCATAGGTTTTTGCAGGTGCTGGGGCCGAGCGTGCGTGGCGACCTCGCGACCTTCCCCCTCTGTCAGTTGCCTTTTCTATCTTTTGTTTGAAATTAAGGTGTCGGGCCTCTCTGGTGGCGCAGGGGTTAAGTCTCAGCTATCGCTGGCCACTGTGGCCTGAGTCCCATCCCTGGCCAGGGAGCGACCCACAGGGCCCAGCAGACCTCTCCTGTCTCCCCCTGCTCCCCTCAGCAGTGGGTTTCAGGCGATCCACCTGTTCTGCTCCCCACTCTGTCTCTGGGGAGTCCTCTCCCACACCTCGGCCTGCACCCCAGCTCTTGTGTGCAGAAATAAACAAATCTTTAAAATTAGGGTGTTTTTTCCTGTGTGGTTTGTGATAGGTCTTTTTACGTATTATTTGTCTCTTTCTCGGGTAGACCCGTTGCAAAAATTATCCCCCAGTCTGCGGCCATCTTTTAAGTCCACGAAGTCTTTTTTGCCAAGTTTTGAATTGTGATGATTTTGACCATCTTTTCCCTCTGTGAGTTTCTTCTTATGTGAGGTTTTTCCCTGGGATGCCCGAAACTTTCAGTTTCATTTTTCAGATAAAAATGCCCCGTCCACATGGGATTTATTCTCTAATGTGGGGCGCGGTAGGGTGAGGGTTTGGTACTTTTCCCCATGCCCGTCGGCCTCAGACTGACTTACCAGAGAGCCGTGTCCTTCCCATGGCCGGAGAGCGGCGGCGCCCGTCCTGCAGGTGAGGGTGGGCGCTGGCTGCTCTGTGCTGGTCCACGGTCCCCTCTTTAGATGTGCCAGGAACACCCCAGCATCCCCGCAACCTGCTGAGGACGCTGTGCTCGTCCGAGGCCACGGGGGTGTACAGACTGGACTGCGACCCCCTCGGGGCTGCGGGCGGGGCTCGGTGTCCCGTCCAGCGGGCCTGGCTGGATCAGCCTCCTTGGTGAAGAGGAGAAAGGCTGGCAGGGCCTCCGGGTGGCTCTCCCAGTTGCCCTCTCTGGCCGCTCAGGGCTGTCCCCCTGTTGACAGTGCCGAGAGCTGTAGCCTTGCTGAGCGTTGCACCAGGTTGGGGATGTCGTTTTGTGTTACTTTGTGGAGAACCGGAGCCTTCTTGATGTTTCACCTCCTCACCAGGTGCCGTGGCCAGACCACCTCCTCCCAAATGGAGCGTCTTACGTCTTCATAAAGCTCTTCAAACACGCCGTGGACATGTTCCCAGGTGTTCCTGGTTTCTGTGGACACAGACACACACCCCCCCTCATGCTCGCAACTGTGTTAATGGTGTCGAGACTCAGCTTCCATTCGATAATGGCCTCACACTGTCGACCGTCCACACTAAATGACACGCATCTCCCCTTGGGGGCCCCACCCTCGTCCCTGTGACTTGTAAGAACTTTTGAAAAAATTAAAGCTCATTTGTTTTTTGTTGTAGCTAAAGGTTTATTTGTTGGGGCCTCCCTGGTGGCGCAGCGGTTGAGCTCTGGGTTGCGAAGCTGCCGCAGCCTCTGCAGCGCCGGTTCGATCCCCGGCTGCTCCCCGGCCACCGGAGGGGGGTCCCACATGGCGCGCAGACCTCTCCTGCCGCCCGCTGCTCCCCTCAGCAGTGTCCTTCGGTCCTTCTGCCTGCTCTGCTCCCCGCTCTGGCTCTGGTGAATCCTCTCACCCTCCCGCGCTTCTGACCGTACCCAGTGCTTGTATAAATAGATAAATAAATCTTTAAAAAAAAGATTTATTTATACAAGAACCGGGGCCTAGGCCAGATATGCAGGAGGGCAAGAGGATTCACCAGAGACAGAGCGGGGAGCAGAACAAGCAGACTGACGAAACTCACTGCTGAGGGGAGACAGGAGAGGTCTGCTGTGCTATGTGGGCAGCTCCCTGGCCGGCTGGGAATCGAACCCGTGCTGCAGAGGCTGCGGACAGCTTCACAGTGCGGCGCTCAACTGCCTGTGCACAAGGAAGGCCCTTCATTTAATTTTCAACTCTTTTTGGAATTTCTTTCGGTTTTGTTATCACCAGTAATGTCCATTTTGTTTTTCTCCCTAGAAGCAGCCCAAGGAGGCACAACCCCCCTACCCCAGCCCCACCTGTGGCGTCACTCTGGGCCATGGTCCCTCCGACTCGGGACCGTCAGAGTTCCGGGTTTGCCGACCGCTGGACGTTTCGGGAGGCCTGGGGACACTTTGCTCCAGCACTGCAGTCTTGGGGTCTGTGACCCTGGGGCTCTGCAGCCCCCCAGCCCAGCCTGCCAGCACGGAGGCGACCGTGACGGGCGCGTCCAGGAGAGGAGACACGTTCTCACTTAGACCCACATTTGTTTGCAAGGGGCCGCGTGTTTATTTCTCGCAGTGGTCGGGAGGGAGGCATGAGGGAGAATTCCCAGGAGCTTCCGAGAATCGAAAAGGCTGGAACCGGTCGGGAGGGAGCTCAGCCAGGGCGGGGATACTGTTCTGACTGGAAAGCCCTACGCAGGGAAAACCGCGCAGAGGCCCCGCGGCTGTGTGGGTGCCCGGAAGCGCGCCGGTCCTGCCTGTGTGGGCAGCCTCAGGCAGAGGGGCCCTGCAGGAGCCTGATGCCCTTGAACCCCCCTACCCCGCCGTGACCCAGGGTGCAGGGATGAGGAGGGCCCCAGCCCCGAAGCGGGGTGGTGGCCACACCCTAGCCCCACCCGTCTCTAGGTGGGGATGACTCAGGCCCAGGCGCCCCCACGACAGAGCCCGCTGGATGTGGAGCTCCCAGCTGTCCACACTGGTGGCTGCTGGGGCAGCACTGGCCGCGGACACTGTGGCCGCTTCCCCGTCCAGTCTCAGCCCCGACAGCTGCCTGCTGGGCCGCCGGCTGGAGCAGGAAACACCGTGTCCCTGGGGCCGCCCTGTGCCGCCCGCGCTCCAAGCGGGGCGGCCTGTCCAGGAGAGCGGCGCGGGGCATGTGTCCAAGCGGGGCGGCCTGTCCAGGAGAGCGGCGCGGGGCATGTGTCCAAGCCGGGCGGCCTGTCCAGCGAGGGCGGCGCGGGCAGGTGTCTCAGAGCCTCTGCCTCGGCCAGTCCCAAGCCCGGCGCGCGCAGGCCGCGGGCCTCCGGGCTGAGTGCTGGGGTCCAGCGCCCCCCCTGGCCTCGCGCCCTCGCCGGCCTGGGGGAGCGGCGGCGGGACCCCCGGGAGCAGAGGGGGAGCTGGCCGGCCTCCTCCGGGCAGGCCAGGGGGGAGCCGCCCGGCCAGGGGCGAGTCCAGCGGTGTCCCCGGCGGCCTGGAGTCCGGCCTGGCGCAGGGCGCCTGCTGGGCCGGGGCCGCCCCCTCCGGTCCTTTCCCGGCCCGAGGCGGCGCCGCAGGAGGAGCCGCGGGAGGCCCAGCCCCTGCGCGAGGCGAGGCCGGGGGCGCCGGCGAGGACGCGCCGGCCGCGGGGCTGGAGACGGCCCGGGCCGGGCGGGGCGGGGCGGGGCGGGGCGGCGCGCGGGGCGGGCCGCGGGGTGGGCCGGGCCGGGCCGGGCCGGGCCGGGCCGGCGGGCGGGCGGGCGGGCGGCCGGGATGGCGGGCGCGGGCGCGCGGGGCCGCGCGGAGCAGCGGGAGCGGCTGCGCCGGCTGCTGGGGCGGCTGCGGGCCGGGCCGGGGCGCGGGCCCGGCGCGCCGGAGCGGGCGCTGGAGGAGCTGCTGCTGCTGACCTTCGCCGACCACGGTGACCGCGCGCGGGCGGGGGGGGCCGGGGCCTCGGGCCGCGCTGACCCGCCCCGTCCGCAGCCGCCGAGCTGTTCCGGGGCCGCGACGCGCACGGGCCGCTGCTGGCGCTGCTGGACGCCCACCTGGGCGCGGCGCGGGTGCAGCAGGTGAGCGGCGCCCGCGGGCGGGGCGCGGGGGCTTGGGGGGCCGGGCGGGGCGCCGGGCGGGGGGGCTTGGGGGCGGGGGTTGGGGGTTTGGGGGCCGGGCGGGGGGCCGGCGCCGCGCCTGGACGCAGAACGGGCGGAAAAGCGAAACTTGGAGGTTGCGTCACGGGAAGCGGGCGCGGCCCGGGCCCCTCGCTGCCCGCGGCGCCGCTGGCCGGGGCGGGGGGGGCGGGCGGGGACCCCGCGGCCGCGACGGGCCCTCCGCGCGGGGTCGGGGTGTCTGGGCCGCGGCGCCCGCTCGGCTCCCCGCGGCCCCCCAAGCCCGGTCCGGGGCGCAGCGCGTCCGCGCGGGGCTCTGCTCCCGGCCGGGGTGGGGGGACCCCGGGCCGCGCCCCCGGCTCCGGCCCCCGCGCCGTCGGGCCGGGGCTGCGCCTGCGGCGGGGGGTCCAGGCCCGGCCGGGAGCGCCCCCCCCGCGGGGCCTCGGGAGTCCGCGGCCGGCCCGGGGTCGGGACTGGGGGCCGCGCCGAGGCGGGTCGGGGGCCCCTGGAGCCCGCGCGGGTCCGCAGAGCCTTCACGCCCGCGCCCCGCTGCCCGGGCCCCGCCGCCCTGAGCCCCGCCCCGGGCCGGTCCCGGCGTCTGCGCGCCCCGCGTGGCCGGGCGGCCCCTCGGCGTGGGGGGGTTCGAGGGCATCAGGCTCCCCGTGCTGGCGCCCCGGCCCGGACCCGCTGCTGCTCCGCGCCGAGAAGCGCCCGCGGCGGGCTGGGGGGGCGGCGGGGAGGGGGCGGCCGGGGGCGCGCGAGTTTGCTGTCCCCAAGCAGGACACGCGCCCCGGAGCCAGACCCCGCGCTGCGCCAGGCTCTGAGGCCTGTGCCCGGTTTCCGCCTCCCTCTCGGTCCGAGAAGCCAGCGGGGCCGCCCCCACCGCCTCCCAGCCCGGGCCGCGCGAGGAGAGGCCTGAGCTGCCTCCCCGGACTGCTCTGCGGTCCCTGGCTGGGGCGGCAGCAGTTTCCAGGGGGCCGTCGCCTGCGTCCTCACCGCAGGCGGGGACTGTCCTTGCAGGATGAGCCTTTATTACAGCGGCTGCTGGGCGGTCCCTGTGCTTTGCTACCAGTGACCTGTTTACTCACAGAGGCTCCGTTGCCTGAATCTTTTTGCAAAGCGCTTCTCCTGGTGCTGAGAAGAGCAGGCGTCCCCAGCAGGCATGTCCAGCCACACAGGTGTCCCCAGCCACGCAGGCGCCCCCACCAGGTGTCCCCACTCGACGTCCCCAGCCACACAGGTGTCCCCAGCCACACAGGTGTCCCCAGCAGGTATCCCCAGCCACGCAGGCATCTCCAGCAGGCATCCCTAGCCACACAGGTGTCTCCAGCAGGCATCCCCACCAGATGTCCCCACGAGACGTCCCCAGCCACACAGATGTCCTCAGCCACACAGGCATCTCCAGCAGGCGTCCCCAGCCACACAGGTATCCCCAGCAGGCGTCCTCAGCAGGGATCCCCAGGCTCGCAGGTGCAGGGACCAGGTGACATCTGCTGCGACTTAGCACTTACCCTCTAGAAATGGCCGCATGGCATCTCAGAGGCTGGGAGGCGTCTCTGTGACTCCTGGAGGTGCAGAAATAGCCAGTGTCTACAGCAGCATGGTCAGCGCTGAGGGAGGGGGAGGGCGTCCTGCTTCAGCACAGGTGTCCAGCGCTGCGGGGGGGCGGGGTGACTCGCCAGCGACCGGGAGTCACAAAGCGGCGCAGTGGCAGGTGGGCCGTTGGGAGCCAGAGGAGCCTGCAGGAGGCCGGTGTGACCACCGTCTTGGGCGCCCGACGGTTGCCCCCAGGGAGTGAGGTCCTTGTGGGGATGGACATCCTCGCCTCGGCGCCCGCCCGCCCAGCTCTCCACTCTGTCTCTGCCCAGCACGCCCTCTGCCCGGCCTTCCCGCGTCTGTCCTGGGAGGGTCCGTTTCCCTGATTGCAGTGGCCACATCTAAACTTCCGGAGCCGCTCCACCCCAGCCCGTGCTGTGTGCCCACGCCCGGCCCACAGCCCGCCCGGGCTTGCGACAGGCGAGCCACCGCGCCCGGCCGTGGGGCAGAGCCTGGGCTGCGGCCGCGAGCCCTGACACAGAGGGCGGCAGCCACGTGTGGTTTGGAGCTCGACAGTCATCTTAAAAACGTGTATCAGTGAACTTTGCATCTGTTAGAAGAGCCTCTTGCTCGAGGGGGTCCGCGTGCAGGGCCTGTGTGCGGCCCTGCCGGGAGGGATTGTGTAGGGGTGGCCGGTGCACCCTGGGAGCTGGGCCCTGAGCCTGCCCTCCTGCTTGGCCCCTTTTTCTGAAACGGATGCGGCGTCGTGGCTTTGTCTAAAACCCACTCATCTGCCACTGTTTTCTCTCTGCGCCGGGGTGGGCATCCCTGATAAATTATGCTCCCCGCCTGTCTCCACACCCCCGCCCACTGCCAGCCAGTGCTTGTCCCTGAGCCCGACCTGAGGTGGAGGTGCTGGCCCCGCCATGCTCGCTGGAGCGTGTGTCCACGGCCTGCCCTGGAGCTGTGGTTTCTCTCTTCCTCTCTCTCTTTCTTTCTCTCTTTCTTTCTCTCTCTCTCTCTCTCTCTTCAAGCACTGGGTACAGTCAGAAGCGCGGGAGGGTGAGAGGATTCACCAGAGCCAGAGCGGGGAGCAGAACAGGCAGAAGGACCGAAGGACACTGCTGAGGGGAGCAGCGGGCGGCAGGAGGGGTCTGCGCGCCATGTGGGACGCGCGCCATGTGGGACCCTCGCCGGAGGCCGGGGATTGAACCGGTGCTGCAGGCAGCTTCGCAACCCAGCGCTCAACCGCTGCGCCACTGGGGAGGCCCTGGAGCTGTGGTTTCTGGGTCTGCCCGCTGGGGAGGGCCTGCGGAAAGACACGCCGCGTGTGGGGCTTGCTCCCGGCCCGCAGGGCTTCGTGGGCACGGAGGGTTGTGCCCGCCGGCTCGCTGCCCCTGACGCTGTGGCTGTCCCCCCAGGTGGGCTGGTCGCTGCTCTGCAGGCTGCTCGAGGTCTGTCCAAGCTCCACGGAAGGCCTGACGGCGCCCCCCGACATCGGCCCCGACTGGGAGGTGCTCGGGGCCCACCAGTAAGTACTGCAGAGGCAGGAACAGGCTGGGATTCAGTGGGGGCCAGCACAGCCTCCTTCTCAGGGGCTCCCCCGTGGGGGCTATGCGGGGTGTCTGTGTCGCTGGCTTGGGAAACACATGCTGGAGGGAAGTGCCCGGCGTTGTTTTCATCATCAGAACACGGTTGGTTTCTCTTAGACTTGTGAACTCAAAACAAGAAGAGTTTTTGCTTATTAATAGTACAACTGGCCAAACCACTAGTTCTGCAAAAAAATACAGGAACTGAGAAGTCTGAGACTAGTAATTTAAAAGGTTAGATGCCGCCTGGAACGAGAGCGCGTTAGTGCGTTTCAGGACGGCATTCAAGCCCGAGGGCTGCCGGCCCCGGGTGGTCAGGCCCCGGCCCTGCCCGCAGCCTTGCCAGCTCTCAGCCAACAAGGCGCTTTCTGAAAAATGTTCCAGAAAAGTCCTTTCTAGACACTTCAGTTCTTGACAGTTGAGTGTATCTTCTGCCCTGAGCTTCTGCTCTTCACACCTGACTCCCCCGTGAGCAGGGCGGAGCCTGTTTCCTTCCAGCACGCGACGGTGAGTGTCCCTGCTGCAGCTGCAGCTGCGGCCGCGCCTCTCACTGCTGTCGGCATCAGTGGGGGCTGCGACTGGGCAGGGCAGATGCCCGCGGGTCCCGCTTGCCGAGTGCCTCTGCCTGCAGCCCCCAGGCCTGAGGGCATCCGGGAACAGCTCATTTACCGCCAGCCGGGTCGCCATCTCAGACTCATCCCTGGACTCCTGAGGCGGCGCTGGCCTGTGGCTGCAGAGGGGTCCGGGCCGGCCGAGTCGCCGTGGCTGCGGGGCTGTTGGAAGCTCAGAGGGTCATTCTCTGGCACAAGCTGCTCAGGCCGAGCCACACCAGCACACGCCCGTCCATCGTGCCCCCGCCCCCCCGGCCCATGCTTATCCCTGGGTCCCTCGGCTGGAGGTGGCCACGTGGGCGCACAGGCGTGGGGGCCCCGCAGCAGACGCTCAGGCGACCCAGCACCTGGACCACAGCTCCTGCAGTAGGAGACTTCTGCCCCAGAGGCTCCTGGGATTGAACTGGAAGGTTTAGAGGAAAAGCCTCGACTTCTGAAAGGCTGGTCACCTGCCAGCGGCCGGAGAGGACCTGGCTCAGATGGGGGGAGTGCGGGCGGGCAGGTCCCCGGGGTGGGTGCAGGGAGAGACGGCCCCTGACACTCACCACGGCTTCTGCCTCCGTCCACAGGCTGGTTCTGAAGATGCTCGCGGTCCACGGCGCCAGCGCCGACCTCTGCACGGTGGGGCTGAAGGCCCTCGACCTCCTGCTGGCGGCTTCAGGTGCTGGTGGAGTCTGAGTGTGGAACCGCAGGCGCTTCTAGCCGGCGGCTGCGCGTGCCTGGGTGTCTGTCAAGTGCAGTGACGACATGTGTTCTGTGTCAGTGATCTGAGAGCTGATCCGTTCTCGCTCCTGATTTCTTTACTTTTTCTCTCAAAAATCCCACCTGACACCACCCCCCATCTGTATCTGTAGCCCCAGCGCCGCCTCCCACCTGCTTTGGCCTGTTGGCCATTCATTTCCCTGCCTCCTGCTAAGGGCCGGCTGACAGGAGCATTCAGAGGCCAGCAGCCTCCTGAGGGACGCCCGCCGCTGCTGACGTCCTGCGAACGGTCAGGTGGCTTTGGGACGGTTCCCCAAGCTCCAGGAGAGAGGCCTCTGCTCTGCCCCTGGCGGCCGCTGGTGCCCTGGTGGAACGGGGACGTGGGGTGACGAGAGCAGGGCGGGAGGGCCGTGGTGGGCGTCTGGGGCCACGCTGACGGGGGCTGCGGTCTCTCCGCTCGCGGCCGGGGCTTTCCTTTTTTAGCCTCCGGCCATGGCAGGGCTGAGTTCCCGTCTGCAGTCCCCCGGCCCTGGGGTGAGACGGGCAGCAGGACATGGTTGGGGACTCGGAAGCGGATCTAACTCTTTCCACGAGGCCTCGGACCTCGCGCGGCAGGGGAGGTCTCCCTGCACGTCTGGAAGCTCAGCGCAGACCCTCGCTGGCGGCCAGCCCGCAAGCTGCCCAGTCCCTGGCTGATGAGCTCGCGGGTCTCAGAGTCTCCACTGGGGCGTGGCCGGGCCCCTCAGCAGCGCCTCGCGGAGGAGGAAATGCTGGTCCCCGCCCTGCCCAGGCTCACGTGGCCAGACGAGTAGCAGAAGTGGAAGCCCGATGTCCTCTAGCTTCAGGCCACTTGAGCCTGTTTAAAGAGCCACATGTGGTCAGTGGCTACTGAGGTGGACAGCAGGGGCAACATAAAACATGGTTAGAGGAGCCGTCCAGTGGGGAAGCTCCTTCATGGGAAGGAGAACCACGTGTGGCCAGAGGACGCCGGGTGCCCCTGCGTGGACACGTGAGCCTTCCCAGCCCAGCCTGCCCCTGCCGGAGCCTCTGCCCTGTGCCTCGACTCTCCAGTCTCTCCTCGGGGGGCCCAGGGCAGGGAAACTGGCCCGGCGCTGGTCATCTGCGGCCTGGGCTGAGCATCTGGGACCGATGAGTGTTTCAGGATGAGACGCCTCAGCTGTCCCTGTCCCCGCTGGAGAGGCCACGGCGCCGCAGGGCGGCTACTTACGGCCTGTTCTCTCGGCAGGGAGGATTGCGCTGCTGATTCTGGAGGAGGAAAGTGACGTCTTCCTGCTGGTCCTCAGCGCCATGCGCAGCTTCGCGGCCCGCAGTGAGGTCCAGCAGTTGGGCTGCCGCGCCCTGCACGTGCTGCTCGAGCGAGGTGCATGGATGTGGCCTGCCTGGTCATGGCGCGAGGGCCGGGGGGTGGGGGAGGAGCGGTCGTGGCCACGAGCCCCGGGCTGTCGAGGATGGACGGGCTGCCTGGGCAGTGACTGATTGGCGAGGCTCGTCTGCCTGGGCCCAGGCAGGGCTGGCGCGCGGTGGGCGTGGGCTCCGTGCCCTGGGCTCCTCCTGATGCAGTACGTGGGGCGCAGGACCCTGCCGGGCGCCCTTGGTCACAGCGGGTGGGGGCCTGTGGCCCACAGGGGCATCTCTTTGGAGTTGAGCCGTCCTCCTGGGCCCTGGGCAGGTCCCTTGCCTGCGCCTGTCGCTGCTCGTGGAGACGCCTCAGGGAGGGGAGATCTGAGCAGTAGTGTCAGGGCAGGATCCTGCGCCTCTGGGGGCTGTGCCCAGCGCGCCCCGCCCCGGCAGCCCCGGCCTTCTGTGTCCGACCTGGGGCAATGCTGGAGCCCCCCGTGGCTGGGCGCCCTCGCAGGGCAGGTGGAAGGAGACTGTCGTGCCCCCCAGGGCAGGCTGGGCCCTGTCTCTGAGCTGGTCACTGCGCCTTCGAGTCCCCCTGACAGGGTGGCCCGGGCGCTCCCTCCTTCTACCCCCACCCCCACCCACGGCCGCCCTGTTGCTCTGCCGTTTTCTTCAGAATCCCCTAAAAAACTGTAAATTACTGCGTTCTCCCCTGAGAATCCTTCGGCCGCTGACTTGCTCATGCCCGAGCACATGGCGCGCCCAGGCAGAGCCGGGCCCTCAGCCCCAGCAGGTCTGGCCGCGCGTGTGTCTCCCCGACGGCCTCGGCTCTCAGCGGCCTCTGCCTTCCAGTCTCCGAGGAGCAGCTGGCGGAGTTCGTAGAGAACAAGGACCACGAGGTGCTGCTGGAGGCGCTGCGGCTCTTTGGCGGTGATGTGGAGGTGGTGCTGCCCGCCCTGCTGTGCCTGCACGCCCTCGCCGTGCCCTGTGAGTGTCGCGGGTGCTGCGGGGCGGGGGTGGTGCTTGGGAGCTGGCCCTGCCGAGCCCCTTTGCTGGTTCGTGGGGTGACTTACGTACTGGTCCTGCCTGCAGCTGGCTCTGGTACGCTCTGACATGTGGGGGCTGGAGCGTGTCTCCTGCTGTCTGGACCCAGGATGGGGAGACGCACAGGCTGGGGCGGCTGTGGAGCCTGGTCCTGAGCGCAGCAGAGAGCGAGTGACCAGAGATGGGGGGGCAGGGGTCAGGCGTGACCAGGGAAGCCCATGCCAGTGGGCAGGGCATGCGGGAGGGGGCTCAGGAAGGTGCGTGTGTGCGCGCAGGCATGGCTGTGTGTAGTGTGTGTGGACACCCAGGCACCTGTGCGCCCATCAGTGGCGGGAGGGGCAGCAGGGCCAGTGCTGACCCTGGAGGCCGCCAGACCCCCTGAGCAGAGGTGGCAGGGCGGAACCAGGCCGGGGTGGGGCTGCGTGGAGCGGGTGCAGCCGCCTGTGAACCAGCACAGGCCGGAGGTACAGAGGAGCAGGCGCGCCCAAGCTGCCTGGGTTGGCCCCGCCCTGTAGGGCGTCCCTGGCCGCACCCCTGTCCTCGCGCCACCCTGTGCGGCGTCGCTGGGAGCAGATGTGGGGGCTCGGGGGCAGGTCAGTGTGTGGAGCCCAGACCGGGGAGGCTCTAAGCCGCTGCTCCCGAGGCCACATGGCGGGGCTGAGCGGTCAGGGCCGAGCGGTCAGGGCATGGCAGTCCGTGAGCCGAGAGTGCCCCTTTACGTCCTCGTCCAGCGAATCATCTGTGTCCGGGTCGTTTTCCGCCCACCGTTTTCCCACAGAGCGAGTGGTCTCAGGATGCAGGGGTCAAGGCGTTGGAAACAAAGGGCGTGGTGGTCAGCGGGCGCCGTGCCTGTCGCAGCTGAAAGACGCCGGCTTTTCCGTCCAGAGCAAACCATGTCTGTTGCTCTGGGTAAAACGTTTGTTCCAGGCCGTTCCCTTCGTTAGCACACAGTCCCCTGTGTCTGCGTGTTTAAGTCAACACTATTGAGAATGTGTTTCTGGGGAGGCCGTTCACGCCAGGAGGGGCCCAAGGCCCCTGTGGACGCCTCGCTGAGGCCCAGCCTTGGCTCTGGCCTGTGGCCGCCCCAGCACCCGCCGCCTGCTCCCTCCTGCTCGGAAGCCTGACTCTTCAGGAAGCCTGACTCTGCAGCCTCCAGTTCCTGAGTGACAGGCACTGGCCGCCACAGCTGGCCTGTCCTCTTTGTGGCTGCCTGACCTCCCTTCTGGGGCCGGGGAGGCACCACACAGGACTTCAGCAGGGCTGTGGGGCCTCGGAGGGTGCTGACGCACTCCGCTTGACCCTGGCTCCCCGCAGGCAGCAACGTGGAGGTGCTCATGAGCGGCAGCGTCCGGTGCTACAACGTTGTGGTGACGGCCATGGTGGAGTTCCCTGGCCATGAGGGCGTCCAGGAAGTGAGCTGCAGCCTGCTGCACCGGCTCTCGCTGGGTGAGGCCCGGCGCGTCTCCGCGGGCGTCCGTCCCGGCGCGTTCTGGCGAGTGCCAGCTCATGGCCAGCGGCCCTGGTGTCAGGTCACCAGCAGTGTCACCCGTGAGGGTGGGGTGTCGCGGTGGGGCCCCGCCGCTGGCCGCCCTGGCCTCCTTCTGGGCGTGGGCGGCGTCAGGGCCGCAGAGGTGCAGAGGACGCACAGGGCAGGCGCTCCTGCCAGCTGCTTCCCCCTGCTTGGACACGCCGACCTGAAGGCTCTGCAGGACCCGTGACTGCGGCCGCCCAGCCCAGCTGCTGTCTCCCTCGCCTCCAGGCAACTTCCTCAACATCCTGGTGCTGAACAAGGTGCACACGTTTGTGGTGGCAGCCGTGGGGCGCTTCCCGGGGAACGCCGCCCTGCAGGTGGCCGCACTCAGCTGCCTGGCCCTGCTCAGTGAGTACCCAGGGTGGCCATGGGGGACACCACAGGGACCGGCCGTGGGGGATGCTGCGGGGACAGTGGTGGGGATGCCCCCAGGGGCGGCCGTCGGGGAGCCCTGGGGCCAGCGTCTATCCGGAGAGGCCTCGCCCTCGGCACACACTGTCCCCGCAAGCTCCTTGCCTCACCTGCACTGGGAACGGGAGCAGACGAAGCGGCGCGGTGGGGAGGCTGTGCGCAGAGCTGCCTGAGCCTCTCTCATCTGGCCGTGGCTCCGTCCCCGGAGGACACGTGGGCCCCCTGCCACCAGAAGTGCGCCTCCAGCAGCCCCTGCTCAACCCCGGCCCCGGGCTCGGCCCCCTTCAGCCTGTCAGCCCCGTCCGTGCTGTCTCCCCGAGCGGCCACTTACAGACGGGACGGTGGGTGACGCCGGACGTGCTAGACGGGCCTTCTCCTCCCCGAGGCCGCTGCTCCGAGGCCCTCGCCCCACAGTGACGTCTCAGGGCCAAGCCTCACGTCTGGCTCGCGCGACTAACCACGTCTTTGCTTTTTCAAGCCGAGACCATTTTCTTGAACCAAGACTTAGAGGAAAAGAGTGAGGCCCCAGGCGCCACAGCAGCAGCGGAGGACGAGCGGCTCTTCTGGCTGGAGGCCTGTCACCGCGCCCTGGCCGGCCACCGCAAGGACAAGCACGTGCAGGTTGGTCTTGCCGCTGCCCGCGGGGCCTGTCCCGTGGGGGCCGGTGCTGACGGGCGTCTCCCCGCAGGAGGCCGCATGCTGGGCGCTGGACAGCCTGCTCACGCACCAGCGCAGCCTGCACCGGAGGATCGGCGACGAGGACGGCCAGTGAGTGCCCGCTGCGCGCGGGGGCCCAGCCGCCTTCCTGGCACGTCCGCGGGCCGTGCTCTGGCGGAGGGAGCTGTGCCTTCGCGTTGCCCTGAGCATGCCGGCGTGTGCGTTCTGACCCTGCCGTGGGCCGGGCCATGTGTGTCTGGGACCTGCTGTGCCCTGGGTCATGGCGAGGGCATCGTGCACCTTGGGGCTGACCCCAGATGACGCCAGGTATCAGGTGCCCACAGGAAACTTAGCCTGGACGCTGCTGAGTGTCTGACCTGCTTTGGACGCTCCTGCTTTTTGACCGTTTTCGGTATCTCCTCACCTCTGTTGCCTTCTTCTCGTTTTGTCTCTAATCATGTCCCTCCACCTGCCGGCTCGTCTCTCCACCGCTTGTCACTTTGAAGACAGGCGTCCTATTGTATTCAAAGCGTTGGACACTCATGTCCCCTTGGAGCTGTGGGGTGCTGTCCTCTCGGTGGGCGCCGTGCTGGCGAGCAGAGGCTGGTGTGGTCATGCGAGGTCACTCACCCCGGCCCTGTGCTGGCCTCCTGACAGGTTCCCTGTGCACCGGGAGGTGATGCTGTCCATGCTGATGCACTCGTCCTGCCCGGGGGTCTGCCAGGCCGCCACCAGCGCCCTGTCATCGCTGCTGCAGCAGAACAGTAAGGGCACCCCCCCCACCCCGTGACTTATGGTAGGAGCAGCACAGTGTAGTCAAGGCAGGCACGGGCTGTGTCCTGCACACTCGGACAGAGCAGGCGAGGCGGAGGGTGGACACAGTACAGCTAAATACAAGCAGGTGTTTTTCTTCTGCACCTCAAAGCATTACGTGCATAGAGTGTAACCTGCATAGAGTGTTTTCTTTTTTTGCAGAAATTGTATCATTTTATACTGTTTCTTTGGTGTGAGTACAAGAACTGGGGTGCAGCCAGAGGTGCAGGGGTGAGAGAATCCCCTAGAGACAGAGCGGGGAGCAGAACAGATGGATCCACTGAAACACACTGCTGAGGGGAGCAGCGGGGAGGCAGGAGAGTCTGCTGCACCATGCGGGCTGCTCCCTGGCCGGGGATCGCACTCAGGCGACGGGGGCTGGTGATAGCTTCATGGTGCTGAGACTTATCCCCTTGCACCACCAGGGAGGCCCTGACTTTAACTCTTTTCTAATCAAGTTTCACACTTTCTTTTTTCTGATAATAAATTTAAATCCTCGCGTCATTTTTTTCCAGCCGGTGGTTTCCCGAGAAGCTCCCGTTCTGGTCCGTGTACCAGGCCCTTGTGGGCTATAGTGGGTCTTGGGGGGATTCTTGTGCCTGCAGTAAACCACAGGCGGTCACTCCTGCCCACCTTTCTTCCTGCTGTTTTCTTAATAGCAGAGATGTTCTGGGAAGGCGCTGGCTGGATGCACAGTCACGGCTGTAGGATCTGGCCAAGTGTCCACGGGGCGTCTGCTACAGCGTCACCGACGCTGGCCGGTCGGCTCTGTGCCTTGGAGGGACATGGCACTGCCCGGGGCGGGACCCAGACGCAAACCAACTCTGTAGAAGCAGTTGTTTGTTTTAAATTTATGTGGAAATTTAACCGGTTCCCTTATTTTGACCGTTTTTCTTTTTTTAAAAAAAGATTTATTTATTTATATAAGAGCTGGGGTACAGGCCAGAGGTGCAGGGAGTGAGAGGATTCATCAGAGAGAGCGCGGGGCGCAGCACAGGCAGACGGACCGAGAGCTCCACTGAGGGAGCAGCGGGGAGGCAGGAGAGGTCCGTGCCCTGCGGGCAGCTCCCTGGCCGGGGATTGAACCCGCGCTGCAGGGGCTGCGGACAGCTTCACAGCGCTGCGCTCAACCCGCTGCGCCACCGGGGAGGCCCTATTTTGACCATTTTTTCTGTGAAAACACAGGACGCAGGATGTATTGCTTGGGGCGCCTCCGCTCTGTGTGTAAAATCCTCGAAGTGAAACCTCAGGAAAAGGTGGTAAATGAGGGTGGGAAGCAGGCCAGGCCCTGCAGAAACAGACCGGCCGGAGCTGCCAACGCCTCCTGAGCTCGGACGCTGCTCGGCTGCCCATCGCGAGCCGGGAAACCGGCTTTGTCATGTAGGTGATGGGACACGTCCTTACAGCCAATTTCAGGAAGGTCCTGCTGTCCAAAGGGATCCACCTGAACGTGCTGGAGCTGATGCAGAGGCACGCGGGCACCGCGGAGGTGGCGGCGAGCAGCTGCCGCCTGATGAACCGGCTTTTCCAAGGAAGGCAAGAGGCGTGGAGCCGCTTAGCTGGTCGGCCCTGGGGGTGGGCATGGGGGCAGCCGGGCTGCGCCCTGCTGGCCGGGCCCTGTTCTGTATGGGGTGGGGGGCACGGTCAGGCACGGGGCCGTGGTGGGGGGCAGGTCAGGCGGGGCCTGCCTTGCCTCGGGGTGTTGAGCACGAGCCTGGCCCCCGCCCAGGATGGCGGCACGTAGCCTGTCCCAAGTTCTCCCCAGGAAATGCAGCGGCGCCCGCTCCTGGACTGGCGCAGCTGCTTCTGTCCCACCGCTCGGCCCCTGCTGCGGCGCTGCCCGAGACCCTGCTGCCACTTGGTTTGCTTCTGGGCTGTTGCGCTGGGCTTGCGTGGCAGAGTCGGGGCGCGCTTTTAACGGGCGTTTCTGCCTTCCACAGCGACGCCTCCCTGGACACGGTGATGGCCGTGGTCCCCAAGATAATCGCGGTCATGCGCAGCCACGAGGCCGAGCTGCCGGTGCAGCTGGAGGCCACCCAGGCCATCCTGCACTTCCTGGACCCAGGTGGGTGGCGAGTGCTGGGTTCCCTGCTGGGGAGCCCCTGCGAACCCTGTTAGCTTGGGCAGCTCCCACCGCTGGGCCCTGCTCAGGGGACGTTGTTTGTCCCGGAGCCCCTTGCACCTGCCCTCCATTGGTGGGTGTGAGCGCGTGCACAGGCGGCTTATAGGCGCGTCGCTTGGAACCGGGTCTACTGGGTACGGATGTGCCTGTCCCTGCACCCTCGCCTCAGCCCCGCTGCAGCTGTGCTCGCCCCACACAGCCCGGGACGTGCTGGCCCTGCCCGCAGTGGCGCCCCAGCACCCCACCCTGGCCCACGGCCCTCAGACAGTCCGGGGACAGCTGACAGCCGGCCACAGCTGACGCTCGCAGGAGCACGAAGGGAAAGGCTGTGGCTCGCGAGGGGCCTGGGAGGCATGATTGTGAGCTGTCGGCGTAGCGTCCAGCTTCTTCTCTGCCTGGGGCTGGGCTGAACATGGGCGCTGCCAGGCACCTGGGGATGGTCAGCAAAAGGGCGTGGGGCGGACTCCAGCCTGAGTCCATTGGTCCGGGCGTCCAGCCTCCTCGTGGCTGACCCCTCCCGCGCCCGTCCCCCGGCCTCTCTGCCGCTGCCGCACAGAATCTTGAAGGCCCTGCCTGCGAAGCCTCTGGCCCCCTCCACGCCAGGAGACCCTCTCGCGTGCCTCTCGGGTCTGCGATGAGAACCGTTGCTGTGTGTGCCTCAAGTGGGGCCCCTTCCTCGAGACAGAACTGCCTCTCAGAAATCAAGCGTGTGGCTGTGGGTCAGCGCTGACCATTCTTAGCAAGTGGCAGTTTTTTAAATTTTTAAATCTTTACGAGAAAAGTGTGCATTTATCCCTCACACGCGTTTATTTGCACATTCATGTGTTTATGTGCGTTTGGGCTTAATTGCACACTTGTGCATTTCTTCACACACCGGTGCGTTTATTTCTGGTCTGTCCTGCGTGTAGGCGTGCCCGCGGAGAGCGGGGGAGGCCCGCGCCAGCTGGACGCGGCCAGAGAGCAGTGCTGGAGAAGCGGCCTGCACAAGCTGGTCCTGGCGGCTCTGAGCCGGGTAGGTGCTGTGTCCCGTGTCCGCGCTGCTAGCCAGACCCTCAGATGGGGGTAGAGACTCCCAGTGCCGCTGCTGTCAGCTCCGTCCCCATGTGGACACGCAGGCATTTGCTCCCGAGATCCTGTCCAGGCTGGTTTCTGGAAGGAGAGGGGCCAGGAGACCGGCCCTGCCTGGGTCAGGAGGTGCGGCCTCCTTGGGGCTCCGAGCCGGCAGCCACTGAGACCCACCCAGAGGGGGAGCGTCCCAGGGGCCTGGGGTGGAGGCGGGTGGGAGGCTGGGAGTGGCTGCAGGGTGTGGGGCGTCCCCCACAGGCCTGGTCCTCACAGCAGGTGGCTCTGCAGTCTGGGAGGGAGGGGGTCCCGTTTTCTGTGTCTTGACTTGCCGGCTGGAGGGACTGCGGTTTTGGGGCATAGTGCCGGCCGCGGCGCCCCCCTGCACCCCGGCCTGAGCCCGGCCTCTGCTCTGAGGTGGAGACCACATTTCTAACGGCGGCACCGCCCTCTGATTCCAGTTCCCGGGGCACCCTGGGCTCCAGCGGGGCGGCCTGCGGGTGCTGTCCACGCTGGCACTGCTGCCCGAGGCTGTGGAGGTGCTGCGCCTGGACGGCGCTGTGGACACGGTGCTGCCCAACCTGCAGGGGCACCCCCATGACGCAGGTGCGCGCCAGGGCCTGCCTGGGGGTCTCGGGCTCCGTCTCACATTTAAAGCCATTTCGCTCATTTTCTTCTGTTCCAGAAATCCAGCATCTGGGTTTAAGTCTGATAGGACATCTGGCCACGAGCACCAGCCTGAGCACCGGAAAGGGCCCCCTGCTGGCCGCAGTCCTGGTGTCCAGCCTGCGGCGGTTCGAGGGCCTGGCGGACGTGCAGATCGGGGTGCGTGGGCACGGCCGGCGGCGCCTCTTGTGCACCGGGGGGCGTCTAATCCCGGCAGGCGGAGGGTGGGGAGGGTCTCTAAGCCGCTCCTGCTGCTCTCCGGAGCCCCCAGCACAGCAGGCTTGTCTTCCCCATGAAGGGCAGGACACGCGCTGAAGAAACTCCCGCTGGGCTGGGCCTGCTTCGCTTGCGTTTCAGATAAATTGCAGCAGCAGGTCTCTGCGAGGCCCGTTCTGCTTCAGCATCAGCTGTTTCCATCAAGTCGTTTTGCCTCTTGTTTTTTTTCTTTTTTCAAAATTTTTTGAAGATTTATTTATTTATGCATCCCAGAACTGGGGTGCAGGCCAGAGGTGTTTGAGGTGAGAGGGTTCCCCAGAGACAGAGTGGGGAACAGATCAGGTGGATCCACTGAGACACGCTGCTGAGGGAGCAGCGGGGAGACAGGCGAGGTCTGCTGTCCCATGTGGGTAGCTCCCTGGCCAGGGATGGAACTCGTGCTGCAGAGGCTGCGGACAGCTTCATAGGTTGTGTCTTAACCCCTTGTGCTACCAGGGAGGCCCTTGTTTTTTTTTCATGCAGTGAAACATTATTAGTATTTTTCATCAAGTAAAATTTAAAATGTGATGTTATTCATGAATTGTCTGTATGAGGAATCCAAAATGCTAGTGCAGGGCTGAGGGGTGCCCGAAACATGCGGCAGCGCAGGATGGTGCAGGCGTCCCGAAGCCCCCTCTGCTTCCGTCAGGGGCCATGTGGCTCGGCCTTGGCCAGGGGCACAGCCAGCCGGGCCCGCCCACCGCTTGTGTGTGCACGAGGAGCCGCGTGGCCAGTGCTTTAGAATCCCAGGGCTCGGGATCCCCCACCTTTGTAGATGAAAATAACTTGCAGAATCCTGCCTTCTGCGGTGCACCTGCCGGGGTAACTCAGTGGGCCGGAGCTGAGTCCAGGGGGTTGTTGGCGGGGGTGATCTGTGCATCCAGCCTGGTTGGGGGCTGGGGTCTGGGGCACTGTGGAGCCAGGGGCTGGGGACCCGGGGGCTGCCTTTGGCCTGCTAGCACTGTCTCACGGTTGGTGTTTATTGGCTTTAAATGTGAATGTGCATCTCCAGCAGGGCCGGCCTAGGCCTGGGAGCACCTGTGGACCCTCAGGAGCTGTTCTGGGCGCCAGCTCTGTTTAGTTCATGTCAGGGCGCATCAGGACAGTGTTTAGGCTCCAGGCGTGTGACTGACGCCAGCATGTCTGTGCTTCCTCGTGTTCACAGTCAGCGGTTGAACCTGCCCCTCTCCGGGCCTCCCGTGTCCGCCTTTTCTCTCCTGCTAACCTTCGATTGGTCTCAGGCTCCAAAAGCATACTCTTGCTTTACCAGCTTGTCTGTTGGCTGGGTTCTCTGTGTCCACAAGGGAGTGGTCAGTGTCACTGATGCCACCCCGTCCATCCTGCTGTGCAGGCGCACCCACCTTCTTCAGGGCTGAGTAGTACTCCGCCATCTGCCCTTGGGCCCTGGGACTGTCCACAGCCCTTGGCGCTTAGGCACGGAGCAGTGATGACCTGGGGCGGTTAGCGCTTTCCATGTTTGGTATTTTTCAGGGAAATACCTGGAAACTCAAAACAGCAGTTTCAGTGTTCAGGCAGTTTTACCCACACTGTGCTGAAAGGGAATAGAGGCTCCCCGTGAGCCCTGGGTCACACTCGTCCCTGGAGGCCCTGGACCTCACAGCTCCTGCCGCGTGCCGGGCTGGGGTCTGGGCGTGCGGGGTGGCCGACCAGTGAGCCTGTGCTGGGGCCGGTCTTCATGAGCCTGAAGGAGCAGGGGCTGTGGTCGGTCCCGTGGGGCAGCTTTCCAGAGGAGGCACAGAAGCAGCGAAGACCTCTGCTGGCTGCGGTGAGGCCAGCGGCCCCTCCGGCCCATGAGTGCGGCCTGCAGAGGGCGCGTGGCCAGCGAGGCCTACGTGCTCCCCTGGACTTGGTGCTTTAGGGCCTGGTGAACACGCCACGCAGGAGGCAGTTGCCCCTCTGCGGGAGCCCCTAAACCCTGGAGCGCCCCTCCCGCCACGCGGTGGTGACGTCGCCCCTTGCAGGGCCTCCGGACGGCGCTGAGGACGCTGGAGCTGTGGGCGCCCTTCGCGGGGCTGCTGCTGCGGCACAACTTCGACGAGGTGCTCTCCCGGCGGCTGAGCGCCTGCGCCCCCGAGCTGATGGACCCGCAGGTGGGGCGGGTGGGGCTGGGGGCCCAAGGCTTAGGGGTGGGGGGGGCGGGCCAGGGATCGGCGCCGGGTGTGAGGGGCCTGGGGCTGAGCGGTGGGGCGTGTTGGGGGCCGCCACTGACCCCGCCTCCCTCCAGCTCCTGGACCTCGGCTGCAAGTGCCTGGCCAGGCTGGCTGCGGAGGACGAGGCGCGGGGCGCGCTGCTGCGACGGGCCTGCGAGCGCGACGACGGCGTCCTGGCCGAGTGTCTGCTGCTGCTGGGGGCTGACATCAACCACGCGCAGGCCCCGGGCGCGCCCGCCCTCATCTGCCAGGTGAGCCCCCCGCGCCCCCTGCCCCGCTCCGGAGGTCCTGCGGGGCCTTCCCACTGGCGGGCTCGAGAGTAGCGTCAGGGGCGCGGCCTCCCCATACACCCCGTTTATCTCGTGGCCATCTCCAAGCGCTTTCTCTCTGCGGGCCCCGCGAGCCCCTGCCAGCTCTTTTGAGGCGCTCTCCCCCCTGCAGGCTGCGGGGAGCCACCCTCAGTGGTGACCGGCACGTCCAGCGTGCGCCTTCCCTGGGGGTGGACAGAGCGCGCGTGGGACGCAGTGTCCAGCAGGCCCCGCCGCCACCTGTGTGTCCTCCGTGGGGGGTCAGGGCCTCAGGGCCGCGCGCTGCCCAGTGACCCTGGGGAAGCCTAGCCCCCCGCCCTCGTGCCCCCCACCGTCGTGCCCCCCGCCTCCAACGCCCCGCCGCCCGCCGCAGGTGTGCGAGGAGGCACGCAGCCCTGCGCTGGTGGAGCTGCTGCTGCGCCAGGGGCCCCGCGAGCAGGACGTGCGCTCCGCACTGGCCCTCAGCGTGTCCCGGGGCGACGGGGCGGCCATCGGGCTGCTGCTGCGGAGACTCGCGCTGGACCCGGCCCACGGCAGCGCGTGCCTGGGCGGCCTCGGCCTGCGGAGGGTGGAGCCCGCCTGGCTGGCCCCGCTGTTCGCTGACCCGACGCCGAGCCCCGGGGGACAGTCGAGTGAGTGCGGGCCGCGGGGTGGGGGGTTGGGGGGGTGGGGGGTGGCTCCGGGCTTGCGGCTGAGATGGCACTTGGTTCCTGTCGCCGGCACAGGCACCACCGTTTGGGTTTTTTTCCCTCGGGTTGTAAAATGCTCAACAGTGACCCGCATCCTGCAGCTCCCGGCTCACGGGTCGGCCAAGGTGGGCACCCCAGGGCAGAGCCTCCTGCTGGAGCTCCCGGTGCTGGGGCCTGCTCGGGGATGGGTGAACCACCCACTGGTCAGCCTGGCATTGCCCTGTGCCTGAAAGGCCAGTGTCCTGCTGCCTGGCCACCTCCCTGGGCGCCTCCTCCCACCCGAGGAATCCCCCAAAGCACATCAGTAACAGGTTGGCTTGGCTGTCGCCTGCTCCCCACCCAGCCCGGCCCAGGCCACGGGTGCTGTCCCTACCCCCCCTCACCCCGGGAGGTCAGCCGGGGCCCAGTGCTTCCCCAGTGCCCCCTCCCCATTCTGATCCCTCAGCCCTGGCCCTCTGCCTGTCTGCTGCGTGGCCATCCCGCAGCGACCGCCTCAGGTGGCCTGGCTCTCAGACACGGGTGTTGCTGAGGCCCGGTTGGGCCCGATGTCTTGAGAGTGGACATCAGGGACGCCCCTCGGGTCCTGGCAGCCTCTGGGGCCAGGGCAGAGCCCATGAGCGCTTTCCCCCTGAGGTGTTGTGTGACGCTTCTGCGGCTGACAGGCCTGTCCAGGACAGGCCCCTGCGGCCTCGAGGGCCCGCCCTGCCCCGACAGCCACGCCCAGGCCATGTGCCACGGGCCCGGCCGAGCGGACTCCGGCAGTCACAGGGCTGGAGGCTGGACCCCTGATTGCTGCACACACACACTGTGGCAGCCGAGGGCCGCCCCTTCCTGCCTGTGTGGGGCAGGCGCCTGGTCCTGTGAGACCCCACGCTGGCCTTGCTGGCCTAGGGCCCAGGGCCCAGCTCTGGTTCACAAAGGCCGGCTTTGTCCTCCGCACGCAAGCTCTTGCTTTTTTTAAGAAGATTTATTTATTTATTTATGCATACAAGAGCTGGGGTGCAGGCCAGAGGTGTGGGGGTGAGAGGACTCCCCAGAGACAGTGGGGAGCAGAACAGGTGGACCCACTGAATCCCACTGCTGAGGGGAGCAGCGGGGAGACGGGAGAGGTCTGCTGCGCCGTGTGGGCAGCTCCCTGGCTGGGGATGGACTCAGGCCGCAGGGGCTGGGACAGCTTGAAAGCCCTGAGACTTAACTCCTGCGCCCTCAGGGAGGCCCAAAGCTCTTGTGTTTTCAAGATCATTAAACGTCAGCCCTCAGCTGCCCGTGGGGGAGCGAGTGTGAGGGGATGGGAGAGGGGAGTGGGCTGCGGGCCGGTCCCTGCACTGGCCGCCCGCTCAGCCGCCTCTGTCTGCAGGTGTCGGGGCCGCCCTGGCCAGGATGGTGCTGGGGCACCAGAGGAGCAGCCCCGGGGCGGGGGCAGAGGCCCCCCGGGGCGAGGGCAGCCTGGCTGGAGACGCGCAGGACAGGTGCGAGGAGTGGACCCTTGTCACCGAGTTCCTTGTGGACGGCGTGTTTTCCCAGAGTGACGACCCCGACAGTGAAGGTATCTGCTTACCGTGAAGCACCGTCCGGCCTGCCTTAAAGCTCACCCCGCTGGGGGCGCGCCCGGCCTGGGGACCCAGCCCGACACCCCTCCTTTGGAGGAAGCTGCTCGGGCTGGACGTGTGGATGCCCGGGCTCCCCACGGGCTGCGCTGTCCCGAGCCCCCGGGCGAGGGTGGGTGTGAGTCGGGTGCCCTCCCCGCCCGGGACCGCCGTCGCCCGAGGGGCTGGCGTGCGAGGTGTCTGTCCACACGGCGGGACTGGGGAGGAGCTGCCTTTATTAAGATCAAAACTCCCACGAGCGCTTCCAACCCGGCTGTAGGTAGCTGGGGGAGGTGGGCGAGAGACGTCCACCCACGTGAGAAGCCACAGCCTGACGCTGCAGGCCCTCCGAGGACTCCAGGCCTGCGGGACGGCGGGCGGCGGGGGCTTTCTCGCTGTCGCAGCCTCTGCCCGCTTCTCCTCACATCCAGGCAGCGAAGGCTCCGATCCGGCGGGAAAGCTCGCACGCTCGGGCAGCCCGGGCGGGTCTGGCCACCTCCTCGCCTCGCCGCGCCCCTGCTACTTGCCCCGGCCCCTGCGCCCCGCCCTGCCGGTGAGGACCCCGCCCCATCACCACGCCGCCCTCACCCGGGCTGGGGCCGAGACCCGGTGCACCCCCATGGCGCGTCCCCCTGCGGCTGTGGGGACTCCATGTGCTCCTGGCTGCGGGTGCCCCCCACCGCTCAGACCCCGAGGGCTGGGGGGCTCGGACAGCCCCTGAGGCTGGGATGGCCCGGGGGTCTCTGCGGAGTCGGGTGGAGCGTCTGTCTCCCAGCAGGGCCCCATCGGGGATCAGGAGGACTCCAGGGAGGGGAGAAGGAGCGTCTTGTCCCCCGAGGACCCCCCGCGTGAGTGTGGGCCGTGGTGGTGTCGCACCCGCCTCCCCGCTGTCCCGGTCACCTTGCCCAGCCCTGCACGTCCTGCTCTTGAGCTGCGGAGATGAGACGGGGGTGGGGGCGCTGCAGAGGCTCGGTCCAGGCTGCTGAGACCTGAAGTGTGACTGGCGCCCTCTGTGCCCTCGACCCTGCGCCCTCCGCCGTGTGCCCCACCCTGCCCCGGGCAGTTCTGGACTGGCCTTCCCGCCGCGGGTCCCTGGTGGGCGGGCTGTGGACCGCCCTGGCAGACTCAGGGACCTGCCTCTTTTGGCTGGTTGTGACCCAGGGCCCTGGGGCAGCCTGTCCCCCCCGCCCCCGGAGACGGGGCGCATCACGTCCTTGGACTTGTCGGCCAACGAGCTGCAGGACATTGACGCCCTGGCCCAGAGGGGCGGGCTCAGCGCTCACCTGGAGCACCTGGAAAGGCTGGAGCTGCACCAAAACGCGCTCTCGGGCCTCCCGGCCCAGCTGTGCCAGGTGCGCCCTGCCCAGCCCCGCCCCGCTGCTGCCTGTCTCCCTCCTCGCTGCCATCCCACCGGCCCCCGGCCCCTGCCACCCCGCCCCCGCAGCCCCCTGCACCGGCCAATTCCATCCCTGCCCCCATCCCTGCCCCCTGCCCCCCGATGTGCCACCCCCGTGCAGCCACCTCCCTGCGCTGGTGTGCCTGTGACTTCAGGCCCCGGGGGGTGCTGTCTATGTCCTGGACGTGACTCCCCTTCTCTGTTTGCTCAGAAACGCCTTGAGGGCGGCAGGAGGTGGGGGGTTCGCAGACCTCTGCCTCTGTCCGGCTGTATGAGAAGGGGCGCGGCTGCGGCGTGAGCCTGGCAGACCCTCTGTCAGATGAGCTGGGCCTGCGCAGCCCCGGCCTCAGGAGACAGGTGGCCCAGCGTTGCCGTTTTGCTCAAAGCTCCTGTTTTGGGCGGGGGCGACTTTGCCTCTCGTGGTCACATCCTGTGCTGGAGGTCAGGGGCCAGCGGGCAGCGGCCGGGGCGAGTGTCTGGGTTACTCAGCTCACGTCAAGCTGTGTGTCGAGGGTGTGAAGGATCAGACCTGCTCAGTGTAAACCTGCTGTGGCACAACGTGGCGCCCGCCCTGCCTGGGGGTGCTGGGGCAGCGTCGGGTCCTCCTGCTAGGGTGGCGTGTGCAGGGGAGAGGAAGGAAAGGGGTCCCCACGGCGCCTGTGTGCGCGGGGTCTCCTGCCCCCCAACGGGGCGGGACCCGGGTTCTCGCACTGGGTGGGTCTGTGGGTGCAGCAGCTCCTGGACCCCGCCCGGGACAGCTGCGGGCGCCCCCGCGCCCCCGGGAAGGGCGGCTGGGGCGGCGGGGTCCACCCGCGTGGCCTCCAGGGAGCTGCGTCGAGAAGCAGGGCAAGGAGAACGGGGACTTGGCCTCGGGAAAGCAGAGCCTGACGGCGCGGGCACGCCGGCCCCGGCGTGGGAGACGGACACCCGACTCGGCCTCGCCCCAGCCCTGACCCCGAGCTGTTTTGCCGTCGCTGGTAACTGAGTCTCGCTCCATGGAAATATTCTGATCAAACCTCAGGAGCTGGTGACTCACCAGCGTCTGCTCTGACCCCCGGGCAGCGCAGGGCAGGCGCTAGAGCTCTGGGGCCGGGGGCGGCCCAGGGCTGCGGGTTGCCCGGCGCAGGTGGATGCACGTCTGCGGGGTGGAGAGGGGGTTGCTTTTGGTATTTTAGCTCTTTGGCAAATAATCCTGATGACAAATAATCCTGACAAACATTTAGAAGACACAGACGGGGCAGGTAAACGGGAGCTTTGCGTTTGTCGCGGTACGATCGGAATTTGCTTCAATGGGGATTTGAGATGTAACGTTCCTTGGAGAGAGGTTCTGCGCAAAGTGTGCGCCCGCAGCGTGCTCCCGTGTGTTAAGTGTGTTGGTGTGTGACATTCTAGTATTTCGAAAGCCTGACCCGAGGTTGCCGGCCCGCGAGGTCACTCTCAGGTTGCCCAGGCCTGTCCTGCTGCTCCCCAGCGTCCCACGGCCCCGCCCGGCCTGCCCATGGGGTTGCGGTGCCCGGTGGGCTCGGCCGGCTCAGGCGCGCCTCTCCCGCAGGTCCTGAGGCGCCTGACGCACCTGGACTTGCACAGCAACAAACTCACGTCCTTCCCGGCCCACGTGCTGAGCCTGAGCCGCCTGGCCTTCCTCGACGTGTCCAGGAACGACATTGGCCCCCGTGTGCTGCTGGACCCGGCGTTGTCCTGCCCGGCACTGCGGCAGCTGAGCCTGGCCCACAACCGGCTGAGCAGCGTGCCCGAGGGCCTGGGCGCCGTGGCCAGCGGGCTGCAGCAGCTGGCCCTGGAGGGGTGAGTGGGTGGCCATGGCCGCAGGCCTGGGCTGCAGGGCGGCCGTGGTCTGGCCTCCCGTGCCCTGTGGGCGCCGGCAGCACCGTGCTCTTGTTCCCGGGCAGGAACGAGATAGCTGGGACATGCCCCTGCCTGTGCTTGACGGAGCTGAGGGCCTTAAACCTGAGTAAAAACCACATCTCGGACCTGGCGGGCGGCTTCCTGGAGGCCTGCCCCAGGCTGGAGAGCTTCAGCGCCAGCATGAACCTCCTGGGTAGGGCTCCTGGCCCAGGCCCTGGGCGCTGCGGGGAGTCAGGCGCAGCCTTTTGGGGGGACGTGGCAGTGTTGAGAACCTGGCTGTTCCCGTGCAGCGTGCCGGCTGCCATGGGGTATCTGGGCATGGCCGACGTGGGGGGTGGGGGCATGGCCTGGAGGGAGCTGTGGGGGGGTAGGGGTTGGGGACGGGGGGTCGCGGCCTGGACACACTGGACTCACAGCCCACATCTCCCCACCGTCCGCTTTGGGCCTAGGGGGCCGCAGGCTGAGCTGGGGCTCGGGCTGCACTGAGGGCGTCCGGGTGGGCAGGAAGGCGCCTCGGCGGCCACGCGCATCCTTGCCACGGGAGGGGGCCAGCAGATGCCCCAGACACTGTCTCTGCTTCCTCCAGCCACCTTGCCCACCCTGCCCCCCTCCTTGACGAGCGTGAAGCTGGCCCAGAACAGGTTCGCCTGCGTCCCGGACGCCCTGCTCAGCCTCCCGCAGTAAGTGGCTCCGGCGGGGAAGGAGCAGGTGGCGCCTGCGGGTCCAGCCCCGGATGTCCTGCGCTCCGGGGCCCCTGCGCACACTAGGGCAGCAGCTGATGGACACGTTCATGTTTCTGAAGCAGAGAAATCAGGTCTCGAGTGGGTGCAGCCTGTGTGTGCCTATTGCACACCCCACATGCCCCCCACACGCCACTGACCTCAGGCAAAGGCGGGATCCCAGACCCGACCCCGGCAGCCTCACGGGAGGGTGCGGTGCAGGCACTGGGCCCTGTAGTTTGTGGGCTTCTAGCCTGCGGCCCCGTGGAAAGGGCGCTGGTGCCGGCGCCCACAGTCCTGGAGTGCCACAGGGTCAGCCACGGGGTCCGCGCTGAGGTCTTGGTCTCATGGTGAAGGCGAGGGGTGAGGCGGCTGTGTGTGCTGGGCGCTCACTGGCCCTGTCCTCTCCCGGCTGTCAGCCTGCGGTCCTTGGACATGAGCAGCAACGAGATCCAGAGCCTGCCGGGCCCGGCGCACTGGAAGTCCCAGAACCTGCGGGAGCTGCTGTTTAGCCACAACCACATCAGGGTCCTGGACCTGGGCGACAAGGCCTGTGCCTGGGCCCGGCTGGAGAAGCTGCACCTGGCCCACAACAGGCTGAGGGAGGTAGGCCCGGCCCCGGCCCCGCCCAGGGCCAGCACCAGCCTCACCTCTGCCCGTCTCAGAGCCTCGTGTCAAACCCGCTACTTGCTGTTTGCTGCTCTTTAAAGGAGTCGGGGTTGGGGGAGACCCTGGGGGGGCCTTGTGCCGCCGTTGGGGCCTAGGGGCTGTGCCAACGCGGCAAATCATAAAACCTGAAAGAACTCGCTTGTAGGAAGCAGAGACCAGAGGTGTGCGGGCGCGACCCCCGCTGTCCTGAGCCATCTGGGGCCCGCGGGGTGGGGGGCAGCTGCCACGGCTCCCAGCCGAGTCGGCCCCCAAGTTTGCGTCCTCGTGCCCCTTGCCAGACGCGCTCCAGCCGCTGTCGCCTGCGCTCCTGGGCCCGGCCCGTCCCCCGCGCCCCTCCCCCTCACGCCCCCCACCCCTCTCTGCAGGCGAATCGGGGTGTCTTCTGTATGAAAGCAGCGTGCGTGCCCGGGGGGTGGGAAAGGAGACGCCCCGTGTATGCGACAGCCGTGCAGGGCATCTGCATGGGGGGGGTGTCTGCGGGGGGTGCTGGGGTCCGGAGAAGCCGGCGGGGGGTGCCCAGGACTCCCTGGGGCGCCATGTGAGCCGCCCGCTCCCCGCTGCTGCTTCCCGGCACTGAGCGCGGCCCTGTCTCTTAAGCTGCCCCCCGAGATCGGCTGTCTGCAGAACCTGGCCTCGCTGGACGTCAGCGGCAACGCGGAGCTGCGGTCCTTCCCCAACGAGATGGGGAAGCTGAGCAAGATGTGGGACCTGCCCCTGGACGACCTGCGCCTGGATTTTGATTTCAAGCGCGTCGGCTGCAGAGCCAAGGACATCATCAGGTGAGGCCGCTCCGCCTGTCGTCTCCGCCCCCAGCTGCGTGGGCGTCGTGGTGGGAGCGGGGCGAGGGGGGCCGCGGGGCGGGCCGTGGCTCCCCAGCCGGCCCTCCTGGCCCCATGGCCTCAGGATGGGCGGCACAGCGGTGTCCGGTCAGGCGGGCCCCAGTGTGTCCCCTGCCCTGCTGCACACGGTCACCGAGGGCCTTGGGGTCAGCACCCTGCCCGCGAGGGCGACTCCTCCCGGTACCGAGACCAGCCCCCTGCTCCCCGCCACGCCTGGCTGCACCCTGCAGAGTCCGGCTGTGGTGGTGGCTCATTCCAGCCTCCGGCCCTTTCTGGCAAGCAGCTCCGAGGCCGCCCCGCCTCTGCCCGCCCCTCTCCCCTGGGGCACCCTCCCCACCCGGCCAGCTCCGTGTGGACAGGGGCCCGCACCCCCAGTCCCTTCTGCCTGGTCCTCCGAGATTTCCTTGGGCCCCTTTATCCCTCCTCGGGAGGACAGCCTGGGTCTTCGTCCACCCGCTGGACGTAGTTTGCAGGGGAGGGTCGGCCTCCTGCGTCCGTGTGGCCCCGCCGTGGCCCTCCTGCTGGCGTGATGTCCGAGTGGAGCCGGCAGTCCTCACCAGATGCACTGGGGGTGGGGGTCAGCCCGCTGGCCTGTGCCCTGTGGTGCCCCATGGGGCCGCAGGCCTGCGCTCGTGCGCCCACGTGCATGTGTGAGTGTGCATGCCGGGGTGTCAAGACACAGAGCACACATGTGCACGCACACGCTGGAGCACGCACACACCCACCCACGGGAGCGCACACGTGCACACATGCTGGAGCACAGACAGGTACACACGCTGGAGCGTACATGTATACACACGCTGGCACACACACCCACGCTGGCGCACGCACCACTTCTCTCCGGTCTCTGGCGTCCCGGGCTCTGCACTTTATATCCCGCACACGGACGCGGGCGCTGTCTGGGGCTGGCCTCGCGCGCTCCCCTCCGCCCCGGCACACGCGGATGTCTTAGAGACATCGGAGGCGGGACCGAGCCTCGGCCGCAGTGTGGTGTCGGCGCACGGGCCCCGTGGCCGCCGTCACCAGCACGCTGCGTCACAGGCTGCCCGCGCCTCACGGCTGCCCCACGCCAGGTTCCTGCAGCAGCGGCTGAGGAAAGCCGTGCCCTACAGCCGGCTGAAGCTGCTGGTCGTGGGGAACGCGGGCAGCGGCAAGACCACCCTGCTGCGGCAGCTGATGAGGGCCCGGAAGGCCGAGGCCGCGGCGCCCGGCCCCACGGTGGGCATCGACGTCCGGGACTGGCCGGTGCCTGTGCGTGGCAAGGGGAAGCGCGACCTGGTGCTCAGCGTCTGGGACTTCGCAGGTGCCTCGTCCGGGGCCCCTCCTGTGCAGTCGGGGCACCCGGGGGCGGGGGGCTGGAGTCGTCCCAGAGCCACTAGTGTCTCCTCGTTTCTCCCGTCCTGGGTGGCCCGGGGCGGCCCCGGGCATCGGTGGCCTGCGGAGCCCGGCGCCTTGCGGGGGCGGCAGAACAGCCTCTCCACGTGGTGGCGCCTCCCGCGGGTGGGGATGGACCCTGCGCGTGTCCCCGCAGGCCGGGAGGAGTTCTACAGCGCCCACGCCCACTTCATGACCCCCCGCGCCCTCTACCTGGCCGTGTTCGACCTCAGCAAAGGGCCGGCCGAGGTGGAGGCCATGAAGCCCTGGCTCTTCAACATAAAGGTGCTGGACTTGGACGTCGTGTGTGTGGTGTGTGTGTGGTGTGTGGTGCGTGCGGGGTGTGTGTGTGTGTTGTATGTGTGTGTGTGGCGTGTGGGGTGGGCCGGGTCTGGGTGAGCAGGTGCTTCTGTCCCCTCACCCGCCCGTGGGGCTGTGTCTGGTGGGCATTGGCTGGGGTCAGCCACGCTCTGGAGGGTTCAGCCACAGTAAAGTGCAGTGATGGGGTGACGTGGGCCACCCACTGGCCCCGTGTCTCCCTGGCCTCTGTCCTGACCCCGCCTCCCGCAGGCCCGCGCCTCGGCGTCCCCCGTGGTACTCGTGGGTACTCACCTGGACATCTGCGAGGAGGGCCAGCTGCAGGCCTGTGCAGCCAGCGTGGCCCAGGAGCTGCTGGGGCGGCGGGGCTTCCCGGCCGTGCGGGGCTGCCACTTCGTCAACGCCACGCAGGACTCGGACGCCCTGGCCAAGCTGCGCACGGCCATCATCAGGGAGAGCCTCGGCTTCAAGGTGGGCCTGGCCGCGGCCTCGGGGTCTCCTGGCTGCGCACTGGGGCACATGACCCTTCACAGCGCTTCCCATGTGGGCCTGCGTCCTCTCACCTCCGCAGCCCTGTGGCCCCGAGTGCCGTCCCTGCATGTCCCTCCCTGCTCTGGCCCCTCTATCCCCCTTGGGCTCCTCCTTGGAGGAGCCAAGTCCTTCTTGGTCAGCCGTGCTGTCCCTTCCTTGGGGCCTGCCATCGCCCCCTCTGGGATGCCGCTGCTTGTCCGGCTTGTGGGGCTGCTGGCCTTTTGCTGGCCAGGTGGCTGGCCGGCCCCTCGGTGTCCTGGCTGTGTCCAGCTTGTGGACACACTCTGGGCGGCCAGACAAGCTCCGCCCTCCTCTGGCGAGGTGCATCGGTCAGGGGGCGCCTGGTCACACGTGCGGAAGGCCCTGCCTGGGCTCCGGGGACTGCGCTTTAAACCGTGCCGGGCCGCCCAGCTCGGCTGCGCCCACTACGTTGTGCCCGTGGGGGGTGCTGAGAGCCGTGGCCAGCTGTGGGCCGTGGTGTTGTGTCTCGCGGGAGAAGGACGTTCACAGTCCGTTTTCGTCCCTGTGGGACGGTTGGGTGCAGGGGCGAGGGGCTGGGGACCTCCCTACGGGAAGGGCTCCGGGGCCTGGCCCTCGGGGTTTACTTTACGCGCCCAGTCGAGATAGCAGGTCGAGCACGGCGGCCGGGTTGGCAGGCGGGGAGTGCAGGGTGGGGGCTCATCTCCCGAAGTTCACAGCAGGGCGGCGCCCCTCCCAGCCGGGCCTGCAGACCAGCTCTGCGCGAGGGCCTCGATGGGGCGGGCCCTGACCCTGACGCTGCCGCCATCCCGCTAGCTGTGGGGTGTGGGATGGTGGGGACAGGGAATCCTTTGCGAGTGGGGGGTGCCCGCAGTGCCCAGGGGCTGGGGGGCTGGGGGTGCTGGGGTGGCCAGGGGTCCTGGGCGAATGTTTCCATGCCGGCTTCTGCAACGTGGGGTGTCAGTTGGGGGCTGCCCCAGGCCCTGAGATGGGTGGTCAGCTGGGTCCATCTCTGCAGATCCGGGCCGAGCCCGTGGTGGGGCAGCTGGTCCCTGCCTGCTACGTGGAGCTGGAGAGGCTCGTCCTGGCGGAGCGCAAGAGCATGCCGGCCGAGTTCCCCGTGGTCAGCCGGCAGCGGCTGCTGCAGCTCGTGAGGGAGCAGCAGCTGCAGCTGGACGAGAGCGAGCTGCCCCAGGCCGTCCACTTCCTCAGCGAGTCAGGTGGGCACCCGGGCTGGAGCTTGTGCGCGCCCTTCCCGCTGCCCCAACCCTGACCCCCGCCCCTGATCCACCCGACCTGCCCCCCTCCGTCCCCTGCCCTGCCCCTCCGTGGGGTCCCACATCTGCCCCGGGGGCCTTCCCCCCACCGCAGCCGTGCTCAGCGTCCCCCCGCTGCAGGGACCCTCCTTCACTTCCAAGACCCCGCACTGCAGCTGGACGACCTGTACTTTGTGGACCCCAAGTGGCTCTGCAAGGCGGTGGCCCAGGTGGGTGTCTGGCCGCGGCCGCGGGGCAGGAGGCGCAGGCGGCCCTGGGGTCGGGCTGTGCTGGCCCCACGCGCCCGCAGCCTGGCCAGCCTCGGCGGGTAAACGCCTTCCTGGACCCGCGGAGGGAGCCGGGGCGGCTCTGGGGGGACTGACGCGCGTGTCCCCCAGATCCTGACGGTGAGGACGGAGGGGTACCCGAAGCACCCCCAGGGCATCGTGTCCCGAAGAGACGTGGAGAAGTTCCTCACCAAGAGAAGGCGCTTTCCCAAGAAGCACCTGCCGCAGTACTTCAGCCTCCTGGAGAAGTTCCAGCTCGCACTGCCCCTCGGGGAGGACCTCCTGCTGGTGCCAAGCAGGTGCGCACCCCTCGGGGTGCGCCCAGAACTCTCCGCGCACGCGCCATGCTGTGCTCACAGCTCCGCAGCCCGGCCCTAGCTGCGTGGTGCGGGGTCACGCCGTGGGGCCGCAGCGCACCTGCCCCTGGAGGTGGGGGTGAGGCAAGGGGAGGCCGGGGGTGGGCCCGGCGGGGTCTGGCCACCACGCAGCTGCCTTGGGGACCAAAGTGCCCCAGGCCTGATATTTCCGCACTTTTTTCTGGGCCGTGCGTCTTTCTGAGTTTTATTTGATCCCTTAATGGTCATGCGTGATCAGAGGAGCCCGGGTGAGACCCTGGGTTCTGCGTCCGCAGCCCTGAGTGGTGCCGGCTGGCCCCCGGCGGGCGGCCGCTGAGCCGATGGGGGCGCAGAGGAGGGCATGCCATGACCCTGCGCCCCCGCCTCAGCCTGCCCGGCCACACGCCGGTGATCGAGCTGCCCCACTGCGAGAACTCGGAGGTCACTGTGCGGCTGTACGAGACGCCCTGCTTCCCCATGGGCTTCTGGCCGCGGCTCATCAACCGTGTCCTGGAGATCTCGCCCTACATGTTGTCCGGGAGAGGTAGGCGTGGGCGGCCAGGCCGGGTGTGGGTCCACGTGGGTCAGCTAGAGGGATGGCGGGAGGGCGCGGTGGCCGTGGGCTGGGCCTGGCACAGGTCGGAGCAGCCACCTGCACACCGAGGTTGCAGTGTGCCCCCTCAGTGACGATGGAGCACAGATGCCATTTTCCCGAGTTCACTTCCCCGTGGGGCAGCTGAGCCGGGAGAGGAGCAGGCGGAGCCGCAGCGCGCACGAGGGAGGGTGGTGAGGGCTGGGGGCAGGCGCCGCCCTGCCGTGACAGGGACCGGCTCCGTTTAGGACAGGCGCCCATTCTCGGCCCCTCAGCACCGGGGCCTGGGGCTGGTCAGGCCACCTGCTGGGCACTTGGTTTGTTTCATTGCGAATTTCGGGTAAAGAGCAAACGTCGCATCTAGCGAGCCGGCGAGAGCGCCTGCGAGTGTGGCTTGCCTGGCACGGCCACTCGAGCAAGGCCACCTCCCCCCTGGGCCACGCCTGCTTGCCCAGGGCTCGCCGTGGCCCCGGCACACGAGGTCTCTCCTTCCTGCAGAGCGCGCACTGCGCCCCAACAGGATGTACTGGCGGCAGGGCGTCTACCTGAGCTGGTCCTCCGAGGCCTACTGCCTGGTGGGCGCCGAGGCCCCGGACGGCCGCCCCGAGAGCTGCCTGCGGATCACCGTCCCCTCCTGCAGGAAAGGTGGGCCTGGGAGCCGGCTGGGGCGCCCGCTGTGTGGGGTGGCTGCTGACCGCCCTCTGCGCAGGCCGCATCCTGCTGGGCCAGGCGGTGGACCACATCGATTCGCTCCTGGAGGAGTGGTTCCCGGGGCTGCTGGAGACAGACGTCTGCGGGGACGGGGAGACGCTGCTCAAGAAGTGGGCGCTGTACAGCTTCCGCGATGGCGAGGAGCCCCAGAGGATCCTGCTGGACGACCTGGCCCGGGAGGCAGAGCAGGGTGGGTCTGGGCATCCCTGACCGCCGCGGCCCGTGGGGCCTGGCTGTAGGACGTGGGCGGTGCTGCGTGGCGTGGCTCACACGGCCAGGGTGGGGGCCAGTGATCAGATGTGGGCATGGGCAGCACTGGAGTCCACCCGCCACCTAGTGGACCTAGGAGTGGGCTCATTGCAGTCGATGTTGATTGAGCCTTTACTGCTTGCTCTAGCTTCCTAGAGCAGGGTGCAAGGAGTCAGGAAACATGATTATTTCTGTATGTCACAAGCACAGATTTAGCTACATCGAGGAAGGATGGAGGGGCCCAGGGGCCCGGGGTGGCAGGTTGTGGGGGCCTTGGGGACACGTGTCTCAGGTGTGAACCTGCCCCTCAGCCAGAGACGGTGTCGCACGCCCGCACTACCTCTGTGAAAATCACATGGCGTAAAGGTCAGAGTCCTCATTCACCTGGGAAAGAGTTCAGTTTCCTAAAGGCGTTTTCTGTCCCCAGGAGACCTCCTGGTCAGCCCAGACGAGCCCCGGCTCACGGTGCCCATCGCCCAGATCGCGCCCGACCTGATGCTGGCTGACCTGCCCAGGAGCATCGTGTTGCGTCGTGAGGCCCTGGAGCTCCAGCAGGCGCCCGAGCTGCTCCTGGGTGAGGCTCGCGTGGGGCCGAGACTGAGCCGGGGACGTGGTGTCACGATCTAGAAAGTTCTCTTCGTCAGCCGGCACAGCCTCTGGAGCTGCTGGTCTGCTGCAGGCTGAGCTCTGAAGTGACTCGTTACAGATCCGGGGTTTGCTTGGGTGGAGGCAAGACAGGACGGGGCGAGGACAGGGCTCCAGGGCAAACAGACCTGGAAGCAGGTCCTGGGTGGGCGGCCGAGGGAGGCTCTCAGTGCCGCCCGCCCTTCCAGCTGCAAAAAGACCAGGAGCCCCCCCCCCCCGAGAGAAGCAGCTGCTGGCCGCGGCGGCCATGGCGCGTCCTATTTAAACACACACGTGAGGCCTTGGGTGGCCACTCAGCAGCTGGGGGCCCTTCCCCTTTGGGGGCTTCCCCAGCGCCGTGGAGGGAAGGGCTGTGGTGAGGTGCAGTGCTGCATCAGGGTGGCAGCGGGCAGCAGGCAGCGGGGTGGGCGGGGGCAGGAGGTCAGCTGATTTTCATCCGGGCCTCCCAGTGGTGGTCACAGGCACGGCTTGTTTTGTCAGGGTGCGGGGAGTCAGCGCTAATTTCCAGCAGAGACTGGGGCGAGCGTGCTGGGCGGCGGTGGGGAGGGCCTGAGGCAGGTAGGGCTGCGCCAGGGGCCAGCCCCCACACACAGCGCCAGCCGGCCACTGGGGCTGGGGTCACCAGGGCCCCCAGCGGGGCTCCAGGACCTTCCTCTCTGCCCAGGCGACGGCAGCTTCGGCTCCGTGTACCGCGCACGCTACGACGGGGAGGAGGTGGCCGTGAAGATCTTCAACAAGCACACGTCGCTGCGGCTGCTGCGGCAGGTGAGGCTGGCGGAGGGGCGAGGCCCTGGGCCCAGCTACAGGCCGGTGCTTGGTCTGAGCATGGCCAAGCATGGCGGCGCGCTCCGGGACCGGGACCTGCCCTGCTCCTCTCCTGCAGAGGGGCGTCCTGAGGGGCCTGGGGTCGGCGCAGCCACAGCAGAGGGAGGTGGGTGGCTGGGGCCCCAGAGCGGGTGGCCCAGACCAGCAAACACGCGCCCCGGGCTTGGAGCTGAGTGGAGTGGGCCCCCCCACCCCCAGCAACGCTGCCGAGCAGGGTGCGGTGAAGGCCCACCCCTGGGCCGGGCGTGTGGGTGGTCACTGGGGGGTAAGGTCACTGCAGGGTGGGCGTGGTCACTGGTGGGTGGAGGGAGACTTGGTGTCTTCGGAGCAGGAGCAGCACTTCCTTGGACACCCGCCGGGGCTCTGGTCTGGGGAGGACCAGAGCTCCCAGGCCATGTCTGCAGGCCCTGCCCCCTGGAGGCCAAGCTGGGGACAGTCTGGGGCCCTCTTGGTGCGCACCTGAGAGCTGCCTCCCCGCAGGAGCTGGCCGTGTTGTGCCGCCTGCACCACCCCAGCCTGGTCTCCCTGCTGGCGGCCGGCATCCGCCCGCGCATGCTGGTCATGGAGCTGGCTGGCAGGGGCTCGCTGGACCGGCTGCTGGAGCAGGGCCCCGCCGGCCTCCCCCGCACCCTGCAGCACCGGATCGCCCTGCACGTGGCCGATGGCCTCAGGTGAGCCATCCCTGGGGGCCGCCTGGCACTGCCCATGGTCCCTTACCACCACCATGCTGTCCGGCTGCCCACATCCGGTTCATCCTGGCGTCCTGCCCCGAGCTGGTCCCCACAGACTAGTTCTGGGGGGGGGCGGGGCTCAGCCCCGCTGGACGGGGTGCCCTCTCTGTGGCACCCCCTGCTCTGCAGCCCCCCAGGCAGTCGTGGACCTGGGCTGGTGGGCAGCACCACCCACACACAGCGTCAGGCTGTCACCTGCTGGAGAGGCCGGAACCAGGGAACAGCTTGGTGTGGGGGGTGGGGGGTGCGGACGCAGATGTGGGTGGCTGCAGTCACTCTGGGCAGCAGCGGACAGGCTCCCCGTCCAGGGCGCTCTGCTCCCAGCATCCCCTGACCTCTGTGTCCCCCCGGTGCCCATAGCCCAGCGCCCAGCGAGGTGCCCTCATCCCCAAGCCCGCTGTCTGGCCTGTCCTTGCTTGGGCAAAGCGGGAGGCTTGAGGAACTCGGGTGTCCCCGGCCTCCCATGCGCTGTCCACTGTGCCATGTCTGGGCCCTCGCGGAGAACGAGGTGGCCACTGGCCGCTACCTTGAATGGGAGAGGAAAGGCCTCTCGGCAGCACGGACACTTGACAGTGACCGAGCCCCCCCCAGTTTACTTTCCTGGACTGTTTGCTGACACCTGCGGTCACCTGTGCCATCACGGCGGACCGACTTCCACTCATGGAAGCCACGCGCTGGGCTGGTGCAGCTGTGAGGCTGCGCTTGGGAGGAATAAACCCCGAAGTGGGACAGCCTGCCCCCAGGCCCTCCCGCCGGCTGCCACAAGGGCAGGCCCCGGGGCCCCGGGCTGGTGTCTGCGCTCTGTGGGGTGGGCGGGCCTGGCTGCAGTGGCTGTTTTCCTCCTGCCCCCGCCTGCCCTGTAGGGCAGGAGGCACTAATGGACGCTGCTGAGCCCTCAGCAAACTCCTTTCCAGTCCACCGCCCATGTGACGGTCAGCTCATTAGTGGATGCGTCTGCATCTCAGCCCCAGGCCAGGCCAAGATGAATAGGCCCAGTGTCCGCTGGCAGCTAGGCCGCACCTCCTGCGGCAGCACTTAGCAGGTGTCCTGTCCAGGTAATGGGGTAAATATTTGTCGTAAAATGTCAGCCATGCCCTGGAGCTGCAGGCGGACACAGGAACCCGGTTTGCCTGTGTGAGTCCCATCCAGAAGCGACGTGGGGGTCCCTGAGGCCTGGAGGTCCGGGTGCTGGGGCCTGAGGACGGCCTGCAGGTGCTCCCGGGCACAGGCTCAGTGGGCGCCCACTAGTACCCCCTGCCCTGCTGGGCAGGGGGAGTAGGAGGGACACGGGGCAGCGCCACAGGTCATGGAGGTCAGGTGCCCCCGCCCACCCCCGCAGACACCAGGCTGGGGGCCGTCACCCACAGTCGCGTAGGAGAGACCGGTGGAGATGGACACACTTGTTTATCTTGCCTGTTTTTTTTTTAAAGATTTATTTAATTTATACAAGAGCTGAGGTGCAGGCCAGAGGTGCGGGGGGTGAGAGGATTCACCGGAGACAGAGTGGGGAGCAGAACAGGCAGACTGATTGAAATCCACTGCTGAGGGGCGCAGCGGGGAGACAGGAGAATCTGCTGCGCCATGTGGGTTGCTCTCTGGCCGGCTGGGAATCGAACCCACGCTGCAGAGGCTGCGGACAGCTTCGCAGCGCTGCGCTCAACCCACCGCACCACCAGGGAGGCCCCTCTTGCCTGGTTTTCACCCTTTACCGAACGACCGACCCAGGGGCTGGGTCCAGCGGCCAGTCTCTGAAAGGAAAAGTTTCAGGCCCCCACGCCCCCTTGAGACCTGCTCCAGCCCCAGAGTCCTTTGTCAACTTGACTTCGCGTCAGACCTGACTGACCGTAAATCCTGCTGCACGCGGTTCGGCAGGGCGGTTGGGAAGGCTTCTGTCTTGATTATTACTGAAGAAGTGGACCGTTTGCCCCGCGTGTGGAAGCGGCTGTCGCGTCATTGTCGAGAGAGAAGTGAAGCTGTGTTCCAGGCGGGGCCGTGCTTTGCTCTGGTTTTGAGAAAGTCAAAACTGTTTAAAAGAGGGAGTTTCAGCGAAACCCCATCAGTTCTATCAGCACATCCACGGTTAAGTGCCCGCCTGCCCGCGGGGGCCTTCACAGGCCAGTTGGGGGCCTCTAGGAGCCAGCGGGGGCCGCGCCTCGAAGCCCCCACCAGCCGGCATCAGGCCACCTGCCCCCGCCACCCCCTGGGCTGAGGTCCTGCCCGTCTGTGGGCCCTGCCCCCAGTCAGCTGGGCCCGTGTTGCTGCCCCCGTGGGGCACCTCGGGGCGGATGAGTGTCCAGCGCGCCCGACGGTGTCTCTGGCCGCAGGTACCTGCACTCGGCCATGATCATCTACCGGGACCTGAAGCCGCACAACGTGCTGCTCTTCACGCTGCACCCCAGCGCGGCCGTCATTGCCAAGATCGCCGACTACGGCATCGCCCAGTACTGCTGCCGCATGGGCATCAAGACCTCAGAGGGCACCCCAGGTGGGCCGCGCCCGGGCCCCTTCCCTGGGGTGCTCCTGCCAACCTCCCCGGCGCGGCCCTGCCCGGGACGCTCCTCTTCACACAGAGCCTTTATTTATTTTCTTACATCACTGCTGCCTCCTGCGGTGTTTGCTTCCTCCCTCGGGCGTGGTCCTGTGTTCTCTGCCACCCCAGCCCCCGTTACCCTCCACCATCCCTCGTGCCCGCCCTCCCCTGGCCTGCCCACCCCCCCATGCTGTGTGCCTCAGGCCCGTGGCCTCTAGTTTGCCTTTCTCCTCGTCCGGGAAACATCAGAGCAGAAAGATGGGGTCTGCGTGGGGAGGGTCTGTTCCCACGGCGGGCTGTGGTGTCCCTGCCATCCCGAGACCATCCCCTCGCCCGCCCGCCTGCTCCTCCACCCCCACATGAGTCCCTGAGTCCACCCCAGGCTCTGGACACACACACACACACACGCCCTTGGAACAAGGGCAAAGCCCGCCACTCCCACTGCCAAGAAAGCAAACCGCTGCCCGGGGCACGCGTGTGCTGCTGTCCTGCCCCGCACCCCTGCGGGCAGCTCGTCGCCTAAGGTAGTTTCCCAGGTGTTCCGGGTACGCCGGTTCAACCCTGCTGCTGTTGTGGTCAGCTTCCTCTTGGTTGTTGCTATTTTTACTGTTATTACTTATCTTGGACCTTCTCTCACATCTTGAAGACTGAGAGCGGCCCCCCTCTGTTAGCGAATGAAAAGCTTTGCTCCCCTCTGAGGGGGTTTCGGGTTTTCGGGCGGCCCTGGGCTCGGGCTGGCTTGGCCGTGGGCCTGTTCTCACCTCTTCACGAGGGCAAGGGGTAGTCAGAGCCCTGGGGTAGGGGCCACGGCGCTTCTGGAAGCCCCTGCCCCCACCCGCGTAGATCAGGGAATGAGAAATAGGGCGTCGAGATGCCTCCTGTTGGTTCCCCCTCCCTCTAACCCCCCCATGAGCTTTCACTGACTCACCCTCGTCCTCAGGGCCACAGGGGTCGGGTATCTGGCTGCGGAGGCGGCTCCATCCCAGGAGGGCCGGTGGGGACCGCCCGTCGCCATAGCTCCGGCCTCTCCTCGCCCCAGGGTTCCGCGCGCCCGAGGTGGCCAAGGGCAACGTGGTCTACAACCAGCGGGCGGACGTGTACTCCCTGGGGCTGCTGCTCTACGACGTCCTGACGGCCGGACGCAGGATCGCAGAGGGGCTGAAGTTTCCAAACGAGTTTGATGAGTTGGCCGTACAAGGAAAGCTGCCGGGTACGTCTGGTTTATCTAACAAGATGTTTGAATGGTGGCGGCGGCTTCGCGTGCACGTGTGTAGTGGTAGTTTCATCTTCGTTTCACGGCTGGTAATTTTTTTATTTAGCACATGAATATTCCTATTTGACGTGTCGTAAAAACCACGTAAGAAAAGTAGCACATTAGGCTGAACCCTGGGTCAGTGCCGATGTACATGGCATCGCAGCGAGGACCCTGAAGGAGGCCACGGCAGGTCTGTGTCCTGACGTCCGTTTCCTGCAGTGAAACAGCCGTGTTAAGGCAGAGAGAGCCCCTGTCCACGGAAGCCTGAGACGCCAGAGGCGTTTCCACGAGCTGGAGGTGCAGGTGTTGAGGGAGTGTGTCCGGCTCCGTCTCAGCCGTCTCTGTCCCACAGACCTGCAAGCGCCCCGGGGCCCGTGGAGATCAGGCGACAATCAGGCTGCGGGTCCGCGGGGCGCCGGAAAGCGTGACCTTTGGCCTGTCTGAACAGAGAGGCCTGCTCTGCTTTTCTGACCGCCCCTCATGTGTTCTAGACCCAGTCAGAGAGTACGGCTGCGCCCCGTGGCCGCTGGTCGAGCAGTTGATCAAGAAGTGCCTGAAGGAGAACCCTCAGGACAGGCCCACCTCTGCCCAGGTACCCAGCGGTCACCGCTCACCCCTGTGCAGAGGCCGGGGGCTCGGGGCCTCGGGGGCCCACGGGCACAGACTCCCCACACCTCCCTGGGGCCCTGCATCTCCAGGATGTGGCTGCCAGGCCTCCCGGCCCCGCATGTGGGCTGCATCCAGCACAGCGGCCGGACCCGCTGCCCGTGCCGCCCGCTCTCCGGGTGCCCAGGCCCTCCCCGCCGGTCTCAGGACGCCTGTGGGTGTTGTCCACCCCCACCTGGCGGAGGAGCCCGTTTCTGGCCAGGAGCCCCAGCCCAGAGTGTGGGGTTTGGAGTGGGGCTGCAGGGTTTCCGCTCAGGGGGCCCATTTGAGGTTTTCTTTCCCTTCCAAGCCACCTGCAGACGAAAGGAGGTGTCTCAGCTCACGGGCCTGCGTTTCCCCTTGCCGCCTCTTTGGGGCCCACTTGAGGGGACGCCCCCCTCGTGTCCTGGCCGGCAGCGGGGTGGGGTCAGCAGCTGTGGGGGTATGCGGGGGGAGGGCGGCATCCACGGGGTGGGGTCGGCACCCCAGGCTGCTCACGCGCCTCCTTCCCCGTCACCCCCAGGTCTTCGACAGCCTGACGGCGGCCGAGCTGGTCTGCCTCGCGAGACACGTCCCGCTGCCCGGAGACCCGCAGGCCGAGTGCGCGGCAGCCTGGAGCCTTGGCGGTGGGCGCGTGGGCGTCTGGCTGGGCTGCGGGCGGGCCAGCAGCGGGCATCTGGCCAGCCTGGACCTGCACACGGAGGCGCTCACCTCCCAGGTCCTCCCTGACCCCACAAGGCCTGGCGGCGTGGGGGGGGGGGCGCCAGTTGGCGTGGGGGGCAGGGCCTCCTGACAGCAGGGTGCGTGCGCCCCACCATGGGCGTCTCGCCTCAGGACCCCGGGCTCTGAGCTTGGGGAGTACCTCTGAGAAAGGTCAAGCAGCCTGGGGGGGAGATGGGGGGCACTTGGCAAACGTGGAGTACCCAGAGGAGAGGGGGTGCAGCTCCTTGAGGGCCTTGGCGCTGGGGCGGCTTTGTGACGGGCATGTGTACCCCGAGACCGCTCCAGTGATGGGACAGACACGGAGGCCGCCAGGCCTGCCTTGGGCTGTCAGACGCACCCGGAGGGGACGGTCGTCAGCAGGGCAGGGCGGAGGGGCCGGCGGGTGGGAGGACCTCCCGGCAGAGGCCTCACGTGCATGTCTGTCCAGGAGGTGGCAGATAGCCAGGTCCTCTGCCTGGCCCTGGTGCCCCTGCCGGCCGACCAGGACGTCTGGGTTGTGTGCGGGACCCAGTCCGGGGCGCTCCTGGCTGTCAACGCCCAGGACGGGGAGAGGAGGCACGCCCTGGGGCGCATGACGGATGCCGTGACCTGCATGTGCTGCAAGGCCTTCTGCGGGCAGAGGTGCGGCCGGGCGGGGCAGTCCTTGGGGGGCTGGGGGAGACTGCGGGATGGGGGGCAGTAGGGGGCGGCAGGGGGCCACTGTGCAGGCTATGGGGGCGGGGCGGGGCCCCTGACCGCCCTCACGCACCCACTCAGCCGTGGCTTCCTACCTGTTTCCACCTGTCCTGGCGGTGGAGGCCCGGAGATCACTGTCCCTTGCCGGGGTGGCCGTGAGTGGCCATTCGTGCCCGCAGCCCCCAGCCCTGCCCTGGGGACCTCCCATCGCGCCTCCCCACACCTGGTTACAGCCCGTCTAAAGGCGCCAGTGGACTAACCCAAATGGGAGACACCCGGTGGCTGAACGAGTAACTGGTCACCTCGGTGGGCGCGCGCCGGGAGCCCTGGCCAGTGGCAGGTGTCTGCGCTGTCACCCCCAGGCAGCCCAGTGGAGGCTGTCCCTGCGCGCTGCTCTGATTAGGTTCAGGCCTAGATAGCACGTAGGAAGCCCAGGTGTTTGGCAGCTGAAGCCCACGCTCCGCTGGCGATGGCGGGGGGGAGGGGTGGTGTGCTTGGCATGTTGTCAGGGAGGAACTTCACTAGAGCCAGGGCTTGGGCAAGAGAGGCCGCTGGGGACGGGGCGGGGAGGAAGGGTCTGTCCGTCCAGAGGGCAGGGCCTTGAGGTGCTGGGGCGCAGGGGCCTGAGCCCTCTGAGCAACCCACTCTCCCCCAGAGGCTGGAGCAGGGACGTCTCTGGAGGGCCATGTGGGAAAGGGTGGCCGGCCCAGGCATGGACAGGCCTGGTCTGTGACACTGTCCGGGAGAGGGGGCGGGTCTCCCTTGAGGGGGCGGGGGGTGCGGCCTGTCTCTTGATTTTGCGACCCTCTGATCTCTTTCCTTCCCGCAGACAAAGCAGTTTTCTTTTGGTGGGAACGGCCGATGGCACCTTAGTGGTTTTTGAAGACCGAGCCGTCAAGGTAAAGGAGCACGCCGGTCGGTCGCGTCCTGCGGCCCTTGGTTTTCTGGGTGCCCGTCCCCAACCTGGTGTCCGGGGCCTCTGGGGCCAGAGCTGCTGCTCGCCCTTGTCCCCACCCCACGCGCCGTGAGCGCCCACGGCCCGGCGCCCCTCAGGGCTGGTCTTCTCTCTGTCCAGAGCCCGGGAGCCGCCCCTCTGCAGACAGTGACTCTGGGGGACGCCAGCACCCCCCTGCTGTGCTTGAGCGAATCCGCGAACTCAGCTGAACGGAACCTGGTGTGGGGAGGCTGCGGGACCAGGGTCTTCTCCCTTGGCCAGGACCTCTCCGTGCAGACGCTCATCGAGACCCGCACCAGGCAGCTGTGAGCCCCCCCCCGCTCCCCCACCAGCCAGCTGTGAGCCCCGCTCCCGTGGGGTCTCATGTCTGCCATCCCTGGGCGTCTCTGAGGATGCCTAGTGTGTGCTTGTGAGAGAGTAAACGTGCACTTAGAAAGCCCTGCAGCGCAGAAGCGATCGGTGGTCGCCATCCTGCCCGTGTCCGGGGGAGCACGGGCACCCGCGGCAGGCTGGCGTCCGCAGCAGCGGCCAGTGTGGGGCTTGGGCCAACCGGCCCCTCAGCCATCCGTGGCTCACATGGGGCAACTGCTGTTCACCTGCCTTTTCCAGTTAGCTTTTCATTAAACGTTTCTCAGCGTCGTTCACTCGGGTGAAGTGACTGTTTACAGTTGCATGAACGCAGTTTTTTCCTCATAACTTGGCTGGCCTGTGTTGATGCAAAGATCCCCTTGGCTTTAGTATCTGACGCCACTGCCTCCAGAATGAGTCTCAACACCTTGTGTTCTAAACCACTCGAGGCGTGAGGGGCCTGGTTCTAATTTTCCAAGCGTTCTTGACATTAAGGACTTTACTGCGACTGCGTGAACTTGCAGATGTTATATCTCAGAGACACGCAGATGCCTGGGATACCTGGACAGCGTAAAGTTCTGTCAAGAACCAGATGAAACAAGTTCAGTCTAAAACCAGAAGTACACACTGGTTTTCTCTCACCCCCGAGGGGAGCCCGAAAGACCCAGGGCAGCCAGTGGCTCATGCACTGCTGGTCAGCAGGCTGGGGTGCGGCCTTGTGCGGCCGGGAGCCTGGGGCTGAGCAGGAGGCGACCAAGGACTCCCCCACCCTCCAGGTTCTCCTACGGGGCATTCGGCGAGGCCAACGTCACAGCTGTGGTGGGGGACATGGTGCTCTACGTGGCCAAGCAGAGCAGCCCCTTCGTGGAGGTCTGGGACCAGAAGACCCGGAAGCTATGCCAGCTCGTGGACTGTGCCCACTGGTTAAGGTGCCGCCTCCGGTCTTCAAGCGTTTATGGGAAGCACATCTAGAATGGGGTGTGTGCGCCTCAGTGTGCAGCACAATTATTCTCACTCAGAACGTTGTTCACATGTGCATGTGATCAATTTCCCCGTAATTCACAAATAATTTCCCTTTGTAACTGGTGTTGGTGGAATGCTCGCAAAGCCGACTTCGTCTTCTTTAAATCGGGCAAATTCCTTTACTGGGTGGCAGGCTTTTTCTGAAAATTGTGTTTACCCAATTTATTTCAGAGTTTCTGAAAGTTCAGAGGCTGCCGCCTTTGATGATGTGTTCAGGCAGGAAACGTGGCCTCAGGGCCCGTGGCAGTGACGCCCTGTGTAGGATGGCGAGCCCCCCCAAACGCCCCCACCCAGCCCCTGCCTGGCGTGGGGGTCACCAGGCCGCCTTCTACTTGCAGGGAGGAGGCGGCACCAGGAAGCAAGGACTGCAGGCCCTCAGCCACCTACGTGGGGAGGGTGAAGGCGCTGTGTCTGCAGAAGAACACAGCCCTGTGGGTGGGCACCGGCGGAGGCTGCATCCTACTGCTGGACCTGTCCACGCATCGGCTCATCCGGCTCATCCGCGGTTTCTACGACTCCGTGCGGGTCATGGTGACCGCACAGCTGGGCAAGTCCCCAGGCTTCTTGCCTGGTCCCTCTCTCTTTTTAAAGATTACATGTTTACTTGTTTTTGTCTTCTTGCACAGTCGTTCATTTTTGTACAGTGACTGGTTTCTCCCCCAGGTGCGGCCCCCACGGTTTTTCTACCACCACAGCCCCCCAACTGTCACCCTGTCCCTTGAGCTCATCCCTCCTGTCTTCTGACCCCTCTCCTTCCCCTCCCCTACCATGTGCCTCAGACCTATGGTCAGCTGCCCTGGTTTGTCTTTGCCTTGACCTTTTGTTCCGTTTCTCTATATTGCACATATGGTTAAAACCATTGGTATTTATCTTTTTCCTTCTGGCTATTTCACTGAGCATCATTCCTTCCGGCTCCATCCATGTTGCTGCAAATGGCAAGAGCTTATACTTTTTGATGGCTGCGTAGTATTCCATTTTGTGTTTATAGACCACATCATTTTGATCCAGTCGCCTCTTTTTTGGGCATTTGGGTTGTTTCCGTATCTCAGCTGCTATAAATAGTGCTGCCATGAACACAGGAGGGCAGGTGTCCTTTTGGATTAATGTGTTTGTGTCCTTTGGGCAGATGCCTAGGAGTGGAGTCGCTGGGTCATAGGGTAGCTCCATTTGCAGTAGTTCGGGGACCCTCCACATGGCTTTCCACAGTGGCTGGGCCAGTCTGCAGTCCCTGTTCTCTGGAGATTTCAAGTCTGCTCTTCTAAAAATTTGTTCTCACTGTCCCATGTCCCTGGGGCTGTCTTGGCGGCTCTTGGCCTGAGCTCAGACTGGGAGCGGGTAGAGGAGTGGGTGCTCCCGTCCCCCAGGAATCAGCGGTGGAGTAGCTCTGAGCATTGGGGGGTCTTGCTTTCTCTTTCTCCTTTACACTTAAGGCACAAATGGGAACTCTATCACGTTGAGGTATTTTTGCTTTCAACAAAGAAATTACATATTGATTCTGATCCTAGTCTAGCATCTGTCCTTATGAAAGAATCCTGTTAAATAAACTCATGGTCCTGTGGCAGCACAGCCAGCACCACAGTCCACAGATGTGGCAGTTCAGGATGTTTTACTCAGGCTGTAATGTCGTCTTTTGTCTGGTTCCTGCTTTCCGGCTTTAGTGTGAAGAAACCCTAACAGCACACAAGTATGCTTTCTGCACACGTAATTCCCATTTCCTTGTTTTTTTGCCTGTGGTTTGGCTTAGAGAACAGCAGTGGTCTCGACACAGAGTCGATCGATCGCACAGTAGCAGTGCAGGGCTACGTCCTGTAGTTAAAGCGTCTGTACATTTAGAAATAAGGCGTAAATGTTTAGAGCCTGAAGAAAGTGCTGAATCGTTTCTCCAGGCTGTGCTGCGCTCCCCGCGCTGCGGCGCGGTGTGCCCTGCGGGTCCCTGGACACGGCGCGCACTCCACTGTGAGGGTGCTCCACAGTCCTCCCAGCGTCCTCCCACAGAGAGCGCCCCTCAGCGCACGCCCGCCTCCCCGCTGCCTGCCCGGGCCCGATTACCCTCAAGGGCTGCTCGGCCGCCCTCTGGCCTCGCCAGCCGCAGACCGGGGAAGCTCTGGTGTCCGGCCACAGGCCCCCCCCCCCCCCCCCGCGTGAGGCCACGGCCCCGCCAGCTCCCCGTGGGTGGCACGGAGCTCGGCTGTGGGTTTCTGCCCTCCCCGCTCCTGGAGTCGCGCGGCTGGGTCCGCACGTGCCTGTCCTCTCGCAGCGGCTCCCGGCCCTGGGGGGATCGCGGGGGTTGGGGGGCTCTCTGTCTGTGCCAGCTTCCACAAACACGGCTCGTGAGTTCTGACTATGGCAGGGGGTGCTGGAAGGACGCGGACCCGTTTTGCAGAAAGGTTTTCTCAGATTTCACGCAAGTAATAAAACCATAGAAGGAGACAAGAAGTTTTTAACTTAAAATGCTGGTCTTTTTGGAGGGGCTTTTTTTTTTTTTTACCATACACGAGATGTCTCCTGAAAGGAAGGACTTAAGTCCCCAGGATTTTATCTCTTGAAATGTGAACAACTATTTTTTTTTGTTTTAACAATTTACATTGTTTTAACAGAAAATTCCTGTTTGTTTTTTTTCATTTTTTGGGGTAAAGGAAGCTTTAAAAACGTCGTGCTGGTTTTGGGGTACACCCGGAAGAGTTCTGAGGGTTCGCAGCAGGAGAAAGGTAATGTTGACAGGACAGGCCCCTGACAGGCAGGTGTCCTGGCCACCCCGGCCCTGACGTGGGCCTCATGCCTGAAGCCTTGCTGGTTCTGGCTTCTTCGCAGCACAGATAATTCAGACACTCTAGAGTTAGGTTTCAGTAATTTCAGTGTTAACGTGTTTATTTTTTTCAGAGTAGCAACATCAGCCACCATTAATAGGGGAATAAGTGCGAATTAGCCCAAATTTAAACTAAATGTCCATATTTTCCTGTAAGTGACCAATACCCAGATGGTCTGATTCTGAACAGTGTCTGGAAAAACTCAGAGAATGAAATGTCTGGTTATTAAAAGGTCCACACGCCTTTTGAAGTGTTAGTATTTATTTTTCTGTAATGAGTTGCAAATGTTTCCAAATATAACCTGTTAAAAACAGCAGTAACTTAGTGCATTATTCCCTGTTTATGCCTGCATTTGTCTAAGGCAACTGCATATAAAACAACGAAATTGAAATAAAATAAAGGTGCTTTGTCACATCTTGGAAATCAATGCCACTTTTTATTTTTCAGAGCTTCAGTCTTGCGTGTCTGTCTGGGACATCAACCTCCCTCATGAAGTGCAGAACTTAGAAAAGCACATTGAAGTGAGGAACGAACTCGCTGAAAAAATGAGAGGGATCTCTGTGGACTGAGGGCTGCCGAGTCCGGCCTGCGGAGGAGAGTCTCTTCTTTTGTAAAATTTCTTTAAAAAATGTTTACATATGAAGGGTTTTCCACTCTTTGAAAAGATCGTGTGTTTATGAAGGAGTGTTAATATATTTTATTTTAAACATAAATGTCTCCAAACAGCTGCCAGCGGGAGTATATTTTAAGAGAGCTATTTATATACAGTATTTTAGTTCCCCGTAGGTCGGTTTCTTCTGCAGGTTCAGCAGTAGGATCTGAAAGGGGCTTACCTTGCAGGCCCGTCTCTGCTGCACTGTGGGCGCTTCTTGGCGCTGGCGGCGCCTTGGGGCCCGAGGCCAGCAGGGGGCGTGGGGCACAGCGTGCAGAGTGACCCTCAGAGGCAGGGGCTTCGGAGACCTGCCGGCTGTGGAGACCCTCGGTTTGGGGGCTCTTAGGTGTGTGTCGGGGCCTCCAGGTGTGGAGGCTTCAGTTTGCTGTTCGTGGTCCCGGCCTGCCTTGCACTGCAACACCTGCTCCCCAAAGGCGGCCCCTCGGCCCTGGTGTTCAGGCAGAGACCCTGTCCCCAGACCCTGTCGCACCCCCCCCCCCGCCACCCCTCCCCGGCATGGGGATGCACCTGCGTGGGGCTCCTGGCCAGGGGGCGTCAGGCCAGGACCCTGGTGCGCGCTGACCTGTGCGGAGCCCCACCCCCTGCTGTGGGGCCCCCTGCCGTGGCCCCCCCATCCCCGCCCCTGGGCCTGCTGGGCGCGTCCTCCGGAGCTGGAGAGGAGGCGGCTGCGGGTTCCTCCAACGTCCCCACTTTTCTACAAAAGACAATCATGGAGAAATCTGTAAATGAACATTGTATTTAAATGGAAAAATAAACATGTTGGAGCGTGTTTATGCATCGTGACATCGTGATGTGTCCTCGCGCTGGCCTGAGTGTCCTGGGGGAGGGGTCGGTGTCGTGGGTGACCATGGGGGGCGCTGGGGACAGGCAAGTGGGAGCTGGTTTCTGGGGTGCTGTGGGTTCTGCCGGGCCTGGCCCTGGACACTCGGGGCGCTGGGGGACGCTCCTCCGCCTCTGTTGGTTCCTGGGCCGCAGAATAAAGACAGACCCTGGAACTGCGGACTCAGCAGGCCACTTCATTTAGGATCAGACCCTGAAGTTAGCTGCAGCTTTAGAGCTTCCTGGGGAGGCCGAGGGGTTGGGGGTGTCGACAGGTGAAGAGCTGGGCCTTGTGGGGACCGGCAGACGCTGGGCCCGGGCTCGGGTGCGCGAGAGGGACCAGCCTGTCCCGAGCACACAGCCCCGGCGCGTCCGGGCGTCCTGGTGCGCCAGCCCCGGGGCTGTGCACCTGCACAGCCGCTTGGCAGGGGCTTCGGTGCCTCCCGCCCTGCTCACGGTGCTGACCCCGCACCCCGGGCCGGTCCTTGCCCTGAAGCCCCATCTGCTCTCCGGGACTGTGCCGCGGGCGCTGAAACCCCGGAGCGGACAGGACCTGCGGCGGCTGGTGTGGCAGATGCCACCGTCCTGCTGATTTCTGGGTTTGCAGAAATGTCGGGGTGTCTGCCAAGCATGAACTGGGGTTCGGGCTTGGTCGCCCCGGCCTGTGGCCTTGAGTGGGCGGCACGGGCAACCGGGGCGTGGTGGGGAGATGCCAGGGCCAGGACCCTAAGGCGGTGAGGGGCGCGGGGGGCAGCCGCCCAGTGGGGTCTGTGGGCGTTGGCGCATTTCTCCCGCTCCCTGCCCTGCCCGGGTCCAGACGGACACAGGCAAAGTCTGACTGTGACCCCAGGACATCACTCGGGGCCGCCCAGCCCCCTGCCCCCTGGGGAGTATGGGTGCTGCCCCCCTGGCGCCGGCCATGTGCGGCCCCCCTCCAGGAATGACCCAGACGGCCCTGCCTGTTGAATCGGCCCCGGGCGTTTGGGGTGCTCTTCCCAACGCTCCCCTTTCCTGGGCTCTTCTGCTTTCCCCTGCTAGTGCGGGGCAGAGCCAGCCTCACAGCCAGCAGCGGCCTGATTCTGTGGGTGCCTCCCCATCCCCCCATTTACCTGCCACCCAATCCCCTAGGCCCACCCCAGCGCCTGACCCCGCCCCAGACCCCTGCCCTGCCCTGTCCCCCTCCCTGCACCCCTACGCCCAGATCCCCACCCTGACACCCCGCCCCAGACCCCTCCTCCCCACGGCCGCGTGTCCCCCAGGAGACACCCACCCCCCTGCGCCCCTTCTTTGTTTCAGGACGGGGCGCCCTGCCCCGGGTGGCCGCGGGTGTGTCCCTCCATGTTTGCGCTTCTCGAGCCCGAGGACGTCCGGACTGACGGGCGCAGATGGCGCGTCCGTGGCTAATCCCCTGTTTGCCGAGGGCGGGGGGCCTGGCTGCCCGCTGGCCCGGTCGGGAGGGCGCGGGGTGGGGGGGGCGGGCCTGTCACCCAGGGCCATGAGGCCTATAAAGCGCGGCTGCCGCCGGGTCCCGCAGCCTGGCCGCCCTCGCCGCCATGAAGCCCGCCTGGCTGGGCCTGGCGGCCGCGCTCTGCACACTCTGCTCAGGTACCCGTGGCCGCGGCTCTGCCGCCCGTCCTCCCGCGCCGCGTCCTGCCGCCCTCGGGCCGGGCCAGAGCCGGTGTCCAGCCGCGGCCGCCGTCGGGCCGAGCACCGGGAGAGGGGCTGGGAGAGTCAGCGGAGGGGGCCGCGGCCGGGCCGCCCTGGGCCCTGTCCAGTTATGACGGCCCTGCGCGGCCGCCCCACCCGGGTCAGGGGTTTCCTGCGCCTGTTCTCGGGCGTGGCACGGCCTGAGGGCCAGGCCAGAAAATGGCCGGTGGGAAGTCCAGGTGCTGCCCCAGACGCGCTCATGCTGGGGGGCGAGTGTGAGTCTGGGGCTGTGGGACCCCCCTGGGCTGGGGGTGCCTGAGTGCGCCCCTGTCACACGGGAAGCAGCGCAGGCAACGCCGTCAGCCCAAGGGCTCTGGTGTCCTGGGATGCAGACGCGTATCCCGCTGACATCCCCCACTCACCCCTCCCAGCCCAGCCGGGTGCAGGCCCCGGAGGCTGCGCCCCAAAGTGGGCGCGGGACCGGCGCATCCTGCGGCCTCCCAGGAGCCATCTCCTGCCCCGGGGTGGCTGCCCTCTGGCAGAGAGTGGGGGAGCCGGTGCCCCACACACTGGATGTTGGGGGCTGCGGGCCCCGCAGGCCAGCGCAGATCAGGGAGAGGGGCTGCCCTCCGTCTTGTCCGCTGGTGTTTGCCCGGTGGAGGCGCAGCCTGGAGGCTTCCCATTGGAGCAGGACTCAGGGGACAAGCCCTGGCTCCTCGGCAAGGCGGCCACGTCCTAGGCAGGCAGCTCTGCCTCGCCCACGCAGGCCCCGGGTCTGGGGGCTGGAGGAGCGCTGCCTTCCTGCACCCCGGCGGCTCCTGTGCCCCCACGCTGCCCAGACCCTGGCTGAGGAGAGTCCCCGCCGAGCGGGGTCCAGACCCCAAGATCAGGCGAGGGCGGGGAGGACCGGTCAGCAGCCTGCCCCCGTCACAGGGGCTCCTCTTCCCTCTTCCCGCAGGTGTTAATGCGGCCAGAAGCGGCTCAGGTAAGCGGCCCCGATGTCTCTCACTGTGGCAGGGAGGATGGGGCAGTGTCCCAGGCCGGCCTGGAGGACGGGTCAGGGCTGCAGACGCTGCGACCTGCCGACACTGCGAGCTGCCCTGGCCGGTGTCTCTCACTTGCCTTCCCTGTGAGGCGCTGCTCTGGGGCGCCCTGTTGGCACAGGCAGTGGGGTTCCCGGTGCCACCTGCCCACGGCGCCCCCAGCGGGCCAGGAAGGGGTGGACATGGAGGCCTGCCCGGCGCCTGCAGGCCCAAGCCGTCCTGTGGGGTCTGCTGCGCCCTGGCTCCCACTTCACTTGCCTGTCTAATCTAAACACACCCCGGTGCCTGGGCCTGCCCGCCCCTCTGGGCAGCTGAGTCCTCCTCCAGAGGGGGCAGCGAGCTGGGCGTGCGGGGCTCGTCCCCGTTCTTGTTCCAGCCCCACCGCAGGCTCTGGTGTCGTGTCCACCCCTGTCCTCCTGGCTCATACCCAGGGGGTGCGGTTGCCAAGCGGCTGACAGGGCGAGGGTGCTGGAACGTGGCCGCCTGGCATGGAGGACGCCCTGGCGGGTAGCCCCGGGCCGGGGCCTGCTCTGTGTGGCCTGCGTTTGGCTTCTGCCCCTGCTTTCGTGCCCTGGTCCTCCCAATGATGCTCGGAGCCCACAGGCCTCTGCACACCCAGAGGCTTCCTGGGCCGAGCTCCAGGTGGGGCTTGTCCTCTGCCCCACCGCACACGGGCGTCCTGTGTCAGGGCTGGCTCTCAGTGGCTCTGTTTGCTGAGTGGTCTCACAAAGCAGGGCCTTGAGGGAGCCCGCCGCCTGTGGCTTGCCTGACCTGGAAAGGACCAGGCGCCTGCAGGCTCAGGCTTCCCCCACGGGGGCGGGCCCAGGTTTTCCTGACGCCCGGAAGCCTTAGAGTTCCTGCCCGGCAGGAGCCGGGAAGGGTGGAGCTGGTGAGGGGCCACTGGCGGTTTCCAGGAGACAGTCGGCTCTGAGTTGTGGCCCAGCTGGTGGGGCCGTGGGTGGCAGCGGCCCCGGTGCGGCGTGGACATGGGTGCGTTCTCTGATTCTCCGTGTTTCTATCTGGTAGCAGAAGAAGCCCCCGCAGGATTTGGCGGCACAGAATTTGGTGACTCCACCTCAAATCGAGATGAAGTAGATGCAGGCCCCTCTGGCCTGAGCGGATTCGGTGTGTTGGCTGGGAGTGGAGGGGCCGCCGCTGGCCCCGCTGCTGGCAGAGCAGGTACTGGAGCCTTGGTTCCTGCTTCAGTCGGAGACGTGGGCCCTCGGCCCCGGGGAGGACGCGGTCTGTTGGCCGAGAGGCCGTCAGTCACCTGTTCTTGAAGGACCTGCTGCTTCCTGCATAGGTCGGCGAGTGAAGAGGCGGCACTGGCAGGCTGGCTGCCTGGACGCCCTCTGCCTCTGTGACTTGCCCTCTGGAGGCCCCGCTCCTGGGCTTTGTGCAGGGAGCAGCCTTGGTGCCCTGGGGGCAGTTTTGAGATGCTGACTGTGAATGTCAGCTTTCACAGTCAGCATTTTAAATTCCCCTACACTCATTTGAAAAGGTTGTCTTGAAAAGAAGGCCAGAAAGAATGGGAGGGTCCGTTTATTCAGAATTGAAATCACAAAAGCTGTCAGGGCCTTTGTTCCTTGCTGATTAATGAACCAGCTTAGTGAGTTAAAGTGGTAACAGCTTGATTTTCCAGACTCACTTGGGTTTTGCCTTTGATTTTGGGCTTGGGACAGGAAGAAGCGTGGCCCTTGGCCCTCAGCGGGGGCTCTGCCTAGGGGGCCCCTGGGCGTGGCCTCAGGGCTCCAGTGGAGCGAGAAGAGGCCTCCTGTGTGCAGATCACTGGGCCCGGTGACTTGCTAAATTCAGCAGATGGCGCCAACAGCAGGGAGGCCGCGGGGCGGGGCCTCTCAGGGGCATGTGCTGGGCTGGGGCCTCAGGACACCGGGTCTGGACTGGAGAAGGTTGGGGGGAGGGTGGTGGGCTGCGGGACAGAGGGGGCCGCTGCCGGCCGGCTGGCGTAGGATCTCCAGCACACCTGACCCTGGTAAATTTGATCCTGCAGTTAAAACACTGGTGCTAGACGCACTCACAGTGAACTCGCTAACCAGAGGAGAGTAACTCAGGTCCATTTTGATGTTTCATCAGTTGGCAAATGGCCACCTGCTTGGGAATCCAGAGCAGAGGACGGAGAAGCTGCCTTTGGTTTTGGAGATGCTGCCGGGCGCGGGGGCGCGCAGTGCCCGCGACCCACACGGCTGGAGAGCAGGACTCGCAGGGGGCGCCAAGGGGTGGCTGTCCTGGGGTGGAGATATTTTTCTCACTTGTGCACAAACATTTTGAGTTGCTCGTTCTCAGCACACCCTGTGACCGGCATTTCACACCCTGCAGGCGGCGCTGGTGGGAAAGGTGGAAATTCAGTGGTCGGTGATGGTTCTGAAAACGTGCGAAGGAATGTGGGGGCCACTGGGCATCGGGGGTCTGGACCTGCTGACCGTGGAAGGGACGGCACTGTGGGCGGCGTGGCTGCCTGGACCAGCTCCAGGGACCCTGGATCCGGGGTCCGGGCCAGCTCAAGTACTCCACTCAGCGCAGTTGCATTTTAAGTATTTCTTGTCATAATTAATAGTAATTTGAAATTTCTTAGCCGGGAGGATCTGTTTTGGACTTGAGGGAAGTATCGTGCTGCTCTGACTTGGGACAGTCTGTTCTCACTGGGCCGTGTTGGCGGCCGCCGTCCAAGGCAGTGACACGTACGAGGAAATCTAGTCAATGGCTTTGGAGTTGACATTGGCTCCTGCGTGAGCAGAGAGGACTCTCAGGACGCATGCGTCTGTGTTCTCACGGCCACAGCCTGCGTCCTGCTGGTGTTCCCAGAGCAGAAGTGGGGAGCCAGGCTTTGGGGCATAGCAGAAAGCTCGTGAGGAAATGGGTGAAAGGCCTTTGCCCTGGGCCAGCTGGGGTTCTGGTCCAGCTCGAGGCCAAGCAGGCGGATCAGAGGGCTATAACCTGTGTTCAGCTCTGACCTCGTGGAGTCTGAGCTGGTTTCGAATGTTCCTCCTTATTTTATTAACGTGTTTGCTTCTCTGCTAGTAGAAAAGTCTTGGTCATCTTATTTTGAGCCTGGAGAAAGGACAGGAGACACTGAATTTGATTTTGGAGATTCTGGTTCAAATCGATTGGATGGCAGAGGCCTTAGTGAACACGGAGCGAAAGGTACCGGAGCCCCGGGGTCCAGTGTATGATGTTGGTTGTTTCTGTGCTGGAAACACCGGTCACAGAATGCACTGAACATTGTCTGGTGAGGGTGTTGCGTGCGGGTCAACATGCTGGAGACGATTTTGGAAATTAAGGGTTTTGGGCTCGGCGCCAGTGAGGAGGCCTGGGCCAGCTGACCACAGGCAGGCCATGTCTGGGCTGGCCAGGCCCAGTGCTGGGAGCCAGGCGGCCTGCCGACCAGGTCTGGGTCCATTTGGAACGGGCTTCCAGCTCTGCCATTGTTTAAGTAATGTCCTCGTGTTCCCATTAGAGGAGAGCATCTGGCTCTCCAGCGTCAGCGTTGGAGACGGAGCTGAGTTTGAGTTTGGAGGTGCTGGTTCGCGTGGGCTCCCCGGTGCTGGCCCTGGCCGCTCAGGCCTGGCATGGAGGCGAGAGGGCAGCCCGGGAGCAGGGGCCGAGCACCCCGGCGGAGGCTCTGCAGGCGCAGCCCGTGGCGAGGGCCCGCCGGGCCTGCCGGAGCTGGGAGGCAGTGGCAGGAAGCGCCGCGGTGGATCTGCCCGGGCCGGGGGAGCGAGTCCTGTGTATCCTATCCCGGGCGCTGTTGCCAAAAGACCCAAACGATGGGCCTATTTCCTTTAATCACACTTGGTTTTCCACCAGGCGCGAAGGTGTGGTCTCCCGGTCCTGGCAGTGGAGGCAGGAAGGGCACAGTTGGACCCCACGGGCTCGGGGCCACCAGCCCGAGCAGCGCAGGTACCTGTGGCCTGGCCAGGGTTCCCGGCAGGCACCGTGTCCGGGGAACAGAGTCGTGTCTGCTGGTTAGCAAGTGAGGACCCCGAGATAAATCTTAAAGGACAGGAATCACGAACCTCCTGTTTGCAAAAGCAGCCAAGCTCGGCAGTGGTGTGCGGGCCCCTGTGCCGGGCATGGATGGCCTGGCCCCCATGCTGGCCGTGTGGGGCTCCCCATGCCGGGCGTGGACGGCCTGGCCCCCGCAGCATGCAACCGTCACCTACTGCAGTTTTGCGTGCGCGGCTGAGGGTGCAGGCGGGACTCATGGGGTCCAGCTGTTACGCTGAGCCTGGGCCTGGCGCCTCAGCTGTTTGCAGGTTCAGGTCGTCCTCTCTGAGAACCTCCTCAAGTGGAAACACCAGGCTGTGCAGTCTTGGAGGCGAGCGTTGCTCTAATCTGATCAGCTACACCAGGGGCCGCCCATGCCAGGCCCTGCGGGCGCCAGGCCAGAGCCAGCCTCCGGGCAGGGGTCTGGGAAACACCCTGGTTCGTGTTTCAACCCAACCTCAGGATGAAAACTCTTGTTCAGTTAAGCGTGAGCAGCAAGGCCCTGCCGGGAGTCCGTCTGCCTGAGCTGCTCAAGCTTCCGGCCACTGTCTGTCGGGTGAGGCTCGGACGGGAGAGCAAGAACCGAGCCGGGGTCACTCTCAGCCTTTGGGCATCAGCTTTGAGGTCAGCGCTTCCTGGAAGGAGGAAATCGGAAATCGCTGGTTCTTCTGGCCCTGACTTGTGGTCGAGACCGAGGCTGGAGAGCCTGGGGTCAGCCCGCTCCGGGCCGCAGGCCTGCTCTGGGCTGCTGGAGGGGACTTGCCCTCCCTGGCCAAGGGTGGCCGGGACTCCAGACGGTGTGTTCGGGCGTCAGCTCTGGGCTTCAGGACAAGCCAGGGAGGTGTCTGTGAGCCGGTGCCTGGGCCCCCGGCCCGCTCCCCGAGCCCCAGGGGACCCGGATCCCCCAGACCTGAAGCGACTCCGAGTGGGGCTGTCTGGCGGGGGCGGGTGGGGCCTGAGCCGGGTCCCCGAGAGTCCTCGGCTGTGGCTCCGCCTGGCTGGCCCGGGCCCCGCGTGAGCCGGTCCCCCAGCATCCCTTGCGGCTCTGGCCCGCCGGGCCCGCTGCCCGGCCCTCTCCATCCCGTTTTAAGATGCTTTTTCTCTTTTTCACCCCACTGAGTCACCCCCAGACAGAGCCTGATCGTTCTGTTCCGTTTTGAATGAGGTGCTGCTGGCTCCTCCCACGCAGAGCCCAGGGAGGAGCAGGGTGTTGAGGAGAGTTAGATTCTGTGTTTCTCTGAAGCCAAAGGTTCTTTTGTCTATTGATTTACTAGGACTCGACGTTACTACGTGTTTTTCATGTTAAAGTGACATGAAACAATTTGTATGCAGGAGAGGCTCCATCACATTTCAAGAGAAACAGAATAAAACAGTGCAGTTTCCTGGAGTTTCTTTTATTTTTTAAATATTTACTCATTTATGCACACAAGAGCTGGGGTGCAGGCCAGAGGTGCGGGGGGTGAGAGGAGTCACCAGAGACAGAGCGGGGAACAGAGCAGGTGGATCCACTGAAACCCACTGCTGAGGGGAGCAGCGGGGAGACAGGAGGGTCTGCCGTGCCCTGTGGGTAGCTCCCTGGCTGGGATCGCACTCCGGCCGCTGTGGCTGGCGATGGCTTGATAGCACCCAGACTTAACCCCTGTGCCACTGGGGAGGCCTCCTTGATTGTTTTCGTTGAGCTGCTTTTAGACAAGTAATGCCTGCAGCGGGTGGCACCTGCGGACACAGCAGACAGCAGGGGAAGGGTGGATAAGGCTCCCTCGCAGCCTGGGCTTCTCTCTTGCCGCCCAGCCCGCACTCTGGGCCATTCCCGGAGTCCACCCGGTCGCTTGGCTTCACAAAGGGCCTTAAAAATGGCCAACTGTGGGAGCCAAGGCTTGGGGGCTCGCACTGTCCCTGCAATCGGGAGAATTGCATTTTCTTTGTGTGTCCATCACCGAATCATTGGTGCACATGGAGGCACTTGGATGAAACTTGCCTCGAGCCCATGGGTGAGGCTTGGGGCGAAATGGGTTGGGAGTGCTGCTGGGGTGCAGACACTGCCCTGGAGGGGGCGAGATGGCTGTGCTGGGGCCTCTGTGGCCATGGGGCCCTGCCCAGCTGTGGGAACACAGGCACCCCTGGCCTAGCCTCCACCCTTGGGGTCTGCGGACGTGAAGCCGCCTGTGCCCACTGTGACATGGCTGTGCCTTGTGCCCCGCAGGCTCCCACATTCCGGAGGCGACTCCCAAGTACTCGGAGACAGACACCATTGTGGGTGAGTGGAGCCGTTGCCTTGCAGGGCGCGCAGACCAGGGCCGGCCCATGCTGAATCCGTCAGCTGGGCCTCCTACCGCCTGGCAGTACGTCTTGCTCTGACCCTCTCCTGAGATACACCCCAGACATGTCCACATGAGGTCGGTTTGGAGGTGCTGGGTCCCGAGAGTGGCTGCAAGGTTCACTCTGGGGAAGGCCTCCCCAGAGCCCCCCTTTTGGCGGCACCAGCGAGTTCCCAGGTGACAGAGACGCTGGTTGTGTCCAGAGGGCAGGTTTGTTACAAGAGGGAGGGAGAGCAAAGGGCACTTGCATGGACACAGCGGGCAGCGAGGCAGCACGAGAGGGATGGATTTGCTGAGAGAGGCCTGCGTGGTCACAGGGGGCAGCCTGGGGGAGCCTCCCCAGCTGAGGGGTCAGTGAGGAGAAGCCCCGGCATGGCCACTGGTCCCAACAGGCAGGAGGCTGCTGCCCCGTGGAGGGACAGAGTTGGCAGCGGGGGTCTGACATGGGTCTAGGCGACCAGCGGCAGCAGCCTGTGCTAACTACAGTGCCCTCCCACCCACAGGCGAGGCGTCCACGTGGGGCAGCGGCTCCTACAAGGCCTTCGACGGCCACATCTTCTCCTTCCAGTCCTCCTGCCCCTACACCTTCTGCCGCCACTGCGTGGAGTCGGGTGGGGACTTTGATGTGGAACTTCGGCGCAGCCCTGGCGGCGCCATCGAGAAGACGCGGGTCACCATTGATGGCAACGACATCTCCATCCTTGGAGACCTCGTCGTGGTGAACGGGGAGAGGTGAGTGTGGGCGGGCAAGGCCGGCAAGCGGGAGGGAGGGCCGAGGTCACCCTGTGCCCCGCCCCCGCGCTGGACGCTCCGTGGCTGTGACCTCCGGCTGAGGTTTGGGGCGTGGGTCCCACGCGGGCAGGGCGGCCTCTGCCAGGCTGTTTCGAGGGCCCAGATGCAGGTGGTGTGTGTCCGGCGGCGGCTCCTGCACAGAGACGATCATGTGTGTGCCAGGAAGTGCACACGGGCTACAGCGACGGGCTCGGGCCGTTGTGTTTGGAAATTGCCGCCGCGGTGACGGGGTGGGGGGCCTCGCCGGCGACCCCAGGGCCAGCGCCTTTGCTGTGGGTTTCACTTGAGATTTTTCAAGTCGTCTGATCACGTTCACCGTTTTTCTCTCATTCGTTTCTCTAAAGCCTCAAGTATTTATTCATCGCTCCTCACAAGCCTTCAGTATCAGAAAAAAGTCATTCTGCTTCTTCTTCAGAAATTATTAAAACAGGAAGCCTGGGCTGCTATCCCTCGTCAGGCCGCGCTGGCTGCGGCACGTGGGCTGGGCGCGGCTGGGCTGACCCGCTGTGCTCTGCTCCGCAGAGTCCAGCTCCCCTACACCAACAAGCTGATCCACATCCGGACGCTTGGGGAGTACAAGGTCCTGAGCAGCCGCCGCGGGACCCTCACACTGATGTGGGACAGAAACAGCAAGCTCTCGGTAGGCCCAGCGTGAGGCCCGCATGTGGGGCTCGGTGCCTGTGCGTCCAGCCCCATGCGTCCAGCCCTCTGCGTCCAGCCCTGTGCATCCAGCCCTGTGCGTCCAGCCCCGTACGTCCAGCCCACTGCGACCATCCCCTTGCATCCAGCCCTGTGTGTCCAGCCCCATGCATCCAGCCGTAAACACAGGAGCTGTCAGGGACACTGCGGCTGCGGCTTCGCAAAGGCCCCTGCCGCTGCCCGCTGCGTCGCTCAGTGTCCAAAGTGCCAGAAAGGCCATGCTGTTGTCAGGCTGCTGTCCAGCCGACAGGCTTGGGGTGTTGGGAGAAGGTGTGGCCCCGCCCAGCAGGAGGGCTCTGGGGACCCCCAGCCCAGAGGCAGGTGCCCCTCCGGCCTGCACCCACCCGGCCCTCTCTCTCCCCCAGCTCACTCTGCACAAGCAGTACGAGACCTGCGGCCTCTGTGGCAGCTTCGGCAGCGCGCCAGGTGAGGCTCTGGGCACTGGATGATCCACACTCGCCTGAAGAAAGAGAAACTGTGGACAGAGCCCCAGGCCAGTCTGGAGGCCGCGCGGGAGCTGGGACCTGACCAAGCACCTCTTCCTTTCAGGGAACATCTCCGAGCACCTGGCCGCCAGCAGGATCCCTGGGGACTGCCCGGAAGCCGTGGCCAGGACCCATGAGGTCTGCGCGGACGGGGTGCAGGTAAGGTGCCACCGGCCTGGCCGCCTCTCTGGGCCTCACACTTTGCACTGGAGCCCCGCAGACCTGGGCCCACGTGTCTCCACTCCACCCCCATGCCCGTCACATCCGGGCCTCCCAGCCTGCGCTGACCATGCAGAGACTGCGCACTGGCCCCCAAACCTCGGCCCGCACCCTAGGTGAGCAGCTGAGTTGTGTCCTGGTGACACCCTGTGGGCTCTGTGCGCCGCCGCTGAGGGCTGGCGCCGGGGCCTGGGGGGATGGCACCCTCCCTTCCGGCTCTGCTCAGAGCCAGCTGCCCGGGGCTTGTGGACACTGTGGGCCTGCTGGGCCCCTGGGGGCGTCACCCCAGAGCCACCTTGTCGCTCCCAGCAAAGCAGACGGAGAGGCTCCCAGGAGACCCCTTGCCCTGAGGCCTGGCCTGTGCCCCGGGCTGGCAGGGAGACCCCCACCGGCCCCTTTGCTCCCGTCACCTGATGGAGATGAGGCCTGGGGTGACGCAGCCTCGCATCCTGGTGTGCGGTGGGCGGCATGTCCTCCTGGCTGGCCGGTTTCAGTGGCGCGGATATGTGACGGGCACCCCAGGGCCCTGCAGAGCCCAGAGCCTATGCCCTGGCCAGAGGCCCCGGCCTGCCCGCTAGGGCCAGCACCTGTGTGGACGGCTGTGGGGCTCGGAGAGCAGGGTCCTTGGGTCCTCCCTGAGCTCCCCATTCCGTGGTGCCAGTGGGGTCCAGCTCTGTTCAGGAGAATGGGCTCCCGCAGGGGCGCTGGCCCCACACCACGGCGGGGAGAGCTGCAGCGGCCCTGTGTCCCATCGTCATGGGGGCTCGTCCTGCACCGCTGGCTTCTGTTGACTGACCAGGGGGTTCCTCAGCCCCCGAGGCCCCTGCGATCTGGGCTTCGAAGGATGCGGGGTGACAGCTCGGTGGGCGGCGCCGACGGAGGGATTTCTCCCCTGGCGCGGCAGAGTGGGACTTTGGGGCCACGCGGGGAACTGGCTTGACTTGCTCAGTAGGGCCTGAGGCTTCGCGGGCCCTGGGTCTCCTGTGCGCTGGGTCCCTCCCGTCGCTGCTCCTCCCCCGAGCGTCCCCCCTCCCCCGCTTCCTGCGGGGCTGACGTGCCTGCTTTGCCCGCAGCACTGTGACAAGATGATCCGCGACTACTTCGAGCAGTGCGGGAAGGTGGGCCCGCTGGCCCGGGACTACCAGGCGGTCTGCGTGGACGAGTACTGCCGGGCCCAGGGCCGCGCCTCCGCCTGCGCCACCTTCTCCGAGCTGTCCCGGCTGTGCGCGGCCGACGGCCCCGGCGCCTTCGAGGCCTGGCGCGAGGACCCCGAGGTGTTCTGCGGTAGGTCCCGAGGGTGCGCTTCTCTCAGACACGGTCCTGCCGTGAGAGGGGAGGAAGCCAGGCCCTGGGGTGGGGGGCAGCCCCAGTCGGGTGGGAGCTCAGCAGGGTGGAGCCCCCCCCCACCCCAGGCCAGAGCAGCAGAACGCCGAGAAGCCTCCACAGGAACGTGGAGGAGCCCCTGGCGTGGTGACGAGGACTGAGCTAGTCCTTCCCAAGCTGAGTCGGCACTGGGTGTGAGCTCCACGCAGTGCAGAGCCCTGGCCCTGGCATGTTCCGTGCGCGGTCCCCACATCCCAGGCCAGGGGACGTCGTGGCGCCTGCATCCTCCACGCTGCTGTGAGGGCGGCGGTGGGGCTCAGCAGGAGGGCGGTGCAGTTGCCTGAGGAGCCCCCCCCAACCCCTCACCCCTGCTCCCATGTCCCTGCCCCGTGCCTCTGCCCCTGACCCCGTGCCCCTGCGTCTCTGTTTCTGCAGAAAAGCCCCTCTGCCCCGAGGGACACGTCTACAGGGAGTGTGTGCCGGCAAACCCTGCCACCTGCTCCAACGTGGCCCCCTTCCAGGACAGCGAGTGCGTGAGTGGCTGCACCTGCCCGGAAGGTACTGCATCTTGGCTCTTCCCAGGAATGGCACGGCCCCTGGGACGGCCCCAATCACATGCGTGGGCGCCCCCTGCTGTCCCATGGTCCCGCTGGACGCTGCCTGTCCCCCCCCCCGGGAAGGGACTGAGGCATCCCCGGGCCAGGGCAGGCGTTGACCACGGTGCCACCCGCAGGTTACCTGCTGGATGACGTTGGAGACAAGGGCGGCTGCGTGCTGAAGGCAGAGTGTCCTTGCGAGGCCGGCGGGAAGGTGTACCAGACAGGGGATGTCCGTGAGGGGCCCTGCGGCTCCCAGTGGTACGTGGGTGGCCTGTCTGCCATCCCCCGGCAGCTCTGTGGCCTGGTCATGCTGTTCTTTCTCTCGCTTGATTTACTTCCTCCATCCACCCTGCGGCTCAGGAGTCAGAGCAGCCTCGTCACGGTTTCTGCCAACCTTCCATCCCAGGTGCCCTTGCACAGGACGCCAGCTTCGTGTGTCCTGACGGGCACCAGACGCGGTCACCAGCCAGCCCCGGGCCTGGGAGGACAGGCAGCAGCTAGAGAGCCGGGGCCGCAGGGCAGCTGCCCAGCGAGTGGTCACACGTGGCCCAGCTCTCCGCGCCCCCCACCTGGCCGTTGGCCCTAGTGCAGGCGGTGGCAACTGCCTCAGGGTGGTCCTGGGGTGCCCGTGGCCTGCTGAGTCAGAGCAGTGTCTTCCTCCCTCTGTGCCCCACACCGTCGCAGTGGCCGCACCTGGCTCCCCCGCGACGCTGCGTCTGCAAGGAGGGTCTCTAGGCAGCCGCTGTGTGCTCCTCCCCACACGCTGGGACGGTCAGTGGGGACAGGAGGTCAGTCACAAGCCGAGGAATGGCTGCCATGACCTGTGGGGTACGGCGCCGCCTGCAGAGGCTGGCCCAGGCTGGATGCAGCTGCAGGTACCAGAGGCTGCGCGCAGGGACTCGTTCTCTAAGAAGGCGAAAGTCAGAGCCGCGGAATCCGTGCTGACCGCGTCTCCTGGGTCACTCCCGCTCTCTGGCCCTCGTCCTGCTGCGCAGTGCCAGTGTGCAGGTCCATGCGAGATTTCACGGTGACTCTTCTAGGTGCCTTTTGGCGTCTGGGACGTGGTGTTTGAAACCGTAGCCCCCGCTGACCTGAGGCCTTGTACAGAGCTGGCGGGCGGCGGGGACAGCCGTCCAGCAGAGTGTCAGGACTCGCTCCGTCCAGCCTCTGGCTCCTGTGCTCAGGCTATTTACTTCGCGCCAGGAAGAGCCTGCCTGGCCCCCTAATGTAGCCGTTGTGTCTCCCCAGCACCTGCCAGGAAGCCAAGTGGTCGTGCACTGAGGCACGGTGCCCCGGGAGGTGCAAGGTGGAAGGAAGCTCGCTCACCACCTTCGATGGGGTCAAGTACAGCCACCCGGGGAACTGCCACTTCCTGGCCATCCACGTGCGTAGCCGCCCCCTTCGCGCTTCCCGCAGGCCCAGTCCTTGCCATTAGCACCTGCTTTAAAAACGGGTCACAAACAGCTCCTCATTCCTGGCACACGTGTGGCGAGCCCTGCCAGCCCGTCCTGCTGTGCCCGAGCTGCCCAGCGGGCAGAACACACAGCCCCGCGTCCACTGGGGAGTCTCCCGCGTCGCCTGCTCGCCTGCTCCCCAGCCCCTCTTCCCCTCACAAGGCGCCCCCACCCACCAGCCCCCCCTTATGTCTGTGTCCAGCTCTGAGGATGCAGATGGGCATCGGTGGGGCCTCGCCTTCCTGTGAGACTCTTTTCAGAAAAAAGAGAGACCCCTCAATACTGCCAGCCTGGCCACAGGCCCACCCTGTAACCTGGGTGGCGGCTGCCCGGGCGGCGCTTGGCCCTTGGCCGGGACTGTCCATCTCCCCTCCTGGCAGGAACCCAGCGCGTAGGGTTGCCCATCCTCGTGCTGGTCAGCGTCCAGTGCCTAAGAGTCCGGCCACTGCCAGCACGTTCTCGTGTTCCTCTTGGCTTCTCAGGCGGCTGGTGCCGGGCATGTGGCCCGCAGGAGGGCGACCCAGCTTGTGGGGAGAGTGGGTGGGCAGTGGCGGGTGCAGGGCAGTGCTCGCCTGAGCCGCGCAGACGCTGGCCTGGAGCAGGAGCGGCAGCGCCTCGGCCCGCAGTCCATGGCAAAGCGCCTTTCCCAGGCGGAGAAGCTGAGCTGGGAGGGAGGTGGTGCTGAGGAGCCTCCTCTGAGGGTTCCCTGCAGGGGTCGCGCCGCCCAGATGCCCTGCGGCCCCGTCCCTCCCACCCCCCACTGGACCAGCGGACCTGCATCCAGTTCCAGAAGCACTGGCTACCCCGCATGCACGAGTCGCACTTGGGGTGTGGCGCAGTGTCTGCCGTCACTGAGCCCTCAGCCAAGTGCAGTGCGTGTCCCTGACAGGACGAGGACTGGTCCGTCACCGTGGAGCTCCGCCCATGCCCCAGCGGCCAGTCTGGGACCTGCCTGACCAGCGTGGCGCTGCTCTTGAACTCGGTGAGTGACCAGCTGCTGTGCTGCTCAGACCACGCCCAGCCGGGGCTGCTCAGACTCAGAACCCCGGTGGTGGAGACAGCCGTCTGGGTGAGGGCCTGGGTGCGAGTGACGCTGCCGGGTCCGCAGGATGCTCGGCACGTGCAGGGTGCCAGAGGCCTCAGCGCACCGCCCCCTGCACCCCCTGGCCGGGCAGAGGCGACTTCGCTTGCTTATACTTTCTGCAGTTGGAACGGACACCGCAGCCAGAAAAGGCCTGCGTGGGGCGGTTAGCCGTGCCGGCCGGGAGCTTTCGGGTCTCGAGTTCCCTGTCTGCAAATCAGGGCTAAAGATTCCTTTGGGGTCTTCTCCAAAGCACTGTGCTGGGAAGCAAGTACGGCAAAAGCTTTAGGAATGTTCTGCGTTGCGGACATTTGTACGTGAACTGAATAAAACTGTGCGTCTCTGGCACACCAGCTTGGGCCCACGTCACACTAAGGGGAGTTCGTTTCCCACATTCAGGTGAATTAACCATGTGCTTTAAATATTAGTCCGTTTCAGTCGACAAATACGTATTCAATAATGACGGGACCGTCACGAATGACAACATCAGAAATCAAAGTTACTACTATTCAGGTAGGTTTGGTAATGACACTAAAAGTAGATGTCATTTGTTTTTATTTTTATTTAGTTTTAAAGATTTTATGCATGCAAGAACTAGGGTGCAGGTCAGAGGTGTGTGGGGGGGAGAGGACTCCCCAGAGACAGAGTGGGGAGCAGAACGGGGGGGTCCACTGAAATCCACTGCTGAGGGGAGCAGCGGGGAGACAGGAGAGGTCTGCTGCGCCCTGTGGGTCACTCCCTGGCTGGGGAGCAAACTCAGGCTGTAGTGGCTGGTGATGGCTTCATAGTGCTGAGACTTAGCCACTGCGCCCCCAGGGAGGCCCAATTTGCTCAATTTTTAAAGGTATTAAGTGTCTCTGTTATTAGCAGATTGCATTGAAGCATTTTAATCACTGCTCTTAATGTGGCACTTTTGCAGACAAATTACAGATCTTCAGAGTGTCTTCCTCGTACCTGCAAGTGGAGACACACTTCCACGTGAAGATGCAGATCCAGACGGTCCCCGTCATGCAGCTCTACCTGTCCATGCCCCCCGGCCGGTTCACGGACACAGTCGGTGGGTGCCGCCCTCCCCGCCCCGGCCCGGCCCGTGGTCACTGCATGTCAGCCATAAAAGTACTCGTGTAACCTCCCGAACATGCGGTGGCCACGTCACTCCAACCTGCTTTCTATTGGAAAAAGTTCTATTGCAAAAAATGGTCTTCAACACTTTACACCTTGTGAGATTTTTCAATCAGGGTATTCAGTGAGTTGGGATTTATGTTGTATATCACGTAGCTAAGGCTTTGTGCTTAGCACAAAAAGGGCTAAGATGCACTTTTTTTTTTAAAGATTTATCTTTTATTTATTTATACAAGCACTGGGTACAGTCAGAAGGGCGGGAGGGTGAGAGAATTCACCGAGCCAGAGCAGGGAGCAGAGCAGGCAGAAGGACCAAAGTACACTGCTGAGGGGAGCAGTGGGTGGCAGGAGGGGTCTGCGCGCCATGTGGGACCCTCCTCCGGTGGCCGGGGAGCAGCCAGGGATCGAACCGGTGCTGCAGAGGCTGCGGGCAGCTTCGCAACCCAGCGCTCAACTGCTGTGCCACCGGGGAGGCCCCTAAGATGCACTTTTATTTAAAAGCCTTGTTGTCAGTCCCAGCCATGTCACTGCTCATCTTCTGGGCCCTCTGGTGTGAGGTGGCTGCCATAGATATCAGTTCTCATGGCTGCTGCTGGGCGTCGTGCCAACAAAGCAACCACGGCAGCCGGAGGCGACCAAGCCTTTGCAGCAACCCACTACCTGGGAAGGTGACTTGTATGCTCCCAGGGATGAGGATGACTCAGGGCAGGAGGGCGCAGATAAGGGCCCACTGAGCGCAGGGCATGTGGTCACATAAATGCCGTCATCAGCCTCTCCTCCTTGGAGCAGGTGTGGATATAGCAGAGACAGGAGCAGCACAGGCTGGGGCCAGGGATGTGAAAAAAAAATGGGCATTAATTCGTGGTGTCAGGAAACAGCACTTTATGTGTAAAGAGTGACCAGCGCATGCTCTGGGGCCGCTTCCTCGGGCTTTGATTGGATCAAAGATCCGGGGGGCTGGACACCCCCTCAGCGCCGAGGCACCATTGAGCGCCGTGTGCTCCTCAGGGCTCTGCGGCTCCTACAACAACAGAGCCGAGGACGACTTCATGTCCAGCCAGAACATTCTGGAGAAGATGTCCCAGGCCTTTGCTGACTCCTGGGAAATGATGCCCTGCCAGAGAGCAAGCCCTGCCTCCTGCATCAGCATAGAGAAAGGTATGGCCAAGGGCGCTGGTCGGGCACTCTGGGGTCGAGGCTTGCATGGTGACAACGTGGGCATGCCTGGTCCTGCTGGCTGGTCTCCCAGCTCCGCCGGTGTTCGAGGAAACAGCAGAGACACAGTCGGGCTGGCTGAGGCCAGGAAATACGTCGGCCATAGGGAAGCAGGTTGACTAGTTACCCAATTCTTGGCATCATCTTTCCCTCCTTACCGAGTCTCCCTGCAGTTGCAGCATTTCAGGGTGAGAGCAGACGGCACAGATCACTTGTGCGTTACTCGTCCCTGTCACTTGGTTGTGCAAGTGATTAGAGCAGAAATAGGCGCACCCCAGTGCCTGAGCTGCTGGTGCCTCCTGTGCACTAGACATACCAGCCTAGCAAAGTGGCTTGTCAGGCGCCTCTGAGCTGTTGTGATCCAGCTTGTGTAGCACCTGAGTTCTCCACGAATCCAACTCAGTTTATCCACAGAGACTCTCGAGGACCCTATGAGGGTGTAGCCCCTCAGCGTGCTGTGGCTGGGGCTGGTCTCCTGACAGCGGACATCAAGCCGTGACCCCAGGGTGCAGGTGCAGGTCTTGCCCTGGTTGTCACCTGCTCTTTCACAAGGAATGCAAGCGACTAAAATACATGTTGATACATAAGTTTCTGAATTAATGTGCATATTCAAGAAGACCGCATAGCTTGGGACAGTATTTAAAAATTTCTAAGGCAATTCCTTTTGAAAGTTTTGGTGCTTGTTTTGATTTCAAAAATGTTAATGTGTCAAGTAGAAGCATTGAGGTCAACAAAGCACAAGATGCTGGATGTTCACAATGCTTGTAGGTAGCACAAGTGGAAACAGAAGAGGTAAAAAAAAATGTGTATCTTATAAGAAATCAAGGCAATTGATGACAAACTGAACTGTGAATGACTTGAGCTAGAAAAATTAACATTTAGGAAGTGTTAGCAGAGCTTGTCCTTCTGGGTCACCAAGCATTTGCCTCTTGGATGCTTTTCTGGTGACTTTTCCTTTCTGTTAATTTGGAAACTGGGTTATTTATAAACCAACCACATGTCAACTGGGCACCTGAACGCTGACACTCGTGCTTGGGTGAGTGGTATTGGTTATCTCAGGAAAGCTGAAGGGACCCTCTGGGGTGGCTGAGACGCGATGGGGTGGTGCAGTGCTGGCTTCTACCATCCTACTATAATTTAGACATAAACCTATGTTTTAGATTAAAGGCACCTAAATAAATAATCTCCCTTTGTTCCATTTTTATAGACAGTGCATATCAGAAAAATCTTAGTGGCTTTAATTACAAGAGTCCGAAGCTGATAAAGATTCTGCTTAGCTTGAGCATTTCTGATTCGTGGTGTGCTGTTTTTCATACAATAACAGCAAATTAGTTTTATCGTAGCAAATGTATTGAAGCTTAATTGTTTTAATAAAGTCAAAACTGTTAAAATTTATACTTTTTCTTCCAGTTACAATCACGACCCTGTTGATAGTAACTTGGGAAGTGTTCGTTTCTTCCAGAGAGGTTTGCGGAAAGGCACTGCGGGATTCTCCTCGACACCAGGGGACCCTTCGCCTCCTGCCACCTGGTGGTGAACCCCAAGCCCTACCACGAGGTATGCCCGGGACAGCAACCACGCCCCGCAGCTGCACACACGTTGAGGGCCTCCCTGGCGCCTGGGCGGGTCTCGGGCTGTGGCCCCCACGGCCTGAGTTCGATCCCCGTGGGGAGCGGCCCGCAGGGCGCAGCAGACTCGCGCTCTCCGCGCTGCTCCCTCCGCGGGTGTGGCAGCCCGGCCCGCCCTGCTCCCCGCGCTGTCTCTGGGGAGTCCTCCCACCCCGCCTCTGGCCGCACCCCAGCTCTGCTGCGCAGAGTTAAGTAAAGTCTAAGAAACGGGGAGAAGCCCCGACGTGGGCCGGCGTCACGGTCCGCGCCGAGGCCCGCGGCTCCCCTCTCGCCCGGAGCCCGCCCGGCCGCCCAGCCGGGGCCGCGAGACGCCCGGGCGGGCCCGTCCCGGGCTGGGAGGCCGCGCGGTGCTTCGCGTTTCGGGGGGAGTCCGCGGAGCTCCAGGGAGCCCCGGGCGGCCCCGTCTCACGCCCCCCCCCGCCCCCCAGGAATGCAAGCGCTTCACCTGCACGTGCGAGCGCGGCCGCGACTGCCTGTGCGCGCTCCTGGGCAACTACGTCAAGGCCTGCGCCGAGCGGGGCACGCTGCTGGCCGGCTGGCGCGACGGCCGCTGCTGAGGGGCGGGGCGGGGCGGGGCGGCGGCGGGCTGGGCGCGACGGCCGCTGCGGTGAGGGGCGGGGCGGGGCGGGGCGGGGCGGGGCGGGGCGGGCGAGGCTGCTGGCCGGCTGGCGCGACGGCCGCTGCGGTGAGGGGCGGGGCCGGTGGGGCGGGGCCGACGTCGCCCCGCCCCCTTAGCCCCACCTTGTGCGCCCGGACGCCGGGGCCTATCGAGATGACGTCATGACGTCCTGCCACAGCAGCTGCCTCCGAGCCGTCCCTGCGCTTTGCTTCCGGCTTTGCCTTCCTCAGCGCGTCCGCGTTCGCGCCGGGGCGCGCGGGTGTGTGTGGACGGCCGCGTCTGTCGCTGCCGGAGGCGGCGTTCATGCGGGCTCTGTGCGGTGACGTGGTCGTGGCGGGGCCGTCGCTCCGCCCGGCTCCGCGCCCGCCTTCGGCTGCGCGGCTGCGGCCGCCCCGGACGTCCTCTCGGGCGCCCTCCCGGCTCCTCGGGGAAGCCCGAGCCGTCTTCAGAACCAGACGGTCCCAGGACCCGCCCCTGAGTCCCGCGGCCCGGCCCGCTAGCGGAGGACGGCCCGGCGGGCTCCCCGCGGGTTCTGTCCCCGCCGTGCTCTCGGAGGACCCTCCCTCCTCGCGGGTGCAGCCCCAGGCGTCCCCGGGCAGCCGTCCTCCCTCCCCAGCACTGCGTGAGGCCGGCACCGCCCCGGGGGCAGGGCTCTGCCTGGCACCGCCCGCGAGCGTGGGCCAGGACAGCCCTGGGAAAAGCGGAAAAAATAATTTCATTCTTCTTGGTCCGCGTGTCCCGCTGGGTGCCCGTGATGCCCTGGGCTCGCGCCACCATCTGCACCTGCGCCCACAGAGCACTCCTGTCCAAGCGGCCTCGTCTTCAAGTACAACGTCAAAGCCTGCAACAGCTCCTGCCGGTCCCTGTCGGAGAGAGACAGGAGCTGTGACGTGGAGGATGTGCCAGTGGATGGCTGCACCTGCCCCACCGGCACCTTCCAGAACAGCGAGGGGCGCTGCGTGCCCAAGTCCCAGTGCGACTGCTACCTGGACGGCCAGGTCCTGCAACCTGGCAGGCTCATCCACCTCGATGACAACAAATGGTAGGACTGGCGCCGCAGCCCGCGGCCTGGGCTTTGCTAGCTACGTTCCCTGCCGAGGCTGGCACCACCCCTCTAACCTGGAGTGCCCTGCCCCACTGAGGCTGGAAGTGGCTCATCCTACTCTGGAAAAATCCCTGTCAGCCCCCACGTGCAGACACCGTCCCAGCTGCCTCTCAGCTTGGGGTGCGTGCTGGGCCAGGTTGAGCAAGACACCCCTCAGGACATGCTTGGAAGGTGGCACCACACAGCTGCCGCAGCACTGGGCCAACCTGGAGTCGCTGGCTGGTCAGAGGCAGGGCTGAGAGATGGCAGCTGGGAGCAGTGGCTCAGGCCTAGTGTCTGTGGGATGACTTGCCCACACCCTCCCTCAGAGATAGGCCATTCTTGGCGGTGTAGCTGCAGGAAGCTGCTCTGAGACACGCAGGATGCACTGCCCTCGTGTCTGTGGTCCCCGAAGCCGGTCTGTGTCAAGGAACAGCTTTGCATGACCACTTAAAGGCGAGCATGCAAACGTGGCTGGGTGTGCCCAGTCTGCCTCTGTGGATGCTGGACATCCACTAGCTCCACTTAGTGAAAGCCAGGCCCCCAGAGTGGCTTCTGTCTCACCCCCACCGAGCTCTGAGGGGCTGGGCGCTCTGCCTGCCGCCTGGGTCTTGCTGCCTACCTGCTGTGAGGAGGCCTGGCCTGAGCTCTGTGTGACGCACCCACAGCCCAGACCTGTGTGTGCTCTTGGACCCTGCAAGGCTGTCCCCACTCAGCTCTCCTGCTCGCCAGCGGGCCTCGCCCCCAGCAAGGGCCAGACATGGCCGCCCTCCTGGGGCTGTGGATCCTCCTGCCCTGCTGCGCCCCCAGCCTCCGCGTGGGGCCTGGTACCCAGGCCCTGGTCAGGGTCGGGCATGCCTGCTTGGGTCCCCTTCGCGCATCATCTGGGGTCTGTGTCTCACTCAGTGGACTAATAGGATGGAGCAGATGGCTCACGAGCAAGGGGGCGGGGGTGCTGTGGAAGTTCGTCGAGAGGCGTCTGTGAAATCTGAGGTCTGATGTGTCACTTTCCTTCATGCCCAGTGTCTGCCGGGACGGGCTCCTGCTTTGCCAGACACCCATTGACTTAATGCTGCGTAAGTGTGGGGTCAGGTGCTGAGGCGCTGCTGGGGGATGCACAGCCCAGGCCAGAGGCCCTGCTCACCGGACTCCCTTGCTCTGCAGAGAACTGCTCTGGGGGCGCCGAGTATGTGGACTGCAGGGACCCGAAGGCGCAGAGGCGGGTGGATAGCACCTGCAGCACCCGGAACATCCCCACCTTTGATGTGAGTCACGCATCTGACCAGCTGTCCCGGCAGGAGGAGATGCGGGGAGAGGCGGCGAGCAGGCCCACAGCCTGATGCCTTTGGCCTCTGCGGTTGCTCAGCTGCTGCGCCGTGGCCACGGCCTCTGGGGTCTCACTTGGGCCTCTTCCCGCAGGAGAACTTGCCTTGCAAGCGCGGCTGCTACTGCCCAGTCGGGATGGTGAGGGACTCGAGGGGGAAGTGCGTCCTTCCCGATGACTGTCCCTGCTCCTTTGGCGGCCGGGAGTACGAGCAGGGCAGCGTCACCGCGGTCGGCTGCAATAAGTGGTGCGTGGGGTCCACCGTGTGCCCTCTGGGGTGGGTGCAGCCGCCCTGTCTTTGTGGGCAGGGTCGTCCTTCCAGCTGTGCCAGAAAGTCATGGCCAAGGCGAGTTAGAGGAGAAGCAGCTTTGTGGCAGCCACTGCCCGTCCCGTGCTGAGCGTCCGCGGGTCCCAGGTTCGCCCCGCTCACACCCACGCAGACCACGCTCGGGTGTCTGATTCCCATGTGAGGCGCTGATGCCCCCTGTCCCCCCAGCACCTGTGTGAAGGGCTCATGGAACTGCACTCAGCACGAATGTCAGAGCACCTGCCACATCTATGGGGAGGGCCACGTGCGGACCTTCGATGGGCGGAGCTACAGCTTTGACGGCCTCTGCCAATACTCGTTCCTGGAGGTGAGTACCTGTCTCCCGAGGCTCCCTCCTTCACCTGTCGAAAGTTGGGGTGCCGGGGCAGCACTGTGCATCCAAAGGCATCAAGTCAATCATTCATTATTTGGGAAGGGGTTGCGCATCCTCAGACCTCGGAATAACTGACCAATCATGCCAGACACACCGGGAGTGCAGGCTCGCACCAGGGACACGCGGGAGGGGGGCAGGAGGGGCAGCGTCCACTACTGAGGACCTGGGCAGGCGCCTCTACCCCGGCCCCACCTCCGGACGGCTGCCGCAACGCCAGCCTACAAGGTCTCCACTGTCTGTCATCAGAGCAAAAACCCTCTTCAGTTTTAGCGGAAACAGGTGCTGATGTGGGTCCTGGGGAAAGCAGAGTGGGGTGATGGGATCTTAGAGAAGAGGGGCACCCTCCCCCCAGTAGTGGCCCATGTCCCTGGAGGGTCTTCCTCTCCCAGCCTGACAGTCAGAGCCCTGTGGGCGTTTCTCCACCGCAGCAGGACTGCGCAGTGACCCTCAGAGCCGGCGCGTCCTCTGACTTGTGACTTGCGGGCTGCCCTGGGCTCTGCTGGCAGAGGCCAGAGCCAGGCAGCAGCGGCAAGCACGGTGCCAGGGTCTCGCTGTCTCCAGGCTGGGGCACCAGCCCGTCACTTCTTAGCTGAGCGTGCCCATGTGCTGTCACCCGGGCGCTGCAACACTGGAGCTGGCACCGCCCCACGACAGATGCGCAGCTGAGTGGGAGCGGCGAGGCCAGCTGGCAGAGGCCAGGGTGCCCTGGTGTGCCCTGTTGCCTGCTGGAGCCTGCTCCTTGCCTCCCGCAGCTTCCCAGGTTTCAGAGAGAGGGCGGACACGCACTGCTTGGGATCTACAATTTACTTTTGAATATCAGGTCCATGTAAATCGCCGAAGGGGAGTAAGAAAGGCCCCTCCCCTAGCTACTCAGGGAGCCCAGTGGACCTGTGTGGTGGCGGGAGCGAGCCCCGGGAACTGGGCCGCACAGCACACGCCATCCGGTGGTGGTGGAGGATGCGTGATGCCTGCTGGGGAGGTGCTGGTGCTGATAGCCCCCGCCCCGCCTGCCAGGATTACTGCGGAGGCGAGAACGGCACGTTCCGGATGTTGACAGAGAGCGTCCCGTGCTGCGAGGACGGGCTCACGTGCTCGCGGAAGATCGTTGTGGCTTTCCAGGTAGGCGCGGGCATGGCGACTGGTGCTTCTGGGTGCGGCTGGCGCGGGAGGCAACCTGAGCCCATCTGCTTCCAGGACCAGAACGTCGTCCTGCATGACGGCAAGGTGACGGCTGTGAGGACTGCCGAGAGCAAGGAGTGCGAGCTGCGCGCCAACGCCTACTCTGTGCACACCGTGGGCCTCTACCTGATTGTCAAGTTCAAAAGTGGGATGACCGTGATCTGGGACAAAAACACGAGAGTGTCCGTGATCCTGGACCCACACTGGCATGTACGTGGGTCACCAGGGCTGCGGCGGGCACTGGCTGGGCCGGGCCTGGGGGCGTGAGAGGGGCGGGCAGCCTCGAGCGCTCAGCCTTCGATGACTGTGGACCCGAGCAGAGTCGGTGGGAAGTCAGGGCATCCCCAGGCTGCTGGATCCCACGCAGTGGCTCTGCTGCTGACGTGAGGCACAGTCGGTGTGTATGTGGATGTGCACGTCCGAGAACCCACGTTTCCGTGTGTGTGGCTCAGGCTAGTGAGTAGCAGTAATTTCTTGTCCTTGATCATCTTAGTTGATGTGCAGTTGTGTCCCACTCCTGGATGAACGGGAACAGTGTGCTGTCCACAATTCCTGGTTTCCTTCCCAAATTTGGGGCTGAGAGTAGACCCGGGACCGCTGTGCCCTGCAGATGCCCCCCGCGGGCTGTCCCCCTCACTGCCCCGGGGGCATCTTGAGCCTGCGTGACCCCGTCTGGCTGTGCAGGGCAGAGTGTGCGGCCTCTGTGGGAACAACAACGGTGACCTCAAGGACGACTTCACCACACGGCATTCCTCGGTGGCAGCTGGCGCATTGGAGTTTGGGAACAGCTGGAAAACGAGCCAGGAGTGTGCGGACACAGTGGCGCAGGTGTTCCCGTGCGACTCCAACCCGTACTGCAAGGCCTGGGCCGTGCGCAAGTGTGAGATCATCCGGGACAGCACCTTCCGGGACTGCCACAGCAAGGTGGGCAGGGCCACAGCAGGTGCACGGAGCAGGTGGTTGGGGCCACGGAAGGAGGGCCAGGGGCAGGTGCCGCATCCAGGTGGGAAGGGCCTTGGCTGTGTGCTCAGTGCTGGCCCGACCCATGCCCCCAGGTGGACCCCAGCGCCTACTACGACGCCTGCATCGAGGAGGCCTGCGCCTGCGACATGGAGGGCAAGTACCAGGGCTTCTGCACGTCGGTGGCCATGTATGCTGAGGCCTGCAGCGCTGTGGGTGTCTGCGTGACCTGGAGGCGGCCAGATCTCTGCCGTAAGTGGCGTCAGGGTGGGCGGCCTGAAAACGGGTGTGGCGGAGGCCCCTGTAGCGCAGCCAGCCCCCCTCCCGCACTTCCTGCCACAGTCACACAGCCTTGCCTGGCAAGGCTGGGGCCTGGCGATGCGCCCGTTTGGGGTGGGGGGCGGTGCCTGTTTTAAAATCCAGCACCTGGCACGCCCGTCACTCACTCAGTTGCAAGAGGTCCCTGTGCGCAGGCCGGGGACGCCTCCATGCTCCGATGAGCGGGGGCCGTCTTGTCTGTCTAGCATCCCCGGTGCCCCTCAGCGCCCCCACCCGCGTGTTAGTTTTGGTTAAAAATGTGAGCTTGGACACGAAAATCGTGAATCTGGATTATGACCTACATTATCTCAAAATGGGAAAATTCGCGTTTGCCTTTCCATTTCAAACGACTGTTCATGCCTGATTTAAAGGAAAATGCATTTGGACGCTGAGTGTTACCCCTTTGCCGGGAGCTAGTTTCCGTCACACAGCACATGGGCAAAGGCCGCCTCGCTCAGGCTGTTCCAGATACCCCCTCCCCCTGGAGCCGTGGGCAGGTGGGGGCGGGTCCCGTGGCAGGCGGCGCGCTGCCTTGGGCCTGACGAGCTATCTTGCAGCCGTGTACTGCGACTACTACAACTCCCCTGGGGAGTGCAGCTGGCACTACGCGCCGTGTGGGACAGTGACCGCCAAGACCTGCAAGGACCACGTCATCGGCCAGAAGTTCTCTGCACTCCTGGAAGGTAAGACAGCTCAGTGCCAACCACAGAGTGGTGAGAGAGAATTAGGCTAACAACTTAAGACTAGAAAAATGTGAGTTTTGGCCAATTCAGTCTCTTCTGTTTTGTAGTTTAGTGAAGAATTACTTCCCTCTGTTATGCTCGTCCTGTTTCTAGACTAGGGACGTTTTCTCTATAAACCCCCCTTGATAGCAGCTCGTGAGGATGCCATGGGGTGGCCCCAGGGTCTGTCCCTCCGCCTTCCCACAGGCGACCTTGTCTGGAATCAGTGCCTGGCCGGGCCCATCTCTGTGCTGGGTGCTGGGCTGGGCCCTGGGGTGCAGTGTCCATCCCTGTGCATGCAGGCTGCTACGCCCAGTGCCCTGACGCTGCCCCCTACCTGGACGAGAACACCATGAAGTGTGTGACCTTGTCTGAGTGCAGCTGCTTCTACAACGATGTGATCCCCGCGGGGGGTGTAGTGCAGGACGACTGTGGGAGGACGTGGTAAGTCCCCCGATGCCCGTGGCGGTTCTGACTCTCAGCTCCCGGGAGAAGCAGGGTGCTGTTCCCCTCTGTCCCTACGAGGGACCACTTGGCGTTGGTTGTATGTACCTGTGCCTGTGGTTTCCGTAAGTCCCCAAACCTGCCGGTGTTTTGCTCCCCCTGCACTAAGCAATGCAGGCAGCATCACCAGGCAGCACCAGGTGAGGAAGAAGCTCTGATGGAAATGTCAGGCTGAGTTCAAGGCTCCAGACAGAGCCTCGGAGGCCAACATGGGGTCTCCACTAGTGCGTGGGGGCCTCCCAGAGCCACAGGAGCCTGGGAGGCAGGGCTCACAGCCGTGTCCTCTGGCCCAGATCTGCGGTGAAGTGACTGGGCCCCGGCAGTCAGAAGCAGCCAGTGGCCGGCCTATGCCTGGGGGCTGCCCCCCAGTCGGAGCTCTCCTGCTGAGCTCCATGGCGACTATCACAGACACTTTGGCTTTAAGCTTGGGAGGTGCTTGTCATTAGGAGTTGAGATCTCAGATTCATTCTTTAATATTCCAGCTACTGCATCGCGGGGGAGCTGGAGTGCAGTGGTGAGTGTGTCCCCTACCCCGTGGTCAGCACAGAGCTGGCCCACACCTCTCCGGCCTGTGGCAGCCATCCTGGGGCTGGCTCAGCTCCTATGCTGCCTGGGCCCTTGGAGTCCCCCGCAGAGGGTGGGGCCGGTGAGACTGACAGAGACAGGGTTAGGTGATCGGGGCTGCTCATAAGCCACACACACCCCAGAATAATCCCATTGAGCTTGGTGAGAACATGCTGTGTGCAGGGGAGAGGTGACGCAGGTGCCCCTGCAATCTAGGACTTTGTTCTACGTTTTTATTCCTGTAAATAATACTAATTTACGGTTGTTTCAGAAAAGGACACTAATTCAACATTTAGAGGTAAGATCATATTCGTGCTTTAGATGTGTGTTTTGGATTTCTCTTTGTGGTTAATCCTTTGTGTTTCTGTGTGAACCTGGGCCAATAGAGTTTGCTGGTAAATCTGCTGATACCAGAATCGTACAGTGAACAGTTATCAGAACATGTCAGAATGTTGCTTGGCTATACTCTGAGCCAAGGTAAGGAGGCAATCAGATCTATGTGCTTATTAAACAGCATCTTCCGAAGCTTGGCGTGTTTAGACAACAAATGGGACAATAGCTGTGTCAGAACCCACAGGCGGCGCCAGATAGGGGCGACCTGTGTCCCCTCCAACCCTGGCTGCCATGCACCCCATGGCATCTCGGCTCAGTCCGCTCAAGGGTGTGCTGGCAGAACGCAGCCACTGTTGTCTGGGACAGTTCACTTCCCATGCAGCTAAGTGTTCCTGCACCATGGTGGTGGCCGAGCCTGTGTGTGGGGTGGCCCTGTGGGGGTGGAGTGGTCCCAGGTATGTGGTCCAAAGAGGGGTTTCATTTCTGTTGAATGTATTTGGGGTCATGTCAGCCACTGGGGAGCCAGGGCTTAGCTGTGGGTGACACACTGAAGCTATTTAAAGCTCAGTTATTACTGTTCACTCACCTGGAGACAAGGTGTCCACATCAGTTTCTGAACCCAATTCCGTCCCCACGAGTCTTTGACTGAGTGATGACAACAGACAAAAGTTCCTGGTTTGGGATGGGAATAGTTACCATATGATGTGATTAACTTACATAAAAACGTGTTTTGTCTGCGTACGATCTTGGAAAATTTTACTTAATTTATGGAAACTAGTTTCTTGAACTAAATTTCCCAGTAAAAATTATTCAGGTAATGCGTTTTCACACACTGTGTCTTTCCCAAATAGTCTCCACCTCGACAGTGACATCCATGCCCAGCACTGAAGCAGGTAAGATGCACCTGTTAGCTTTTGCTTCTCAATTAGCAGCGAAAGGAATTTACGACACCGTCATTGTGCCCCTTTTTTTTGGATCTGTCATTCCGCGCTGACTCATTCCCTAAAGGCCAGGCAGCAGGTCCCATGTCCAGTGTGACACGACCAAGCAATAACTTTCCTCCAAATTAGCATGTCCTCAAGACACTTCACGCACCGTGGTTGTGGAGAAAGTGCCTGCTACACAAAAGTACATGTTGAATTCCTTGTAGCTCACTTATAGTTTCTCTTTTGCTCAGACCAAGGAATTTTACCTTACTTGGCAGGGGCAGGAGAGTACAAAAGTACACTGAAAAGTGTTAGCGTTTGATAAGTACACGTAGCCGTTACACGTAATCACATGCTGGCAATCTAGAGGTATCCAAACGGCTCTCAGTAAATGCTCTGTAACCTTGTCCTTCAATGCCGTTGAACACACATTTCCACTCACGCCTCTCGGGCCCGGTCACAGCAGTTGTGCTGGTTGCAGCACCGGTCGGCCGCCCCTCCCCCACGATTCTGTTATCCTGGCACAGCTGCTTTTGCAGTGATGACATTTTGGGGGGAAATGTACTCTTCAACTCTAAAGGGGCTTTTAGAGGAAGCTTTTGATGAATACACGATGCAAAGTGATAGTTCTTTGACCTCTTACTTGTGGCCTATAGATTTGTAAAGTTTAATTTCACATTTTGACAGCCGTTTACCTATGTGGTCTAGTTTCTCTGAAACTTAATCTCAGGTTGATCAACTTGAAAATGACCTCAGGGGTTCTCTGGAACCTGACTTTCCTCTCCTTGGAACTCATGTCTGTGTTGTTTTCTCAAAAACAGCAGCATCCACTCATGGAATCACAGCGTCAGGCGGTAAGTCTCCAGGTGGGTGAATCTATAGCCTTTCAAATGCCGACAAGATGTAGGAAATTTTCTCAGCTTATGTATCAGAACCAACATAGCCACTGCCTATACATAGGGTCTGTTTCCTAGCCGAGCACTGCCTGTCGTCTGCTCATTCCTCCTCTTTGAAATAGCAAGTGCCTTGAAGCTACAAGGCTCACCATCCTCCTGCTCCCCATGACAAGGTCCCAAACCGCAGTGCTGCACTTAACCACACACTTGTATGATGCACGCACGGCACTTCTGTTTCCTGGCCCAAACTTTCTAATGCAGGTTTTGAGTATTGGCACAGAATTTTTGGTGAGAGAAAGACTCTTAATATTAGGTATACAAGGTGATATATTTGATAATGAGATGTTTGGCCACTGGAGCTGACTCCCCTTCTCCAGAATACAGAGACAACGTAACCTCCAGACTCTGGGGATTACAATTATCTTTCATGTTTTAGAATCACTATGGTCACTTTAGGTACCTTTATAATTCTAAGTGTTTTCTGATTATCTGGGAATTAACACAGTCCTCCTAAGCAAAGCACAGGTTGGGACTGCTCTGGCAGAAATTGCTGATAGAAAATACAAGGTAGGGAATGAAAGGCATGACATAAGATGGTATTTATCACGTGAAAGAAAGAAAAATTAAAGGGGAGAAGGTAGAATGAGTGCTAGGGTAAAACATGGAGAGAGAAAGCATTAAAGTATCATTGCACATATACTGTATGATTTCATAAGCATGAGAGGACTAACTGTGCTGAAATAAGTGACAACTGCACAATCATTTGTAGAAAAGTAACAAGATCATCTGTTGCAGAAACTGAAACCAGGAGACCACAATATAAAACAAAAGGGACAACTGTATCATACCCCACATATTCAGAAGTGACTGAAACAAACTTAGAAGGATCAAGGACAAGAGAATCATCACCAAAGGAATCAAGGACAACTGACAAAATAGTTGATACCTCACAAACAACTGGACCATCAGGCAAGGGGACAGAGCCAACAGGTGTATCATCTAAAAGCACAGGAATTACAAAACCATCAAAGGCTAACTCAGGAACATCTGAATCAGGATGGAGTGGGGTAGCGAACACTTTGTCATCGTCCACAATTAAAGAAAGTAGTAGAATTACTGGTAAAAATACACACACAACTGTAGAATCCGGCACGAGGACAGGGAACACGAAAACATCCCAGGAAAAATCAGAGACAGCAAGAACCGATGGCTCATCTACCATTGCTGGGCCATCATCTGAAGAAAGAGGGACAACAAGACCCTCGGGTGCCAGGACGGCCACCATGGGACCCGGAGCCGAAGGTTCTGGAACTGCTGGATCCTCGCCCAATGGTCCGGGAACGACTAGCTCTTCGCCGAGCGGATCCAGGACAACAGGGCCATCTGCGGGAGGCTCCGGCACCACGAGGTCACCGTCAAAAGGACAGGAGACCACGGGCTCACCCGCTGGGGGGTCTGGCACGACGGGCGCTTCGGGTGCAGGTGCTGGGGCCACTGGGTCGTCTCCCAAACCGCCACGGACAACTGAGTCGTCACCGAGGGAGTCGGCCACAAGCGGACATTCCTCTCGTGAGACCGGCAAGACTACCCACAGGCATCACGGCGCAGGTGGGACGGGAGCCACGGCTGATAGCCGAGAGACAACTGGACATGCGTCCCGAGAATCGTCGACAAGTGGCCACTCCGGTGAGGGCTCTGGCACAACAGGACCATCTGGTGTAGGGACCCGCACCACCCGGACACACGGTGGAAGTCCAGGCGCAACGGGTGCATCTGGCGTGGAGTCCAGCAGCACCCAAGGCCACGGTGGCGCATCGGGAGCCCCCCGGCCCTCGGGCACAGCACCTGTCGCCCATGGGTCATCATCCTCCGAAGAAAGCGGGACAACAGGGTCCTTGGGTCCTGGGTCGGCCACCACTGCACCAGCTACCATAGGTTCTGGTACTGCCGGAACCTCGGCCAATGGTTCGGGAACGACTGGCTCTTCTCCCAGCGCATCCAGGACGACCGGGCCATCTGCGGGAGGCTCCGGCACCACGAGGTCACCGTCAAAAGGACCGGAGACCACGGGCTCACCCGCTGGGGGGTCTGGCACGACGGGCGCTTCGGGTGCAGGTGCTGGGGCCACTGGGTCGTCCCCCAAACCGCCACGGACAACTGAGTCGTCACCGAGGGAGTCGGCGACAAGCGGACATTCCTCTCGTGAGACCGGCAAGACTACCCACAGGCATCACGGCGCAGGTGGGACGGGAGCCACAGCTGATAGCCGAGAGACAACTGGACATTCGTCCCGAGAATCGTCGACAAGTGGCCACTCCGGTGAGGGCTCTGGCACAACAGGACCTTCTGGTGTAGGGTCCCGCACCACCCGGACACACGGTGGAAGTCCAGGCGCAACAGGTGCATCTGGCGTGGAGTCCGGCAACACCCAAGGCCCCGGTGGCGCATCGGGAGCCCCCCGGCCCTCGGGCACAGCACCTGGCGCCCATGGGTCATCACCATCCTCTGAAGAAAGCGGGACAACGGGGTCCTCGGGTCCTGGGTCGGCCACTACTGGAACTGGTGGCGAAGGGTCTGGAACTGCTGGATCCTCTCCCAATGGTCCGGGAACGACTGGCTCTTCTCCGAGCGGGTCCAGGACGACTGGGCCATCTGCGGGAGGCTCCGGCACCACGAGGTCACCGTCAAAAGGACCGGAGACCACGGGCTCACCCGCTGGGGGGTCTGGCACGACGGGCGCTTCGGGTGCAGGTGCTGGGGCCACTGGGTCGTCCCGCAAACCGACACGGACAACTGAGTCGTCACCGAGGGAGTCGGCCACAAGCGGACATTCCTCTCGTGAGACCGGCAAGACTACCCACAGGCATCACGGCGCTGGTGGGACGGGAGCCACAGCTGATAGCCGAGAGACAACTGGACATTCGTCCCGAGAATCGTCGACAAGTGGCCACTCCGGTGAGGGCTCTGGCACAACAGGACCATCTGGTGTAGGGACCCGCACTACCCGGACACACGGTGGAAGTCCAGGCGCAACGGGTCCATCTGGCGTGGAGTCCGGCAGCACCCAAAGCCCCAGTGGCACATCGGGAGCCCCCCGGCCCTCGGGCACAGCACCTGTCGCCCATGGGTCATCATCCTCCGAAGAAAGCGGGACAACAGGGTCCTTGGGTCCTGGGTCGGCCACCACTGCACCCGCTACCGTAGGTTCTGGTACTGCTGGAACCTCGGCCAATGGTTCGGGAACGACTGGCTCTTCTCCCAGCGCATCCAGGACGACCGGGCCATCTGCGGGAGGCTCCGGCACCACGAGGTCACCGTCAAAAGGACCGGAGACCACGGGCTCACCCGCTGGGGGGTCTGGCACGACGGGCGCTTCGGGTGCAGGTGCTGGGGCCACTGGGTCGTCCCCCAAACCGCCACGGACAACTGAGTCGTCACCGAGGGAGTCGGCCACAAGCGGACATTCCTCTCGTGAGACCGGCAAGACTACCCACAGGCATCACGGCGCAGGTGGGACGGGAGCCACGGCTGATAGCCGAGAGACAACTGGACATTCGTCCCGAGAATCGTCGACAAGTGGCCACTCCGGTGAGGGCTCTGGCACAACAGGACCATCTGGTGTAGGGACCCGCACCACCCGGACACACGGTGGAAGTCCAGGCGCAACAGGTGCATCTGGCGTGGAGTCCGGCAACACCCAAGGCCCCGGTGGCGCATCGGGAGCCCCCCGGCCCTCGGGCACAGCACCTGGCGCCCATGGGTCATCACCATCCTCTGAAGAAAGGGGGACAACGGGGTCCTCGGGTCCTGCGTCGGCCACCACTGGACCCGGTGCCGAAAGTTCTGGAACTGCTGGATCCTCTCCCAATGGTCCGGGAACGACTGGCTCTTCTCCGAGCGGGTCCAGGACGACTGGGCCATCTGCGGGAGGCTCCGGCACCACGAGGTCACCGTCAAAAGGACCGGAGACCACGGGCTCACCCGCTGGGGGGTCTGGCACGACGGGCGCTTCGGGTGCAGGTGCTGGGGCCACTGGGTCGTCCCCCAAACCGCCACGGACAACTGAGTCGTCACCGAGGGAGTCGGCCACAAGCGGACATTCCTCTCGTGAGACCGGCAAGACTACCCACAGGCATCACGGCGCAGGTGGGACGGGAGCCACGGCTGATAGCCGAGAGACAACTGGACATTCGTCCCGAGAATCGTCGACAAGTGGCCACTCCGGTGAGGGCTCTGGCACAACAGGACCATCTGGTGTAGGGTCCCGCACCACCCGGACACACGGTGGAAGTCCAGGCGCAACGGGTCCATCTGGCGTGGAGTCCGGCAACACCCAAGCCCCGGTGGCGCATCGGGAGCCCCCCGGCCCTCGGGCACAGCACCTGTCGCCCATGGGTCATCATCCTCCGAAGAAAGCTGGACAACAGGGTCCTTGGATCCTGGGTCGGCCACCACTGCACCTGCTACCGTAGGTTCTGGTACTGCTGGAACCTCGGCCAATGGTCCGGGAACGACTAGCTCTTCGCCGAGCGGATCCAGGACGACAGGGCCATCTGCGGGAGGCTCCGGCACCACGAGGTCACCGTCAAAAGGACAGGAGACCACGGGCTCACCCGCTGGGGGTTCTGGCACGACGGGCGCTTCGGGTGCAGGTGCTGGGGCCACTGGGTCGTCCCCCAAACCGCCACGGACAACTGAGTCGTCACCGAGGGAGTCGGCCACAAGCGGACATTCCTCTCGTGAGACCGGCAAGACTACCCACAGGCATCACGGCGCAGGTGGGACGGGAGCCACAGCTGATAGCCGAGAGACAACTGGACATTCGTCCCGAGAATCGTCGACAAGTGGCCACTCCGGTGAGGGCTCTGGCACAACAGGACCTTCTGGTGTAGGGTCCCGCACCACCCGGACACACGGTGGAAGTCCAGGCGCAACGGGTCCATCTGGCGTGGAGTCCGGCAGCACCCAAGGCCCGGTGGCGCATCGGGAGCCCCCCGGCCCTCGGGCACAGCACCTGTCGCCCATGGGTCATCATCCTCCGAAGAAAGCGGGACAACAGGGTCCTTGGGTCCTGGGTCGGCCACCCCTGCACCTGCTACCGTAGGTTCTGGTACTGCTGGAACCTCGGCCAATGGTCCGGGAACGACTGGCTCTTCTCCCAGCGCATCCAGGACGACCGGGCCATCTGCGGGAGGCTCCGGCACCACGAGGTCACCGTCAAAAGGACCGGAGACCACAGGCTCACCCGCTGGGGGATCTGGCACGACGGGCGCTTCTGGTGCAGGTGCTGGGGCCACTGGGTCGTCCCCCAAACCTCCACGGACAACTGAGTCGTCACCGAGGGAGTCGGCCACAAGTGGACATTCCTCTCGTGAGACCGGCAAGACTACCCACAGGCATCACGGCGCAGGTGGGACGGGGGCCACAGCTGATAGCCGAGAGACAACTGGACATTCGTCCCGAGAATCGTCGACAAGTGGCCACTCCGGTGAGGGCTCTGGCACAACAGGACCTTCTGGTGTAGGGTCCCGCACCACCCGGACACACGGTGGAAGTCCAGGCGCAACAGGTGCATCTGGCGTGGAGTCCGGCAACACCGAAGGCCCCGGTGGCGCATCGGGAGCCCCCCGGCCCTCGGGCACAGCACCTGGCGCCCATGGGTCATCACCATCCTCTGAAGAAAGGGGGACTACAGGGTCCTCGGGTCCTGGTTCGGCCACCACTGGACCCAGTGCCGAAGGGTCTGGAACTGCTGGATCCTCTCCCAGTGGTCTGGGAATGACTGGCACTTTTCCTCGAGGATCCAGGACGTCTGGGCCTTCTGCGGGAGACTCCGGCACCACGAGGTCACCGTCAAAAGTACAAGAGACCACAGGCTCACCCGCTGGGGGTCTGGCACGACGGGCGCTTCGGGTGCAGGTGCTGGGGCCACTGGGTCGTCCCCCAAACCGCCACGGACAACTGAGTCGTCACCGAGGGAGTCGGCCACAAGCGGACATTCCTCTCGTGAGACCGGCAAGACTACCCACAGGCATCACGGCGCAGGTGGGACGGGAGCCACGGCTGATAGCCGAGAGACAACTGGACATTCGTCCCGAGAATCGTCGACAAGTGGCCACTCCGGTGAGGGCTCTGGCACAACAGGACCATCTGGTGTAGGGTCCCGCACCACCCGGACACACGGTGGAAGTCCAGGCGCAACGGGTCCATCTGGCGTGGAGTCCGGCAGCACCCAAGGCCACGGTGGCGCATCGGGAGCCCCCCGGCCCTCGGGCACAGCACCTGTCGCCCATGGGTCATCATCCTCCGAAGAAAGCGGGACAACAGGGTCCTTGGGTCCTGGGTGGGCCACCACTGCACCCGCTACCGTAGGTTCTGGTACTGCCGGAACCTCGGCCAATGGTTCGGGAACGACTGGCTCTTCTCCCAGCGCATCCAGGACGACCGGGCCATCTGCGGGAGGCTCCGGCACCACGAGGTCACCGTCAAAAGGACCGGAGACCACGGGCTCACCCGCTGGGGGGTCTGGCACGACGGGCGCTTCGGGTGCAGGTGCTGGGGCCACTGGGTCGTCCCCAAACCGCCACGGACAACTGAGTCGTCACCGAGGGAGTCGGCCACAAGCGGACATTCCTCTCGTGAGACCGGCAAGACTACCCACAGGCATCACGGCGCAGGTGGGACGGGAGCCACAGCTGATAGCCGAGAGACAACTGGACATTCGTCCCGAGAATCGTCGACAAGTGGCCACTCCGGTGAGGGCTCTGGCACAACAGGACCTTCTGGTGTAGGGTCCCGCACCACCCGGACACACGGTGGAAGTCCAGGCGCAACAGGTGCATCTGGCGTGGAGTCCGGCAACACCCAAGGCCCCGGTGGCGCATCGGGAGCCCCCCGGCCCTCGGGCACAGCACCTGGCGCCCATGGGTCATCACCATCCTCTGAAGAAAGCGGGACAACAGGGTCCTCGGGTCCTGGGTCGGCCACCACTGGACCTGGTGCGAAGGGTCTGGAACTGCTGGATCCTCTCCCAATGGTCCGGGAACGACTGGCTCTTCTCCAGCGGGTCCAGGACGACTGGGCCATCTGCGGGAGGCTCCGGCACCACGAGGTCACCGTCAAAAGGACCGGAGACCACGGGCTCACCCGCTGGGGGGTCTGGCACGACGGGCGCTTCGGGTGCAGGTGCTGGGGCCACTGGGTCGTCCCCAAACCGCCACGGACAACTGAGTCGTCACCGAGGGAGTCGGCCACAAGCGGACATTCCTCTCGTGAGACCGGCAAGACTACCCACAGGCATCACGGCGCAGGTGGGACGGGAGCCACGGCTGATAGCCGAGAGACAACTGGACATTCGTCCCGAGAATCGTCGACAAGTGGCCACTCCGGTGAGGGCTCTGGCACAACAGGACCTTCTGGTGTAGGGTCCCGCACCACCCGGACACACGGTGGAAGTCCAGGCGCAACGGGTGCATCTGGCGTGGAGTCCGGCAGCACCCAAGGCCACGGTGGCGCATCGGGAGCCCCCCGGCCCTCGGGCACAGCACCTGTCGCCCATGGGTCATCATCCTCCGAAGAAAGCGGGACAACAGGGTCCTTGGGTCCTGGGTCGGCCACCACTGCACCCGCTACCGTAGGTTCTGGTACTGCTGGAACCTCGGCCAATGGTCCGGGAACGACTGGCTCTTCTCCCAGCGCATCCAGGACGACGGGGCCATCTGCGGGAGGCTCCGGCACCACGAGGTCTCCGTCAAAAGAACCGGAGACCACAGGCTCACCCGCTTGGGGGTCTGGCACGACGGGCGCTTCGGGTGCAGGTGCTGGGGCCACTGGGTCGTCTCCCAAACCGCCACGGACAACTGAGTCGTCACCGAGGGAGTCGGCCACAAGCGGACATTCCTCTCGTGAGACCGGCAAGACTACCCACAGGCATCACGGCGCAGGTGGGACGGGAGCCACGGCTGATAGCCGAGAGACAACTGGACATTCGTCCCGAGAATCGTCGACAAGTGGCCACTCCGGTGAGGGCTCTGGCACAACAGGACCATCTGGTGTAGGGTCCCGCACCACCCGGACACACGGTGGAAGTCCAGGCGCAACGGGTGCATCTGGCGTGGAGTCCGGCAACACCCAAGGCCCCGGTGGCGCATCGGGAGCCCCCCGGCCCTCGGGCACAGCACCTGGCGCCCATGGGTCATCACCATCCTCTGAAGAAAGCGGGACAACAGGGTCCTCGGGTCCTGGGTCGGCCACCACTGGACCTGGTGCCGAAGGGTCTGGAACTGCTGGATCCTCTCCCAATGGTCCGGGAACGACTGGCTCTTCTCCGAGCGATCCAGGACGACTGGGCCATCTGCGGGAGGCTCCGGCACCACGAGGTCACCGTCAAAAGGACCGGAGACCACGGGCTCACCCGCTGGGGGGTCTGGCACGACGGGCGCTTCGGGTGCAGGTGCTGGGGCCACTGGGTCGTCCCCAAACCGCCACGGACAACTGAGTCGTCACCGAGGGAGTCGGCCACAAGCGGACATTCCTCTCGTGAGACCGGCAAGACTACCCACAGGCATCACGGCGCAGGTGGGACGGGAGCCACAGCTGATAGCCGAGAGACAACTGGACATTCGTCCCGAGAATCGTCGACAAGTGGCCACTCCGGTGAGGGCTCTGGCACAACAGGACCATCTGGTGTAGGGTCCCGCACCACCCGGACACACGGTGGAAGTCCAGGCGCAACGGGTCCATCTGGCGTGGAGTCCGGCAACACCCAAGGCCACGGTGGCGCATCGGGAGCCCCCCGGCCCTCGGGCACAGCACCTGTCGCCCATGGGTCATCATCCTCTGAAGAAAGCGGGACAACAGGGTCCTTGGGTCCTGGGTCGGCCACCACTGCACCCGCTACCGTAGGTTCTGGTACTGCTGGAACCTCGGCCAATGGTCCGGGAACGACTGGCTCTTCTCCCAGCGCATCCAGGACGACGGGGCCATCTGGGGGAGGCTCCGGCACCACGAGGTCACCGTCAAAAGGACCGGAGACCACGGGCTCACCCGCTGGGGGGTCTGGCACCACGGGCGCTTCTGGTGCAGGTGCTGGGGCCACTGGGTCGTCCCCCAAACCGCCACGGACAACTGAGTCGTCACCGAGGGAGTCGGCCACAAGCGGACATTCCTCTCGTGAGACCGGCAAGACTACCCACAGGCATCACGGCGCAGGTGGGACGGGAGCCACGGCTGATAGCCGAGAGACAACTGGACATTCGTCCCGAGAATCGTCGACAAGTGGCCACTCCGGTGAGGGCTCTGGCACAACAGGACCATCTGGTGTAGGGTCCCGCACCACCCGGACACACGGTGGAAGTCCAGGCGCAACGGGTGCATCTGGCGTGGAGTCTGGCAACACCGAAGGCCCCGGTGGCGCATCGGGAGCCCCCCGGCCCTCGGGCACAGCACCTGCCGCCCATGGGTCATCACCATCCTCTGAAGAAAGCGGGACAACAGGGCCCTCGGGTCCTGGGTTGGCCACCACTGCACCCGCTACCGTAGGTTCTGGAAGTGCTGGAACCTCGCCCAATGGTCCGGGAACGACTGGCTCTTCTCCCAGCGCATCCAGGACGACGGGGCCATCTGCGGGAGGCTCCGGCACCACGAGGTCACCGTCAAAAGGACCGGAGACCACAGGCTCACCCGCTGGGGGGTCTGGCACGACGGGCGCTTCTGGTGCAGGTGCTGGGGCCACTGGGTCGTCCCCCAAACCGCCACGGACAACTGAGTCGTCACCGAGGGAGTCGGCCACAAGCGGACATTCCTCTCGTGAGACCGGCAAGACTACCCACAGGCATCACGGCGCAGGTGGGACGGGAGCCACAGCTGATAGCCGAGAGACAACTGGACATTCGTCCCGAGAATCGTCGACAAGTGGCCACTCCGGTGAGGGCTCTGGCACAACAGGACCTTCTGGTGTAGGGTCCCGCACCACCCGGACACACGGTGGAAGTCCAGGCGCAACAGGTGCATCCGGCGTGGAGTCCGGCAACACCGAAGGCCCCGGTGGCGCATCGGGAGCCCCCCGGCCCTCGGGCACAGCACCTGGCGCCCATGGGTCATCACCATCCTCTGAAGAAAGGGGGACAACAGGGTCCTCGGGTCCTGGTTCGGCCACCACTGGACCCAGTGCCGAAGGGTCTGGAACTGCTGGATCCTCTCCCAATGGTCCGGGAACGACTGGCTCTTCTCCTCGGGATCCAGGACGACTGGGCCATCTGCGGGAGGCTCCGGCACCACGAGGTCACCGTCAAAAGGAGGAGACCACAGGCTCACCCGCTGGGGGGTCTGGCACGACGGGCGCTTCGGGTGCAGGTGCTGGGGCCACTGGGTCGTCCCCCAAACCGCCACGGACAACTGAGTCGTCACCGAGGGAGTCGGCCACAAGCGGACATTCCTCTCGTGAGACCGGCAAGACTACCCACAGGCATCACGGCGCAGGTGGGACGGGAGCCACAGCTGATAGCCGAGAGACAACTGGACATTCGTCCCGAGAATCGTCGACAAGTGGCCACTCCGGTGAGGGCTCCGGCACAACAGGACCTTCTGGTGTAGTGACCCGCACTACCCGGACACACGGTGGAAGTCCAGGCGCAACGGGTCCATCTGGCGTGGAGTCCGGCAACACCCAAGGCCCGGTGGCGCATCGGGAGCCCCCCGGCCCTCGGGCACAGCACCTGTCGCCCATGGGTCATCATCCTCTGAAGAAAGCGGGACAACAGGGTCCTTGGGTCCTGGGTCGGCCACCACTGCACCTGCTACCGTAGGTTCTGGTACTGCTGGAACCTCGGCCAATGGTTCGGGAACGACTGGCTCTTCTCCCAGCGCATCCAGGACGACCGGGCCATCTGCGGGAGGCTCCGGCACCACGAGGTCACCGTCAAAAGGACCAGAGACCACAGGCTCACCCGCTGGGGGTCTGGCACGACGGGCGCTTCTGGTGCAGGTGCTGGGGCCACTGGGTCGTCCCCCAAACCGCCACGGACAACTGAGTCGTCACCGAGGGAGTCGGCCACAAGCGGACATTCCTCTCGTGAGACCGGCAAGACTACCCACAGGCATCACGGCGCAGGTGGGACGGGAGCCACGGCTGATAGCCGAGAGACAACTGGACATTCGTCCCGAGAATCGTCGACAAGTGGCCACTCCGGTGAGGGCTCTGGCACAACAGGACCTTCTGGTGTAGGGTCCCGCACCACCCGGACACACGGTGGAAGTCCAGGCGCAACAGGTGCATCTGGCGTGGAGTCCGGCAACACCCAAGGCCCCGGTGGCGCATCGGGAGCCCCCCGGCCCTCGGGCACAGCACCTGGCGCCCCTGGGTCATCACCATCCTCTGAAGAAAGCGGGACAACAGGGTCCTCGGGTCCTGCGTCGGCCACCACTGGACCCGGTGCCGAAAGTTCTGGAACTGCTGGATCCTCTCCCAATGGTCCGGGAACGACTGGCTCTTCTCCGAGCGGGTCCAGGACGACTGGGCCATCTGCGGGAGGCTCCGGCACCACGAGGTCTCCGTCAAAAGAACCGGAGACCACAGGCTCACCCGCTGGGGGGTCTGGCACGACGGGCGCTTCGGGTGCAGGTGCTGGGGCCACTGGGTCGTCCCCCAAACCGCCACGGACAACTGAGTCGTCACCGAGGGAGTCGGCCACAAGCGGACATTCCTCTCGTGAGACCGGCAAGACTACCCACAGGCATCACGGCGCAGGTGGGACGGGAGCCACGGCTGATAGCCGAGAGACAACTGGACATGCGTCCCGAGAATCGTCGACAAGTGGCCACTCCGGTGAGGGCTCTGGCACAACAGGACCATCTGGTGTAGGGTCCCGCACCACCCGGACACACGGTGGAAGTCCAGGCGCAACGGGTCCATCTGGCGTGGAGTCCGGCAGCACCCAAGGCCCCGGTGGCGCATCGGGAGCCCCCCGGCCCTCGGGCACAGCACCTGTCGCCCATGGGTCATCATCCTCTGAAGAAAGCGGGACAACAGGGTCCTTGGGTCCTGGGTCGGCCACCACTGCACCCGCTACCGTAGGTTCTGGTACTGCCGGAACCTCGGCCAATGGTTCGGGAACGACTGGCTCTTCTCCCAGCGCATCCAGGACGACCGGGCCATCTGCGGGAGGCTCCGGCACCACGAGGTCACCGTCAAAAGGACCGGAGACCACGGGCTCACCCGCTGGGGGTCTGGCACGACGGGCGCTTCGGGTGCAGGTGCTGGGGCCACTGGGTCGTCCCCCAAACCGCCACGGACAACTGAGTCGTCACCGAGGGAGTCGGCCACAAGCGGACATTCCTCTCGTGAGACCGGCAAGACTACCCACAGGCATCACGGCGCAGGTGGGACGGGAGCCACAGCTGATAGCCGAGAGACAACTGGACATTCGTCCCGAGAATCGTCGACAAGTGGCCACTCCGGTGAGGGCTCTGGCACAACAGGACCATCTGGTGTAGGGTCCCGCACCACCCGGACACACGGTGGAAGTCCAGGCGCAACGGGTGCATCTGGCGTGGAGTCTGGCAACACCGAAGGCCCCGGTGGTGCATCGGGAGCCCCCCGGCCCTCGGGCACAGCACCTGGCGCCCATGGGTCATCACCATCCTCTGAAGAAAGCGGGACAACAGGGTCCTCGGGTCCTGGGTCGGCCACTACTGGAACTGGTGGCGAAGGGTCTGGAACTGCTGGATCCTCTCCCAATGGTCCGGGAACGACTGGCTCTTCTCTGAGCGGGTCCAGGACGACTGGGCCATCTGCGGGAGGCTCCGGCACCACGAGGTCACCGTCAAAAGGACAGGAGACCACGGGCTCACCCGCTGGGGGGTCTGGCACGACGGGCGCTTCTGGTGCAGGTGCTGGGGCCACTGGGTCGTCCCCCAAACCGCCACGGACAACTGAGTCGTCACCGAGGGAGTCGGCCACAAGCGGACATTCCTCTCGTGAGACCGGCAAGACTACCCACAGGCATCACGGCGCTGGTGGGACGGGAGCCACGGCTGATAGCCGAGAGACAACTGGACATTCGTCCCGAGAATCGTCGACAAGTGGCCACTCCGGTGAGGGCTCTGGCACAACAGGACCTTCTGGTGTAGGGTCCCGCACCACCCGGACACACGGTGGAAGTCCAGGCGCAACGGGTCCATCTGGCGTGGAGTCCGGCAGCACCCAAAGCCCCGGTGGCTCATCGGGAGCCCCCCGGCCCTCGGGCACAGCACCTGCCGCCCATGGGTCATCACCATCCTCTGAAGAAAGGGGGACTACAGGGTCCTCGGGTCCTGGTTCGGCCACCACTGGACCCAGTGCCGAAGGGTCTGGAACTGCTGGATCCTCTCCCAGTGGTCTGGGAATGACTGGCTCTTTTCCTCGAGGATCCAGGACGTCTGGGCAATCTGCGGGAGACTCCGGCACCACGAGGTCACCGTCAAAAGTACAAGAGACCACAGGCTCACCAGCTGGGGGGTCTGGCACGACGGGCTCTTCGGGTGCAGGTGCTGGGGCCACTGGGTCGTCCCCCAAACCGCCACGGACAACTGAGTCGTCACCGAGGGAGTCGGCCACAAGCGGACATTCCTCTCGTGAGACCGGCAAGACTACCCACAGGCATCACGGCGCAGGTGGGACGGGAGCCACGGCTGATAGCCGAGAGACAACTGGACATTCGTCCCGAGAATCGTCGACAAGTGGCCACTCCGGTGAGGTATCTGGCACAACAGGACCATCTGGTGTAGGGACCCGCACCACCCGGACACACGGTGGAAGTCCAGGCGCAACAGGTGCATCTGGCGTGGAGTCCGGCAACACCCAAGGCCCCGTTGCTGCATCGGGAGCCCCCCGGCCCTCGGGCACAGCACCTGGCGCCCATGGGTCATCATCCTCCGAAGAAAGCGGGACAACGGGGTCCTCGGGTCCTGCGTCGGCCACCACTGGACCCGGTGCCGAAGGGTCTGGAACTGCTGGATCCTCTCCCAATGGTCCGGGAACGACTGGGTCTTCTCCGAGCGGGTCCAGGACGACTGGGCCATCTGCGGGAGGCTCCGGCACCACGAGGTCACCGTCAAAAGGACCGGAGACCACGGGCTCACCCGCTGGGGGGTCTGGCACGACGGGCGCTTCGGGTGCAGGTTCTGGGGCCACTGGGTCGTCCCCCAAACCGCCACGGACAACTGAGTCATCACCGAGTGAGTCGGCCACAAGTGGACATTCCTCTCGTGAGACCGGCAAGACTACCCACAGGCATCACGGCGCAGGTGGGACGGGAGCCACGGCTGATAGCCGAGAGACAACTGGACATTCGTCCCGAGAATCGTCGTCAAGTGGCCACTCCGGTGAGGGCTCTGGCACAACAGGACCATCTGGTGTAGGGACCCGCACTACCCGGACACACGGTGGAAGTCCAGGCGCAACGGGTGCATCTGGCGTGGAGTCCGGCAGCACCCAAGGCCCTGGTGGCGCATCGGGAGCCCCCTGGCCCTCGGGTACAGCACCTGGTGCCCCTGGGTCATCACCATCCTCTGAAGAAAGCCGGACAACAGGGCACTCGGTTTCCGGTTCCGCCACCACTGCACCAGGTGCCGAGGGGTCTGGAACTGCTGGATCCTCACCCAATGGTCCGGAAACGACTGGCTCTTCGCCGAGCGGATCGTGGGCAAGTGGGCCATCAGCTGCACCCTCAGACTCCTCCATTGATTTTTCAAATGTGATAACCACCTCTTCTTGGTCTTCTATTGGGGAGCTTGAAAACATGGTAACCTTGTCTGCAGGTGAGTTATGTTTCTGAACTTGTAGTTAATGAACAAATTTTCTTTTTCTGTTTTGTTTTTTAAATATTTATTTTTTTTTCTTAATTGAAATTTGTGGGCTAACTTACTCAGTTTGGTAATCATAATTTATTTTATTTTAATCCTTTGATCTTTAGAAAAATTTGTACTTTATCCTTGTATTGTCTTTTCCATTTGACAACTTGCAGTAGATGGGACTTGAGAGCTTCCTCGTATTTGTGGGCGAATCTCCACTGTAGCTTCCGTCTCTGGTCCTGCCCTGCTGGGAGCCAGGTTCAGTTCTCCTGTATGGAGTAATGGAAGTAGAGCGTGATTGTGACCCATTTGGGATCTGAGTTTTGGGCAGTTAACAAAGGACCAACTTTTGGGAAAGGGTGATTCGAGATATGTTATACTGTTACCATGTGAACTTGAAATTTATTTATTAATGACCGTAAGTTTTGTATTTTAATCATTAATGATGTCTAGATAACAATTACCTCTTTAACTAGTGACAACTGAAGCACCCAATGGAGAAGCCTCAGTAGCAGGTCAGCGCACAGCCAGCTTCACCACACCTGTAATGTCAGGTGAGTGCGGAGGTGAACTGTCCATGCAGGTTGGAGCTCAATGTAAGCTTCTCTGAAATATCAATACTGAATTGTGCCATTTTTTTGGTGCATGTTTTTGCTGTTGTGTCACAATGGAAGAATAGAAAACTGCCTTCCCAGCGCCCCTTCTGTCACTAGATAGATCTTAAACTACAATGTCAGAAACAAGCCTTCTAAAGCAACAGCTACGAACACTCACTATGCAATATACTCTTCTATTATGAACATGTGATTTTGTCAGCAGCTGGGAGCTGCATAGTATTTTTATCCACAGTTTCAGATGATTTAGACCGAGATATTTAGTCAGCAGATGCAAGTGAGGGTGCTTGGCACTGCAGCCTGACCCTCACCTCATGTTCTCTTCAGCAGCAGTGGTATAAGCAGGTTACGGAAGAAGGACAGAGTAAACCATGTTTTCTTCTTGGCAAGAAAATATGCTGAGTATGGAGTGACTTGATTATTGTGTTTTTAATGAATACAGAGGCACTTGATCTATTTTGTGACTTCCTATGATTAGTCAGGTGAATGGCCATTTACACTCTCTCTCCCAAGCCATCTCTACCGACTTGAATCAGTGAGATAAGCCCTTCTCGGAATGACACACTTGTGCTTTTTTTTTTTTTTTTTAAATAGAGGCATGTTTTATTTATTTGTTTGTTTGTTTGTTTGTTTTTGTTTATACATGCACTGGGTACAGTCAGAAGCGCGGGAGGGTGAGAGAATTCACCAGAGCCAGAGCAGGGAGCAGAGCAGGCAGAAGGACCGAAGTCCACTGCTGAGGGGAGCAGCGGGCGGCAGGAGAGGTCTGCGCGCCATGCGGGACCCTCCTCTGGTGGCCGGGGAGCAGCTGGGGATCGAACCGGCGCCACAGAGGCCGCGGGCAGCTTTGCAACCCAGCGCTCAACCGCTGCGCCACCAGGGAGGCCCAGACACACTTGTGCTTTGAAATAACACCTTATAGACCAGGGCAGCTGTCACACTGATGTGACTATATAAGATGAATTAAAACAAATTCTCTCTGAAAACCTGAATGTGCTCTCTCCTTAACAGGCTCAGAGAGCGGAGTCCCTCCAGATCTCATTGTCGGTGAGTAGGGCTTGATGGCTGTGAACATGCCCTGTGCAGTGCAGCTAGGAATGCCTGTTTCATGCCAACCCTGACCCAGATCTAAGGGGCTGTGGTATTTTCCCCAAAATACGATCTCATGTGAGCAAATCTTTATGAATGGAGACAAACCAGAAGTGAATATTTGTAAATATATTTGTGTTTTTAAATTTCAGAGCCATCAAGACAGCCTGAGGTAACAGGTGAGGAAACAGGAGACAATAAGTGTTTGATGGAAAAATGGGGTCAGAGTAACTACAACTAAAAACAAAACAGCAGAAGGCTCAGAGGTCTAGTAAGAGGCGTGGGCATCAGGTTGCACCAGCAAGGGCTACCCCTTCTGATGTCATAACAAAGGCTTACATGTGATGAAATTCTACACTTGTGTGCAAATGCACAAGTACATAAATACAAAAACAACTCCAGAATTCTCCCTCTTGATCAGGAAAGAAAGGACCTTATTTCTCACACATGGGTGTCCCTTGCCAGTGCTGTTTCCAGAGGGTGGGAGTGGGAGGGGAAAGCTTTATTGGAGACTGGTGTCTTTTTATTTTTAGAAAATATTTATTTATTTAGGCATACAAGAACCGGGGTGCAGATCAGAGGTGCGGGTGGTGAGAGGACTCCCCAGAGACAGACTGGGGAGCAGAACAGGCAGATCCACTGAAATCCACTGCTCTGAGGGGAGCAGCGGGGAGACGGGAGAGGTCTGGGGCACCCTGTGAGTATCTCCCTGGCTGGGGATGCACTCAGCCTGCAGCAGTGACAGCCTGAGAATTCGACCCCTAGGCCGCGGGGAGGCCCCGATGGGTGTGCTTTTAAACTTCATTTTAAAAGAGAAGCAACACGAGCGTGTCTGGAACGTCCCCCTGCCTCCTGGCCCCTGGCGTCCTGTCACGACCCAGCCCAGGGAGGCGTCGCCTGTCTATGCACGGCCCCCATGGGTGGGGCAAGATCCCAGGCCGCCCATCCTCTCTGGATGCAGAGCAGGCTCCGGGGCGGCGGGCCTGGGCTGGGAGCTGGCCAGGGCGGACGCTGCCTCTGGGGGGTCGGGCAGTGGGGGAGCAACCACGGCTCAGCCTTGCGTCCTGGCCCTCGGCCAGCTCAGGGTCTGCCATGGCCCCGCCCCTGGCAGCGGTCAGGAGCCCAAGGGCTGAGATTGGCGGGTGTGGGGCCAGCCTCGAGGGGTGCCCGGGCAGGGGGTCCCTGGAGCCCGTGCAGGCCAGAGTCGCGTCCCCTGCCTCCCTCTGCATTGCGGGTGCCTCCGTGGGAGCTCCCGGAGTAGCCGCTGCTGCTGGTGTCTCTGCCGCAGGTAACCAGGCAGCTCGGAGCCGCCGACCTTGGCGCCCCAGGCTGCTGCCCACGCCTGAGGTGGCCTCTGGGAGAGAAGCGCCAGTGAGGGGCTGCGGGCTGGCTGGGCTCCGGGAGCTGCGTGGGGCACCGCTGTGGGCGCGCCTTGGCTCTGGACTTTGCTGGCGGCTCTGGGTCGGGCGGGCCCGTGGCCCCGTGTCCATCTCCCCGTGCTCCCGGGAGTGGGCCTGGCCGGGACCCCGTGGGCCTGTCCCCGCCTCGCGCCGGGACACGCCCCTGGGAAGACGTGGGCATGACCGTCCGCTTCTTTCTTCTCAGAAACCCCCGGAGAAGCAACGGAAAACCAAGGACACACGACGGGTCAGTATGGGGAGCCTGGCCCCGGGCGCTGGCTGCGTGTGGGCGTCTGTGGCCCTGAAGCCACAGGCTCCACGGGCGCAAGGCCATCCAGGCAGGCGCCCCCTCCAGCACGTTCCCCCCCAGCCCGAGGACTCGCGTGGCGGGGTGCAGGGAGGTGGTGGGGTGCAGGGAGGTGGCGGGGTGCAGGCAGGTGGTAGGGTGCGGGCTGGGCGCAGGCTGGGTGCGGGGAGCTGGCTGGGCACGGGGAGCTGGCTGGGCATGGTGCTGAGGCTGGCCCACAAGGAGGGGCTGTGTCGGGGGCAGAGGTGGGCACGCGGAGGCTATCCAGGCTCCCCAGACCCGGGGCTCTGAAGCAGAGTCTGCCGCACTGGGGCGTCCCGGCCGCCGGCCTTGGTACGGGCTGCAGCTCCTCCAGGAAAGGTGGCTCCGGATCTGCGTCTCAGCTGGTTCCTCTGGGCGCCGTGGCTGCCGGTTCTTCCCTTCCTGCAGGAGCCACGGGCCCGCGGAGGTGCTGCTGCTCCTGTGCAGCCTTGCTCTTTATTTACTCTGAGCTTGGCAGGGACGGAACAGGGACCTGGTGTTTGGCTTGGAATCTGGGTTTGACTTCGGGTGCCCAGCCGTGGCTTGCGGAGCCGCTCCTGGGCGGGGGTGGGGGGCACAGCATGAGGCAGGGTGTGGCCTCACAGCCCACAGGGACATGTGCCCTGTGGCCGGGCCTGCCCCCAGAGCCACCTCGGAACTGCCGTGGGAGCCACGCACCTGCAAGCTGGGGCGGCGCCTGGTCCTGGTCCCCGCCAGAGCCAGACGTGAGGCAGGGCGCGTCTGTGGAGACTCTGCTGTGGCCATCATGGTCAGCACAGGCCACCCTGGCCGCACTTCCCTGGGCCAAGAGACTAACGTGCTTTTCTCCACACAGGCTGCCCCACGCCCCTGCCGCCACCTCCAGGTATGCCCCGCCAGCTCTGCAGCGCCCCACGCCCCAGCTTCTGGCTGCGCCTTAGCGTTGTGGCTGGGCGGGCAGCAGCTGGGGCCTCCCAGCCGCGCTGCGCCCCCGCCCTGGGAAGTGGTCTGAGCTGCCTGCCTGGCCAGACATGTGTCCTGGGGCCATGGGCCTGTGAGGGCCCCGGGTCACCAGTGCTGGGAGACGCGTCGCCGTGGGGGCTTCTTGGACCGGCAGCTCCAGGCGTTTCTGTTCTGAGGACAAAGCAAGAAAGATCTGGGTTAGCTGGATCCTGTAAATGTGGGGTACTCAGCCCCGCTAGTCTCCAGCCAGTTGGCTGATGGCAGCGAAAGGCCCCCTGTCGTTCACCCTCTTCACCCCTGATGGGCGAAGGGGCTTGCCGAGAAACGCAGGTGACCCCAGATGCAGCTGAGACAGGCCTCACTGGAGAGTTGGGAGCAGGTCTCAGCCGCCCGCACGGCCACACACCCACACGCCCGTGTTCCCTCTTAGCCTCAAAAGGTTTACTGGTCTAAATTCCACAAGGATGGGTCCAATTAATACGAAAGTTTGAGGACGAAATTTCCATCATTTCCATTCCAGTAACAGGCACCGATGCCTGTTAAGAGACCCCGCACTGGAGCATCCAGCCGTGGCCTCACGTAGCAGGCCCGGAATCTGTCCCTGCACAGATGGACGTCCCCTAAATGGGAGTGCTCAGGGCCCTTCAGGGCCCTGTGTGTCGGGGAGGCCTGGGTGCTCCCTCCGGGGAGCGGGATCTGGGCGTGTCACCGGCAGGCCCTGGGGAGCAGTGGGCTCAGGCTAGGTAGTAGGGTGTCCATAGCCGGACACCCTCAGTCAGGGGCTTTTCTTGCAAGCTGATGGGGGATGCCCCGCATTCCCAGGCAAGCAGACTGAGGTCCCAACTGTTGGTGGGCTGCTTGGGGGGAGGGGCTGGACCTGACACGTGGCCTGAGCTCCTGTCAGTGGGTGTCGGCTGCCCGCTGGGGACCCGCCAGGAGCAGAGGGCTCCGTTTTGCCTGATCTAATCACTAATGCCCCCCGTTTCATGCTGACAGTGTGCCACGGCCCCCTGGGAGAGGAGAAATCGGTAAGTCCACTGCTCGCTGCCCTGCCCATGCTGGCCACCCGTCCTGGCTGGCCAGGAGTCTAACCTAGCATTGCGCCCACAGCCTGGAGACACCTGGACAGTCAGCTGCCACAGGTGCACCTGCTCTAAGGCCCGGTCTGTGGCCTGCAGGCCACTGGAGTGCCTGCCCCTGCCCACCTGTGGGCCTGGCGAGAGGCTGGTGACGTTCAAGGCCAATGAAACCTGCTGTGAGATCGGCCACTGTGGTGCGTACACGGCACGACCCCGGGTGGAGTGAGCCGCCTCCTCACCCAGGACTGAGAGGCTCTCGCTGGGCAGGGTGGATGGTCACCCAGACAGGGCCCCTCTCCTGGGGGAGACCCAGCCAGGGCAGCCGAGACTGTGACGGCCGATCCATGGAAATGGGGCTATGGAAGGGCTGGTCACTGGTATGACCTCACACACGTGTTCTGCAGTGTTTATGTAGGATCGCAGTGTTTATGTAGGATCGAACCATACATATGTTTTTCAGAGCCGAGAACATGCCTGTTCAACAATGTTGACTATGAGGTGAGGCCATGTCACTTTGCAGTGTTTTTAGTAACAGAGTCATTAATAAGTAGGGGCTGTCGCGGCTCACAGGAGGAAACTGACGGGCCATTCTGCCTTCCTCCCTCCCTCCTCCAGGTCGGCGCCTCCTTCGAGGACCCCAGCAATCCCTGCGTCTCCTATGCCTGCCAGGACACGGGCCTCTCAGCGCGGGTGCAGACCTGCCCCAAGCAGATGTGGTGTGCAGAGGTGCGTGCCCAGTGGGGCGCAGACAGCCAGGGGCCCCAGCTTCCATGCCAGAGATACTGCCTGTCATTACTAAGCATGATTTCCATATCAAAGGGCATTTTTCCAGGTTCTGGAAAGTAAGAAAGTAGTCCATTGTTCTTCTAGAAGAACTTTATTCTAGAAGAATAGAAAGCATGTTGCTATTTCATTATTATTTTAAAAGATTTATTCATGCATCCAAGAACTGGGGAGCAGAACAGGTCGATCTACTGAAACCCACTGCTGAGGGGAGCAGCAGGAAAACAGGAGAGGTCTACTGTGCCATGTGGGTCAGCTCCCTGGCCGGGATTGAACTCAGGCCGCAAAGCCTGGCAATAGCTTGATAGCACTGAGACTTTAACCCCTGCACCACCAGGGAGGCTTCACATTGCTATTTTTAAACAACAAAAACAAGTCCCAGAGTCAGTGAGATAATCATTTTCTATGAAAATACAGATTTTCATAAAATCACAAATATGTCTGCTACTCAGGCAAGGCAGCTGGATTAATTAGTGCTGACATCTAAGTCACAGAGGAAGGCTTGCACTTAACTCGGTCTCTTTCCGAGGAGATAACTGGTCAGAGGGTCCAGGCTGTGCTGTGGTTTGGGTTTCTGAGTTGGTGGATTTTTGCACTGTGTGGCGCTGGCAGGCGTGCGATGAGGTGCTGTCTGAGAAACAGCCTGTCGGGGCACCGCTCTTCAGTGACATTATTTTGAAAATATTTTTCAATTAAATGAAATGAAGAGTCCTGTATTATTTTAAGAGAACTTAGTCTGTGTCATGTCCCTTTCCTGCCAGGGCTGAAAGCCTATGGTCTCGCTACGCTGGCTGAGCCCCCAGCTGCTGCAGGCCGCCTGCACCTCTTACCCCCCGGCGGCCGCAGCAGCCCTGTCCCACGTGGCGTCGCTAAGGAGGCGTTATCTGTGGATGCGTACAGAGGTTTTTAATCTTTCTTTTTTTCTTATTTCTTTAGGAAGACAGAGTCTATGATTCAAACAAATGCTGCTACACATGTAAGTAAACCTCAGCCCCGGCGGAGGTGATGCCAGTGGTGATGAAATATGTTTCTTCAGGGGCAGCTAATGACCAGGGTGTTCCTGGTTCCGTCACCCGAGGCTGTGTCTGCTCCGTGTATTCCAGTCACTCGCCCATCTTGGTCGCCATGTTCTTAGACACCACTGGTGTCTAAGGGGGACACTTAACTTCTGCCCCACTCCCCTTGGTCCCACCCACCCCCTCCCCCTAGTCCCAGGCGCTCATCTCAGAGCATCAGTGGCTTTAGTGAGTATCCAGCAGCCACCCAGCTGAGCGTGGAGAGAGTAGACCCGGCTCCACGGCTGCCCTCACCGCCTGTCAGGAGGCTGAGGCTGAGCTGTGGAGCCCCCTCTGATGCTTCATCCTGCCCTAGGCAAGCCGAGCTGTAGGGCTGCCCCGGTGAACGTGACCGTGCAGTTCGGAGGCTGCAGGAGGCGGGTGGAGATGGCGCTGTGCAAAGGAGACTGCCGGAGGACCCCACGGTGAGTCCACCGCCCAGGCTGGGAGCCCTGAAACAGCGCGGAAACACTTCACATAAGAGCTGTGACCAGAGCCTGATAAAACAAATACCTGAAGTATTGAGAGAACACTGAAAAGCACAACATTTCAAATAGTGCTGAATCAATTTCAGCGCTTCTCTTGAGTGTATCACAGAACATGGCCGGGCCTGTGTTTTCATATAGCAACAGCAGAGAGCTCACTCTTGGTAGGGTGTTTTTAACCTGAATTGCAGGCATACACACGATTTTCCTTTCATGTGTAGATTGGTACATGGAGAATAATAATTTGGTATTATAATAATTTGGTATTAAGATGCTTATTTTTTAATATATTCATTTTTTTTTTTTTGCATAGAACTGAGCTGTAGGCCAGAGATGCAGGGGTGGGGTGAGAGGATTCTCCAGAGACAGAGTGGGGAGCAGAGCAGGCAGATCCACTGAAATCCACTGCTGAGCAGCAGGGAGACAGGAGAGGTCTGCTGTGCCCTGTGGGTCAGCTCCCTGGGGGGATCACAATCAGGCTGCAGGGGTGACAGCCTGACACTCAGCCTCAAGGCGCCAGGGAGGCCCTAAGAGGTGCATTGAAAGATGCACTTTGCTTTGTCTCTTGCACCTTTGTGCTGTAAATATGAGACCCTGAGCCCCACTTTGGGTGTCTTTTGTTCTTACACAGGAGTTACCCTGAGCCACTTGAGTTTAGGGAGGGGCAGCAAGCTGGAGGCTGCTGGGCTGGCTGGAAACTTGCCACATCACCTGGACAGTTAGAACTGGAGCATTGACCTCAACGTGTTGCAAAATACATTCCAAAAATACCCGTAACCTTTTTCCTTTCAGGTACAATTATGACATGTTCCAGTTAGAAAATTCGTGCCACTGCTGCCAGGCTGAGGCCTACGAGCTGAGAGACATCGCTTTGGACTGTCCAGACGGCAGCACCAAGGCCTACACATACAGGCACGTCACGGGCTGCTCCTGCAGGGACCCGTGCCAGGCGGCCCTCGCCCAGCAGGCCCTGGCCCCGCCGGCCCTGGCCTCTGGCAGGTCGCGGTGACCCGCAGCTGTGGGCGGCGGCTAGTCATTTCCTGAGCGAGCAAGCCCGACGCTGGAGAGTGACAACAGCGATCCCTTCGGCGCCGAGAGTGACTCTCACGATGCTGTATTTCCCTCGGTGACTGGATCTGAAAATAAAGAGTGTGGCAGCAGCGGGGCCTCCGTGCTCACTGCGGGTCCGGCGTCGCGCGTCCGGGAGCGGCGGTTGGGCCGGCTGCCCTGCCCGCCCAGCCCGGCCGCCACCCGCGGCCTCCCCACCCCGGGGCCGGGTCCCGCGTCTCCAGCTCCCCGCAGGGCCCGCGCCGCCCCTCCCGCTTCCCTCCGCACCCGCGGGCGCCACGTGACCGCGGCCGTCACGTGTACTCGGCGCGGGCGCCACGGGGGCGTCGGGCCCCGCGGGAGCGGCTGAAGCCGCTTCAGTCCTGTCGTGAGCCCGGGCGGCCCTCAGGACGGCGCGGGCCGACCCAGACTGACGGGTGCCCGCGGCCGCGGGCGGCGCCCCCGGGTGGAAGCCTGGGCCACCCGCAGGCCGCCCGTCTGCTGGAGCCGCGCACCTCGCGGGCCGGGCCTCCCGGGGCCGGGGTTCGCGAGATGGCGCCGGCCGGGCCCGCGGGCGGGGGTCCTGTGTGTTCTCGGCCGGGCGGCCCCGCCCCGCCCAGCCGGCGGCTGAGCCTTCGCGGGGTCCCCCTCAGGGCACGGGCTCGCCAAGGTGGCGGGCGTCCCTGCCGCCATTTCGCCGGGGGGAGGGTGGCGTCATCGCCCCCCCCCACCGTGCTTCAGCCCTGTCGCCCCGCGCTCTGGGCCCCGACGACGCGGTCGGCCCGGCCCGCGCGTGGCGTCGGAGCACGGCTCGCGGGCGACGTCGCGGCAGGGGCGGAAACGCGCCTGGACGGGAGAAGCCGCGGGGCCGGGAGGGGGCGCAGCGCCGGAGGGGGGCCCCGGGCAGGGAAGGGCTGAGGGGACGGGGAGCCGAGCGAGGAGCGGAGCCCAACTCTGCTTCCCACGCTTCCCGGCGCGGGGCAGGTTCCCACAGCGGCCGCGGGCGCAGCCTGGAGGCCCCGCCTCGGACGCCGCCCGCCCTCACCGCCCCCAGCCCTGCCTGGAGGGGACGCGGCAGCCACGTGTCCCGATGCGGGTGCCACGTGACCGAGACCTGTCGCTCGCGGGTCGCAGGCACGTGACCAAACTGTGTGGGGCGGGAGCCACACGGCCCCTGTCACGTGTGCTGGGCGTGGGCGCCATGTGACCTCCGCCGCCGCGTGCCCGGCCAGGAGTTGAGATTCCTCCCGCGCGCGCGAAGGAGAAGCTGCGCCTGCGCAGGGCGCGCCGGCGGCGCGGCGGGGGAGAAACGGGCTGTGTCCGCGTGGCGCGTCTGGCCGCCCCTCGCGCCGGGATTGGCCTCTGAGGGCGGCGGCGCCGGGAGAGCCGGTGCTGGCGACGTTCTCAAGGAGACGCCCTGAAGCTCACGCGTGGTTCGCCCCTCAGGCCCCCCTTCAGCTGCGCCTCGACACCCGCAGCCGCTGACCCCGGGGCTGGCGCCTGGGCCTTCCCTGGGGCCGTGTTTTCTGCCGCTGGGCGACTGCACGTGGGTCCCGCCGCCCCCCACCCCGCCCCCACGACAGGCGCCGGGCCTGGGCGCCCTCTGGGCTTCAGCGGCTTCATCATTCTGAGCGCCCCCCTCCGCCCCCTTCCCTCCCCTCACTACCCCTGCCCGCCGTCCCCCTCCCCCCCCACACCCTCCTCCCTCTCCCCCCGACCTCGCCTCGCCGGTAAACGCCTTCGCTTGCGCGTCGAAGCAAAACCATCTCCCAAACAGCCGCAGCGTCTCCCCACACGGTGAATCTCTTCATGTCCTTGTCCAAGCCGTGCTCGGGTTTCCTCGCTCCCCCCCAAAAGTGAAAAACACGATTTATTTGAAAATAAGTTAAGCCAAGGGATCTGCGGTGTCCGGCTGGAGGAGGAGCCCAGACCCGGGAGGCCCTCGGCTCGGCTCCGCCCTGCGAAGGAACCACGGACTGTCGGACTTTTGGCTTCTGGTCTGGCGTCCCCCGCACCGGCCCTGGCACCCAGTGGGTCCTCAGAAAACATCCGGGGAAATGAGGACGTGGGGAAAGCCCTGGCCTGGCCTGGCGCCCAGCGGGTCAGGAGTTGTGGGGTCTGAATCTCCCCTGCGCTCTGGATGGCACCGGGCTGCAGCACACGGGGGTCCTCAGGAAGAACGAGTCCTGGGGTGGCCGGGTGCACGGAGCATCCACAGCACCCGCCCTGGGGGCCTCCACGTCAGAAACCAAGCGCTCCGGTTCTTTCCTGCGCCCGGCCATTGGCACACAGTAGGTCCTCCCGAAGCACCCCCCCCCCGGACCTGAATGCAAGTCCCCCCGGCATCCACCCGAGAGTCGCCGAAGGGGAGGGACAACGCACAGATGCTTCCTCCCAGGGCCGCGGACGCCATCTAGGTCTCCGCGCACACTGGGGCCCCCAGAAATACTGCGCTGGACTATTGAGCTGGACGCGCCCAGGCCGGAGCCCAGGGTCACAACCACGCGGTCCAGCTCCTCCCTCTCGCCCAGTTTCCCGCCCCTGGCTGCGCACACAGTGGGTGCTCAGGAGACGCCAGCGGGGTGGCTGAACGGGTGAAACGAGACCCCAGTTTCCAGGGGCGGATTTCACTGAGGCGAGAGCCGGGCCTCCCCCGCGGGACGCCGGCGCCCCTCCCGGGGCGGGAAGCGGCTTCTCTTCCCTGGGGCCCCTCACCAGCTTCCGCGCGAAGCTCCTTCTGGGGGTTTCCTCCGTGGGCACCCGCGGGTCTGCGCCGGTCTCCCCGGGGGACACGCGGGGACACAGCCGTCACGCGGCGGCCACGGGCGCCCTTTCTCCCCCGGCCTGTCACCGCCCGCGGGGCCGCGGACCCTCCGGGCCCCCTGACCGGCGCCGCGGGCTCCTGCACCTCCGCCCCGGTGCTGGGCCGGGCCGCGCGCCTGCCCCCCGCCCCTGAGCCCGCGGGGAGGCCCCAGGGGAGCCGCCCCGGACCGTGCGCGCCGCCCGAGGCCGGCGTCAGAGGGTCCCGGCACCCCCAGCCCAGCGCAGCGGGCGCCGGCGGGAGCGCGGGGGGGGGCGGCCCTGTCCCCAGAGGCGGGGGGGAGGGGCCGCGCAGGCGGAGCCACCGGGGAGGGCTCGAGGCCACCGCCCGGCAGGAGGCCGGACCGGGCAACCCCTGCGCCCCCAGCCCCCGGCGGGCGCGGACACCCGCTCCCCAATCCCGGCCGACGGTGAAGGGGCTCCCCGCCGCCCGGCTCCCTAGGCCCGGGCCACTGGGTCGCGTCCTCGCGGGGCTCGTGCTGGCGCGCGCCAACCCCCCTCGCCTCGGCCGCCCGACCCGCCAGAGCCGCGCGCGGGGCTGAGCCCGTGGGCGCCCCCTGGCGGCCGTGTAGACGGCGCCTCGGCCGCACGGCGAGGGGGCGGGGCGGGCTGTGCGCGGGCATCGGACCGGGAGGGCGGGCGCGGGGCTACGGGGGGGGCTGCGGCTGCGCGGGCCGCCCGTCTCCCGCGGGTCCGCGCCTCCTCCCGCCGCCCGCCGGGACCCCCGGTAGCCCCGCAGCCGGCGGAGCCCGGGACCCTCCGCACGGGGCGCCCGGTTCTCCGGATGCCCGGCCCGCCGCAGCCCGGGGCGCCCGCCCGCCCGCGGTGCCAGGCCCGGTCCAGATGCTGGTGTCCAGACCCGGCGCCCGCGGACGGCGCCCCCACCTTGTGCTCTCCCCGAATGCGCGAGAACCCCTGGGTCAGCGGGTTGTTGCCTCACGTCATTCCACCTCCCCATCCGCCTCGGCCGCACCGCCCCTCCGCGCCACCAGGCGGCGCGCGCCGCTACTCCGGCCCTGGTTTCCCCCGCGAGCCTCTCCTTCCTCGGCCTCGCCCCGCCCCCTGCGTGTTAACGTCACGGCACTGCGCGCTGACGCGGGAGCGGCAGCCCGGGGCGGAAGTGGCAGAAACGCGGAGGCCAGGAGCGCCCGCCCCGGCGGAGCGGGCCCGCGGGCCGAGGAAGGAGAAGCCGCGGGGTCAGCGCGCAGGCGTGAGGGGAGCGCGCGCCATCTGGTGGCGAGGCGGGGAAACGCGGCCTCGCGGGGAATCCTGAGGAGGCCCCGGGGCGGGCGGGGCCGGGGCGGGCGGCGCGGACGCCCCCTCTCTCACTGTGGGGGGTGCAGCCGGTTTGGGGGACCCTCTGTGGCCGCAGGTCAGTGTTCCCCAGCGTGGTTTTTTTTTTTAAGATTTATTTATTTATGCAAGCACTGGGTACAGTCGGAAGCGCGGGAGGGCGAGAGGATTCACCAGAGCGGGAGCGGGGAGCAGAGCAGCAGAAGGACCGAAGGACACGCTGAGGGGAGCAGCGGCGGCAGGAGGTCTGCGCGCCATGTGAGACCCTCGCCCTGCGGCCGGGGATCGAACCGGCGCTGCAGAGGTTGCGGCAGCTTCACAGCCTGGCGCCCAACCGCTGCGCCCCGGCGAGGCCTCCCCAGCCTGTTTGATGCACGAGGACGCGACCTGCTGTTTCCACGGCTGCGGGAATGCCAGGGTCGCAGCATTTCCAGAGACGTGGGCGCTTCGCCTCCGTTTCCGTCTGATTTTCTAAACTTCAGCTGCAGCAGGACGGGCGGGGGCGCCCCCGTGAGCACCCCGGGCCTTCCTCTCACAACCTCACCCCCCCAGCCCCTGCATCCCCGCCCCGCCCCTGCACCTGCAGCCCCACCCCTGCTCCTGCAGCCCCGCCCTCTGCACCTGCAGCCCCTCCCCTGCTCCTGCAGCCCTTCCCCTGCACCTGCAGCCCCTCCCCTGCTGCAGCTCCTCCCCTGCACCTGCAGCTCCTCCCCTGCTCCTGAAGACCCTCCCTTGCAGCCCCTCTCCTGCACCTGCAGACCCTCTCCCGCTCCTGCAGACCCTCCCCTGCTCCTGCAGCCCTTCCCCTACAGCCCCTCCCCTGCACCTGCAGACTCTCCCCTGCTCCTGCAACCCCGCCCTACCCCAACGCTGGCATCTGTCTCCCCAGTGGCCGGGCTCGCTTTGGCACTTGCTTCTCCAGACTTGGGGTGAAGTCCTTGCCTGCGGGAACCCGGTTTCTTCAGGAACCACCCCAGAGGGAGTGGAGGGTGAGGACATCTCCCTGCCCGTGG